AACTTGTGACAGCGCCATTTCTTATTATAATAATGATAAAGCATAATTTTTTAATTAAATGTTATTAAAAATGCCTTTGAAGAAAATTTTACTAATGTACGGATAATTTTCATCTAAGTGGATGGGCCATTTCAGGTCTTATCTTGAAGTGAAAATAAAGATACAGTGATAAACCAGAAAAGGGTATGATGATTATTAAATTACATTTATTTCTATTTAAAAATTGGTAAACAAATAATTAAACTTCTGTTTTTAGTGATGCATACGCATTAATGGTACGTAATAGAGTCCATGAAAAAGCAACCCCACAGCCCACACCACAGGAGCAGCTTCTATATTAGAGAAGTCACTACGTATCATACAAAAGGGATAATGGATTTATAGATAAAAAGTAGGCAGAGCAAATTGTAGGGTAGGGAGATAAAGTGTTTGTTTGCCGAGTGGGTCATTTTCACCTTTCAAATACAAAATGAAATACTCACCATTCGTCTGCATTCCATCTCTCACATCACCATACGTCTTTGATGATTTCTTTTGTTCATAAACAAGTGTTCTAATCTCATCGTTTTATATAAAATATTTTTAATTAAATTTAAAATTGGGATTTGTTGGGATAATTATCAAGTTAGAAAAGGAATACGAGGACTCACGTAAGTCTACAAAATGACAAAAGATTGACTTGGAATGGAACCTTCTTCGTTGTGATCCCCAATTTGAAATAAATAAATAAAATTCACAACCTTCTAACCAAGTTTTCAGTCTTGGTGCCTACTGCCTTATAAAACAATATGGTGGGATAGCATTAGGTATTGAATCATCAATTACATCATTTTCAAACTTTTAATTTTCAATTGAATAAAATTACATCCTTCAAATGGCATCTACTTTATTGGTAAAATATGAATTTTGAAAGTTTGATTAATTGGCGGAGGAAAATCCATCATAATATCCGAGCACACTGTACTTCCCTGCCACGTGTTAATAGTGAAAAATCTTACTCACACTTCAAAGTGGTCCCGTGACAATGGACACGGTCCCACACAATACTAACCCAATCTCGTGAAAACACTGCCAATATATTTCAAATCCCGCGTTTACGCCACCACCGCATGCAAACAAACAAATCACGAGCCACCTTAAAACCCAATCTGATCCTCTGCTTTCAGTCTTAATCCTACACGTTGCACCTGCACTGACACGTCGCCATCTTTCATCACCGACACAGGAGCGCGGCTAGATGGGCCCATGTTCTAGGCTTAGTATTTCATAAACTTCGGTATACACAAATTAACAATCGCTCCCATCCCATGCGAATATGTATCATTCTCGAGCAGATCTCGTACTAATATTATAATTAGAGTTAACGACATGTGCCCACCCAAAAGATGGCTTATTGACAAATTCATACTCACCCTATGTTTAAATACCCTTTCAGCACCCAGAACACAATTTCTTTTAGTAATTTTCATTGTAAAGAAGGGTAAAATGGTCACAAGTTTATTATTAGTGAGGGCAGTATAGTCAACAAACATTTGGCTAAAATAAAAATTTTAAAATAACCCTCTACATTTCAAATTGTTATGCCTCAAAAATCAAGCCTATGTCAGCACAATTAATGTCTCTTTGTACCAGCTGCCAAGCCCATATCTCCAAAGATATTCTCACAAACTTTATCTCATTTCAAAAAGATGAATGGACGAAAGCCTTCCATGTGTCAAGACAACTTGCAAAACACTTATTACATTGAGTGCAAATGTTAATAAATGGGCACTCCTCTTCCCGAAGGAGGAGGCTGGGCTGAGATTGGAGCTTCATTTCTTTCTCTGTAAAAACACTGTATTTCTTCATCTTTATATACTTTACGGGCAAAATCATAGAAATAGTCAGAGATCAATAAAATAACAGTGGATGTAGGAGTCGCTTGTTGCATCCGAACCACTATAAAAACTTCCTCTTGCCAATCTTTCATTTATATTTTCTGCAAAATATATAATCTCAGCTCCATATTCAAATCTCATGGATCCATCACGTGTGATTCCTAAGTCCGCTTAGCGTTTCTCACGTGCGAGTCGTTGGCATCCAAAATCAAGCGTCAACAGTTTGGTGGCCCATGCAGGTCCGATTCTCAAACCTGCATCCAAGTTCCTTGATGACGTGCTCAGATCTCAAACCTGCGTCAGAATTCTCCAATCATGTGGCCAGATCGCCGATCGCACACGTTAGAATTCTCCAAACGCGTGGCTAGATCGCACACGTTAGAATTCTCCGATCACATGCATCAGAATTCTCCAAACGCGTGGCCAGATCGCAGATCGCATGCATCAGAGTTCTCCGATCGCAGATCGCACGCCTATGTCATTTTGATCCTCGGCTTCTGATCGCTGATCTTTAGCTTCAAATCACGTGTTCAGATCGCTGATCACACACTGAGATCGCTGATCTCTTGTGCTCTTAGGTAGAGCTTGTTACGTGCTCAAGTCGAGACCAAGTCGTGCTAGTTACGTGCTCAGATCGAGTCCAGGTCATGCTCGTTGTGTGCTTAGGTCGAGCCCAGGTCGTGCTCAGGTCGAGCCCAGATTGAGCTCGTTATGATCTCAGATTGAGTTCGTTATGATCTCAGATTGAGCTCGTTTTGCTCAGATTGAGCTCGTTTTGCTTGCTCCTACGTCTAAAGTCCAGCAAAAGGATTGTCTAAAGTCCAGCAGCTTCTACCAGATTTCAGTTCGAGCTCTTCAGTTCGAGACTGCAGCCATTCAGATCAAAGACTTTAGTTCTGAAGCGCGATTACGCACTTCAAAAACTGGGGGGCTTCTGTTATGCCTCAAAAGTCAAGCCTATGTCAGCACAATTAATGTCTCCTTGTACCAGCTGCCAAGCCCATATCTCCAAAGATATTCTCACAAATTTTATCTCATTTCAAAGAGATGAATGGACGAGAGCCTTCCATGTGTCAAAGCAACTTGCAAAACACTCATTACATTGAGTGCAAATGTGAATAAATAGGCACTCCTCTTCCCGAAGGAGGAGGCTGGGCTAAGATTAGAGCTTCATTTCTTTCTCTGTAAAAACACTGTATTTTTTCATCTTTATATGCTTTACGGGCAAAATCATAGAAATAGTCAGAGATCAATAAAATAACAGTGGATGTAGGAGTCGCTTGTTGCATCCGAACCACTATAAAAACTCCCTCTTGCCAATCTTTCATTTATATTTTCTGCAAAATATATAATCTCAGCTCCATATTCAAATCTCATGGATCAATCACGTGTGATTCCTAAGTCCGCTTAGCACTTCTCACGTGCGAGTCTTTGGCGTCCAAAATCAAGCGTCAACACAAATTTCTCACAAGCACCCCTGACCTTCCTCTATATCCCCTAGCCTCGTTCGTCTCCATTTTGGTCGGATCTAAGCATTTTCTCTGCGATTTTTCCCTCCTTCACAGCTGTCGGAACAATCAAGATCTAATCGGTTTCGGGTGCTGTTGGACATCACCACCACCACCACTAGCTTCCCCGATTCATCTCCAACAAAACCCATCCATCCCCCAGCCTCGTCCGCCTCCATTTTGGTCGGATTTGAGCGATTTTCCCTCTCTTGTGGCTGTTGGAAAAATCAAGATATATTGGGGTTTAAATGTAATTTATTAATGTATTTGTGTATCCAAATCTAAATGAAACTAGGAGTTTTTTAGTAAATCATTTTGTTTCCCATCAAAATCAATAAAAAACCTAATATTTGGGTAGTAAAATAGTATTTTAAAATTTTGAGGGTAAGAAAGGGTCAATGTGCCATTTTTTTGGGTAGGAACACGTCGTGAACTCATTATAATTATATTATCGTCTCTATTTTCCCGTCAATCCATGAACTAAATAATGTGTTATTGATTTCTGAAAAAAATATATTTAAAAAAATCTCAAAAGCACAGCTTTGGGGTTGCTTTTTTGTACGGTGAGTTGATGGAGTAATTTGATGAACCAAAGAAAATGTGGCACATAGTATGAGGAATGAGTATTCAGGACATCATGAGGATGAGCGTAAAGGAGCACAGCACAAGTAATGCTCCAAATGGAATAAGATTCTTCTCCTGCTTTTTCGACCCAATCTCTCAAAAGGGGTCCACATAATTTTATTAATCCCTTTAAAAATAAATAAAACAATTTGTATCCTTGTAATTTACCTGGCGTGGAAATGATTACCCTCAGGGCCTCAGTAATTAAGGGTTGAAAATCTGTCTAAGATTATGCCTTTTTCAACCTCAAAAGCAAATATTAAAAAAAGCACTGCTGCAACTTTCAACTGCTTATGTGTCGATTTTTTTAAGCATAATTTCACTTGTAATATAATTTTAGCTCAAAAACAAAAACAAAAGGGAATTTGATTGGGTCGAAAACGACATCGGGTGATTGAGGTCCGTTTACAGATGAAGTTAAAATATTTGATTGCCGTGTAAAAAAGGAGAAAAGGGTTGTCGCTTAGATTTGTAAGTGGGGAGAATAAATAATTGGAGCCAGGCAGGATCATCATAAATCATATGGTAGTAAGTTTTAAATGCTAAAGTAAAGAAGTGAGCAAATTACTAAATTGCAGTAACATTAAGATGCATGTATTTTTTATGTCGATGCAAGTCAAATGTGATCTTAATAATTAATAATTAATAAAAGTAAACAATCCTCTCCCTCTCTCGCCTCAGTCTACAAAATTATTCCATTACACATGACGGTGCAAGCCTTTGCCGAGTAAATTCTCATCGTCCCTTGGGACGGGAGTTTAAAAAAAATAAAAAATAAGTCTTTTTTATTTCAAGATAGAGTGAACAGCTTGTTACTGACTGAGGAAGAAATTACGGTTGAGTTGCGGTGAAAGTCTTTTATTATCGAGAATAAGATACAGTAGTCGTAGAATCCTAGAATTATAGCGTTGATGGCTGGTTACATTTTATTGTTGGCTTATTTAATATCTGAAGATCATTATTTCATAGATATTAAAATATATATATTTTATATAAAAAGGGTATAGTATTCAGTTTTAACGAGTTCTGTCGTGATTGGATCGATACAAAATCTCTTTTCTATTTTCTTCCACTCTCAGTATCGAAGACGAGGGGAGTTGGAGAGGGAGAGGTAATCGGAGCTAAGACTTGAAGTAAACACAACATCGTTAAGTATTGTTATGATGACAGCAACACGGAGAAAGAACAAAGATGTTTAAGTAGCGTGACCAAACCATTTCATGAAATTCTGCTGATTTTCTGCGCTTTTGTTTCTCGCTATATTTATTATCTTCCTTTGTACAATATAGGAGGTAGTGTTTTTGTTCTGTATTTGCTACTTCCTGTTTTCCCCTTTTGCTAGATTTGTTTAGTCCAATGGTTTCTTTATTTTATTTTATTTTCTTGCTTTCGTTGGATTTTGGTTCTACGTTACCTTCTGGATGGCGGTGGACTGATCTGAAATGAGTCGTTCTGGATTTGGTTTAGATTTTAGTTGTAAGTGCTAATTTTGAAAGTTAATTTCGCTGGAGATGAACTGACAGTGATTTCGATAATTCTTTGTTTTTGTTTTCCAGTGTACTTGCGTTACTTGCTCCTGTTTCTCCAAATCTAAATCTCATCCTTCTATTCTTTGTCTGGGTTAGCTCTTAATTTTTTTAAAAGTCAGTATTTAAAATTCTTTATTGATGGGCTCCATTGGTGGTTTTTAATGGATCTATTATTATAGGATTGATCTTGTAAGACTACAATCTTTTTGAGTGAATAACATTTCTGCGTTTTGGGTCAATGAAAAACATTTCTGGGTTAGCTCGTTTGGTTCAAAAAACTGTTCTGGAGATCTCTGCTTCATTGGATTTAATTTTACTTTTTATTTGTATAGTTTTCTTTCGTTGTTCTAGACTTTAATCGTTATTCTGGGATTTCAGGTTATAGGAAAATGTCGAGGCCTACTCATAGAGGTTCACCCGGTATCCGGATCTCCGGGAATAGCCATGGTTTATGGGACTCAGAAATTAAAGATAGAACAGAAAAAGATGATTTGGAAAAAAGTCACTCTTCTGATCAAAGCTATTTAGCCCCGAGGTTTCCTTTTCGGTTTCTTTTCAATGATAACAATAATTCTCCTTCCAAATATGGTGTTAGTGAAAATGGTTTTGCTTCTGATCCTTTCAGCACTGGAACTCCGAGAAGTCGGCACAACTTTATGATGCTATTTTTGAAGTTGAGTTTAGTTGTGATTGTAATTTGTGCTCTTACTGGATCGTTTTGGTGGGCAATTTCAATTTCAACCTCATCAAGAAGTCAGTTATCTCATAACTTCAGGAAGCTTCAAGAACAACTTGTATCAGATTTATGGGATATTGGGGAGATATCTGTTGGTTCTCCAAGGTCAAAAGAATTGGAATTTTGTTCCCAGGATGCTGAAAATTATGTTCCTTGCTTCAATCTATCGCAAAATCTTGCCTTGGGTTTTGCTGATGGTAATGAGTTGGATCGACACTGTGAAGGTCGGTCAAGGCAAAATTGTTTAGTTCTTCCACCTGTGAATTATAGGATTCCACTTAGGTGGCCAACTGGAAGAGATGTTATCTGGGTTGCAAATGTTAAAATTACTGCCCAGGAGGTACTTTCCTCTGGAAGCATGACCAAGAGGTGAGCAGAGATTCTTCTACTAGGGAACTCTCTCTTTGCACTCTAAATTTTGGTTTCTGTTGTTAATGCCATGTGGTTGCAGGATGATGATGTTGGATGAAGAGCAGATTTCCTTTCGCTCAGCCTCGCTAATGTTTGATGGCGTTGAAGACTACTCGCATCAAATAGCAGAAATGATTGGGCTGAGAAATGAATCTAACTTCATTCAAGCTGGGGTACGTGAATGACTACTCAAAAATGAAACCCACTATGACAAGTAGATATTTTCGTCCTGTTTTGATGATGATACACCCATATTTATTTTTCTAATTTTTCCAGTTATATTTTACTTATTTAGCTTAGCTTAGTTGATAGGATGCTTGGTGCAATAAGTTATTTGAATAAATTCATTCCTCTTGTTTTATTGACTTGAAAATCTTACTCTGGTAATATACCATTTAAGGTTCCAGTTCCATTAATTCTGTAGAACAGAACACGGTCTCTTCACTCTTGATCCCGATAAATAATTTGCTCTGTTGCTTTGATGTCCACTAAATAATTTGCTATAGATTCCAGATATTTCCAGTCATATATAAAATTTATGTCAAAAGTAGTGTACCATTGCATTAATATCTTGCATCTGGTATACTTGTAACATGTGGACACTAATTACTCTCTCTTTTATAATGAGTAAGTATTAAAAGTTCAAATCTGCAGGTTAGAACCATCTTGGACATAGGGTGTGGTTATGGCAGCTTTGGAGCACATCTCTCTTCCAAACAGCTCCTAACCATGTGCATTGCAAATTATGAGGCCTCAGGCAGTCAAGTTCAACTAACTCTTGAGAGAGGACTTCCTGCAATGATTGGTGCTTTTACTTCAAAACAGTTGCCATATCCGTCACTTTCCTTTGACATGTTGCATTGTGCTCGTTGTGGCATTGATTGGGACCAAAAAGGTAAATGTCAAATATTTGTGGGAAATAATACCTGATATAATCTTCGACTTCATGTCAAATACGTACATCACATCATATTTTATTTTTTTGCATAGCAAAACTCATACATCAAAGCAGCAACACCCTGTGTGAATCCTGTTTTGAATTTTTTTGTGTAACTTAAAATTGGACGGTGGACCTAAAATGTTATTTATGATCCTGTCCTTTTACATTATTTTACTGCTGAATTTACTGTAGAAGGATGAAGAGCTTAACCTTCTATCACCATTAAGCAAAAGGAGAGTTGAAGTGATAAAAATTATGTGATCTAACATATCACTTCTGGCCTTAACCACAAAGTGAAACAAAGAAATTATTCATATTTTCATATAATCTGCTGAAGGAGATTAATCTTTAGTTGATACTTTACTCTTTAAGCCTGCTTGTTTAGATACTAGAATTGAGTTAACATTATTTACTCGTGCTATGTGGAACAGATGGTATTCTCTTACTTGAAGTTGACAGAGTTTTGAAGCCAGGTGGATACTTTGTCTGGACTTCACCACTTACCAATCCTCAGCGTTTCCTCCGTAACAAGGAGAATCAAAGAAGATGGAACTTTGTTCGTGATTTTGCAGAAAAAATCTGTTGGGAGCAGTTGTCACAGCAAGATGAAACTGTTGTATGGAAAAAAACTAGTAAAGCGAGTTGTTATAGTTCTCGGTGAGGCAACAATCATGACTTTTTATTGACTTTCCCACATTACACGACCTTTGAAATAAAATTTTGCTGACTCAAGTATATATATGTATATCAAATGCATGTTGTTCCTTTAGTACCTAAGAATATTAGGTGGTCCTAATTTTGGTACCAATTGGTTGTATGTCTAGGAAGCCTGGTTCTGGCCCTTCTATCTGCAGCAAAGTCCATGATGTTGAATCTCCCTATTATCTACCTCTCCAAGCCTGTATAAGTGGAACACGCAGCCACCGATGGATACCTATTGAAAAGAGGAGCACTTGGCCCTCTAGGGCTAACTTAAACAAGAAAGAACTTGCCATACACGGTAATTCTTATGCTCTTGGATAGAATTTCTGAGTGTCTTTCAGATGGTTAAATGGCATGATAGAGAAAAATGTTCTGTGGTATGAAAAAAGTTGGCTAACTATATTTATTTTCTGCGTCATTTAACTCCAGTTTTTCTTTTTAACTATTTTATCAGGTGTAGATCAAGAAGAATTCACCGAGGATACTGAAGATTGGAAATCAGCAGTCCGTAACTATTGGTCTCTTTTGTCCCCATTAATATTTTCGGATCATCCTAAGAGACCTGGTGATGAAGATCCTTCTCCACCTTATAACATGGTCAGAAATGTGCTGGACATGAATGCTCATTTTGGTGGCTTTAATTCTGCATTACTGGAAAAAGGGAAATCAGTGTGGGTCATGAATGTAGTCCCAACTATTGCAACCAACTATCTCCCAATGATTCTTGACAGAGGTTTTGTTGGTGTATTGCATAATTGGTAAATCAACTTTCTTGAGTGCCTTAATATTTCCTTTTAGTGAACCTTAGTGTATCCCAGTTGTGCTATACTTTATTCTGAACCTGTAATCGAAGACTTATCCTATCTCGTGCATTCTTACTTGTTGTTGCTGTTTCTCTATTATAAATTATGGTAAGCAATGATAAGGTGTCAAACTTACTGAACTGGAGAATCTACATAGGGAATTGATCTACAATACTGTTTTGTATGAATTGAAGGGATGAGCATTCACTCCTAAAAAAAAAACCATAAAAATAAACACGTAGTATTTTCAAATTGGAGAATATTTGAATTTTGAAAGAATCAATGCATGCTGAACTTTGAGATCCATGTTCACTTATGATTTTTAATTCTGTCAGGTGTGAAGCATTCCCAACATACCCAAGAAATTATGACTTGGTGCATGCAGCTGGACTTCTATCCCTTGAAGCAGATCAGCATAGGTGCTCCATGCTTGATATATTCACTGAGATAGATCGTATACTTCGTCCAGAGGTACCCAAATCAAACAGTCTCTATTCTATTGATATTTGGTTATCATCCATTTTTCACCCTGTTCTTGAAATAAAAAAAAATTTAAAAAAAAAAAAATTGTTATGGTATAGGTGACAAGCATATACCATATAATGGAATATCTTGCAAGACCATATATATATATATATGTATGTTTCTGTGTATTTAACAGATATATTTTAAGGAAATATTTGCTGCTTAGGTTTATGTTATCAAATTCCAATGTCTGTTTTATTATTTCTTATGTTGGAATGCTTGGTACGTTTAAAGGTCTTGTATCCTCTAAATTATTTAGGACAGTTTTGTTTTGAACCAAAATAGTCATCTTTCATAGCAATAATACAAGTCTACTGTGTTTAGATGGTTTTTGTCCGTACCAATCATGTTTCCTTCGCTGATAATGATATTTCCCGCAGGGTTGGGTGATAATTCGTGACGAAACTCATCTTATTGAGGCAGCAAGAACTCTAACAACTAAGTTGAGGTGGGATGCACGAGTCATAGAAATTGAGAGTAGCAGTGACGAGAGACTTCTTATCTGCCAGAAACCATTCTTTAAGAAACAAGCAAGCTAATTCTGAGTTCTTTAAGGGAAGCTCAAGAAGTTCGATCATGGTATTTATATTCATTTAGTAGACATTATTGAATTACTATAAAGCTCCACCGTACAAAGGGGAGACCAAAAATTTTGAAAGGAAAGGAAGAAATCAGAACACAGAGAGCCAAACAAAAGTGAATCATGGTGGAACCAACCACAACTCCTATGGAGCCGTAAGGCATACATAGGACCATGTAATTACTCAAATTCAGGCGCAGTGAAAGTCAGAGAAGAAGTATACAATTAGATTCAAATTTAATCTTTCATGTCATGTCTCATTATAATTATACAACTACATGATTAAGATTGTGAAAATGATTAGAGAATAAGGATTTATTTGCTGTAGTATATAAAAAATCAGGTCAGTCCATTCATATGAAGAAAATTTTTCTTCATTTTCTGTCATATTCTTGCTTTTGCAAGGCATTTTTTCAATGAACGTGTCTTTTATTGAAGTGTTCATCCCAAAGTTCGGCTTTAGATTTTATTCATAGGTCTTTTGTAACATGTACTTGAAATTTCATCCAGCTTTTATTGTTTGAAGCTGGCAATCTGACTTTAATGGTGACAAATATTTGCACACGTGATTATTGTGATCAACGTCATTGTCTACTTCTGGAAATGAATGTGTTCTCTTGTGGAAATAACGTCTCACCTACCATATGGTATAATTACCTGTAAAGACTAAAGAGTTGTAGAGAGATGGATTTACTCTCTAACGCCTACCTTCCTGAAGGAGAAGGATGATTGATTGGGGCTCCACCTGTTTCAATATGTAAAGCTATCATTGACCTGATAATATTGAATCTTGCTTACTCAAATGGTCAGTCGTTATTGTATCAAATGAAGGATTAATCATGGTGAGTTTCTGATAGAAACCCTAAGCTTCTCCTGCAAAAGATCACTCATAAACAATCACCCAGATCATTATGAAACTCCAATAGTCGATAACCCAGAAATTTCAGTTACACCAGAACAGTTTAATTATTTCAAAACAATTGAAGAACACAAGCAATACTGAATAATCTCAATATATATATTGAATAGCAACTCTGTGACATTACTACTCTAATAACAGTTCATCTACAACTACAATTCAGCATAACAAAAGATAAACGTAAATCAACCCATTTAAGATGAATTTGCTAAAAATAAAGGAACCTGTTGGACTTCGAGGGCCAACACCTCCCCCAACCCCTTACCTTTTTTGCAATTTACAAATGATCCTGACAGATTCTTCCCATTCTCTTTTATTCTTCGTACTCTCTTACTATAACCGAATTCAACTTCCCATCACTTATCACTCTCTCATAAACCTAATACCACCCCACACTTCACTCATACAGCCTGACAATTAGTCTCTCATCCTCTTTTTTACACCTTTATTTTTCCTCCCATACACTAACGTGTCGTTGGTCACGTCAGTTTCATGTTTTATTCTCACAACTTCACGCCAATTCATATAAACCGTGAACAATTTAAAACATTTCAACCATGGTTTCATCAACCGACCTTAGCTCAGTTGGTAGAGCGGAGGACTGTAGTAGGATAAACCTGAAAGCTATCCTTAGGTCGCTGGTTCGAATCCGGCAGGTCGGATTTTTTCGGCATTTTTTCATCTTCCGTCTACTAGTCAAAGTCAGTAAATCTAACGATTATCGCCTTTGCATCATATTTTGGCGCCCAACGCCTGATTTCCGTTGATTTTCTTCACCTACACTGTATATTATCCCCGACACAGAAACTCCCACTCAACTGAATAATCGAAACTTGATATTCATGGCTTGGCGGCTCTTTATGAAGAAAACCCTAACCCTAATCGTAACGCCTTCCTTTCCAAACCCTAATTCATTTAAAATCTCCCCCTTCTCCACCTCGTTTCTCGTCACCAAACTCCCCAAAAAGCTCCGAAAGAAACGAAAAAAGCCCGATTCTCCCCGAACCAGGCCTGTCCAGCCCGACTCGGTCCGAATCCCTCACTTCGAATCTGTCCTGAATCGCGATTCTGTCTTCAGGTTCCTCATCAAAAGCAAAGAATTCCTCTCCAAACAGCCAGAATGCATCCTCCGCCTTGACGATGCCGGCAAGCTCCACCGTGAGTTGGGCTTCCCGCGCGGCCGTAAAGTTATCAAGTCAATTCAACGGCATCCACTAATCTTTGAAGTTTATCGCCATACGGACAACAAAATGTGGCTTGGATTCACCGAATTCGCGGAGCAGTTGCTGGAAGATGAGAGGTCGATCATGGACTCTATGGAAATGGACAGGGTTAATAAGGTTCGAAAATTGTTGATGATTTCGAAAGAAAAGAGGATTCCTCTGAGTAAAATTTATCATAACAGGTTGTTATTTGGAATTCCTGAAGATTTCAGGGACCGGGTTGCCAAATACCCTGACTATTTTCGAACGGTTGTTGAAAATGATGGCAAAAGGTTTCTTGAATTGGTTACTTGGGATCCGATCTTAGCTGTGAGTGAATTACAGAGACAGTTTATTGTTAATGAGGATAAGGTTATGAAAGCATTTAAATTTCCTGTCAAGTACGGGAAAGATTTGGGTTTGGATGAAAATGATATGAGAAAGCTTAACTTGTTGAACACTTTTCCATTGGTGTCGCCGTATAGCGATGGGTGGAAGTTGGACATTTGGAGTTTGGAGGCGGAGAAGTATAGGGTAGGGATTGTGCATGAGTTTTTAAGTTTGACATTAGAGAAAAGGGCAAGTATACATCATATTGTGGAGTTCAAGGAGGAGTTTAGCTTGACTAGGCGAACATATGAGATGCTTAAGAAGCAGCCTCGGACATTTTATTTAGCAGGTACAGAGATGAATTGGGCGGTGTTTTTGAAGGATGCTTATGATGAGAATGGGGGTTTGATCGATAAGGATCCACAGTTGATTTTTAATGAGAAGCTGTTTAAGTTTGCACAAATGCAGGAAGGGGAAGTGGTTTCTGGTGCAGGTGAGAAATAATGTGGACATTGGAATTTTCAGAGGTGAAAAGAAGGAGATTTAGGTGAATAAAGATCAGTCTTCTGTTGTCACAAGTAATTTCAACAGAGCAATTCTGGGGCTTTGCTAACTCCTATTTAGTTTGTTCAGAAATGGCCCTTGATATTAAAACCAAAATGAGTTCAAGTTAGAAGTAATCTTGCCGCTCCTATACTGTGATCATCCGTATTTATCTGCCTTTTTACTAGTGCAGTGTGATAGCAGAAGTCACTTGCGGTTGTTGCTGATTTTTTTATTGTTATGTGCAGTCAGATCATGTATGGAAAGAAGTTATCTAAGCATTAACGAAGTTATGGGAATTTTTTTAAGATCTTTGTATTTGGATTTGTCTCGTTTTGCTGGCAATCATTGAATGTTCAACTACTTTTGGGTTCACTCACATCCAACATGAGGGCACATTCGGTAGATCCATGACTTAAGGACATGGTATTTGACTCTGTTCAAGGTTTCGACTGTACTTTAAGGCGAGAACTGTCTATTGAATTCAGAACAGAATATAGAATTCTTCGCAAATAGTGATAAGATTTTGGCCTGTATGAAATTAAAGTTCGTTGTTCTAGTGCTATATAGAAAACCGTGAAATCTTCAAATCCTCGGTAATTTTTGTTGTGACGTTAATTGATCATTATTACTACTTTCAAGTTTTGTAATGCAAGTTCTTAATATTTTTTAGCAGCATCATAAAGAAAGTTCAAATTCTGCACTTCTGCTTTCCCTTTATTATGTAATTTCACTTTTGCCTTAGACAATGCAGAATTACCTGGTTTCTTCAGATGCAAAACTGCATATTTGTGATTTTTACTTCTTGTCCCAAACATATGATGGCTACCACCCACTGAATGGCCCCAGTTTGAACCGGTCGTTATCTACATACTGTAGAAGATTAAGTTGCCACTGAATTTATACATATGGTCCTCCAATGAATCTGAACCTCTGGCCTCCATTGTTTCCGGACCAGTTTCATCTTAATAATATGACAGGGTAGCTCTCACTGTCATATTATTAAAGACCGGTTTCAATAGGGATTTTTAAAGACCACTGAGCACTGATACGTGGCAGGAATTGTATCCATCAGTCAGTTTGTGTTGTGTTAGGCATAACTTTTGCTTATCATTTGTCTTGGGTGGGTGTTGTAATCATGAATTTGATTTGGCGGGACAACTCAAGTATGGAGAACTTCAGATCCCCACTTTGTGGTGAGTTGGCCTTTCATAATGTGCTAAAATAGTTGGGAGTTGGAAGTTGCTTTTATTAAGTTGGGCCTGCAAATGCAATAGAGATAAAAAAGCATGTAAATCCTGCAATAAGGTTTGCTAGTAAGAAATACTTTTGTGTTGAAGTTCAAAAATGAAAAATCACTAGTACTGTTGAGCCAATGGAAATATTTTATCAATTTATACAAGATGTTGAGCTCCCAGCAATTGCTATGTCTCTCGAGTCTCGTCCTTTACTGTCCATATATCATAATCACGCTGTTTGTATTTAAAAGAAAAAGCCTTTTCTTGCAAATTTCGTTTATAACTACTGTCTATTCACTCAAAGAGCTGAGTTAAAACTTTAAATCGTTGCCAAGCTTCAACAATTAGAAAAGGGTGTTACATTGCGAACCGTGATGCACATATTATAAGTGTTCTTCATCGGTAAGGATCTAATCGATGTTACATTTTCAGTTGTTCACCAAAATTGTCTCCCCACTCCCCTTTTCCTACTCGGTAATTATTTGAGCATAGGTTTTACAGAATGCCCTCTGATCATGCAACAGTCTGAACCAGGAAACACTTTAGATTGAACATATGATTAGCATTATCCGCCACAACATATCTAATTTAGTTCAATACATGATATTCCCAGAGAATTAGAGCAAATTAAAACTGAAGCCGGTATAGCTTAAATGAACCACACCACAAGGAAGACTGATTGAATAACCAAAACCACTCCAACAAGAAAGCATATTACGTTTGTGATACAAATAGTCTTGAGGTAAATATGAAAGCAAGTAATCCCACCCCGAAGAAAAACTCAATTTTTTTTTTTTTGGGAAATCACAAGGCAGTTTTACCCAAGAAGGAAGAATGGGAAATCAAGAACAATTAAAAAACATGTGTATATGACAATGTCTCTACCGGGATGATGAAGCATGTGCAGATGATAGTGTCTTCAAGGGTAAGTGGCTTTGAGATTGGCTCTTTAACTTTCTCCCATTTTTCGGCCCAACTGTTACACTGCTCCTTTGACCACTGGAGGACGTTCCACTTCGGCCTGTTCTTTTCCCTGTTTTTCTTCTAGAGCTCTGACTGTTGTTCCCAAGGACAGCTTTGGCAACACTATCTTTGAGCACCTCTCGTGCTCTCTGTGGTTTGATGGGCTGCTTGTTCAGATACACTAGCTTTGGAAGGAGACTACAAACTGCCTTGCGCAACTGGTCATCACTGATGTTACTCTGTATTGGATTACCCAACAGGTTCAAAGCTAGCAATGACTGGTAGTTAGCCACAAGCTGACCAAGAGCTTTTGTTGTTGTTATCTTGTTGAAGCTCATGTCTAAGACAGTCAGCTTCAAGAGCCTATGCAACCCCTCAATATCACTGATCTTGTTTCCCGCAAGATAGAGTTCCTTGATTAGTGTACAGCTTGACAAACCTGATACCATCAGAATCCAGAAATACAACTTATTATAGGAGACTGTCTTGTTGTTGGGGAAATTTAATTAAAAGAGAGAGATCAAAAAGATTAATTGAAAGCCAGAAGAAAAAGGTTTGCTGAGATAATTACCATGTCCAATCCGAGAAATGCGGTTATAACTTAGATCAAGTACTCGCAGTCGGGTCAATTCTCTGAGCCCTTCAATGGTGCTGATCTTGTTTCTTGACAAGTTGAGTGCGTGAAGGCCCTTTGGCAGTGATCCTGCAGTTATATGGACTGCAAGTAATGGAACAACAACCAACTCAGTTAGAACAAAAACATATCTCCTGAAACTAGATCTTATATTATCAAAATGCCAAGACATACCTATAAAATTGTTTGACAAGTTGACAGTCCGAAGACCAGAGAAACGTGATATTGTGGGGATGGCTTTCAAGCCTATACCGGCAATGTGAGCCACAGTTGAAGAAGAATTCAAAGACTGGATTACACTATTGGCATGCGAAACCTCTGCTGAGAGATTGATATCTGTACGACAAGTCAGGTGGGCAGTGCTTCGAGCCTGTGACTTACCAGTATCAGGGGAAGGTGGGAAGACAATACCCTCATCACTAATCTCATTATCATCAACTGGAAGAGGGGTTTGCGTTTCAAGATCTTTCACCCACTCATCTACTCTTTTGAAGGAAGGTGATTCTGCTGGAAAAGCAACCCATTGGTTATGCGGCCACAAGGCAGAAATTCCTTTATCAAAACCATCCCAGCTGCGGTTGTGATTATTGTAAAAGCCACTCCAACTTTTGTTCAAGGGTTCTCCGGTAAATGATCCAGGGGATTCCATCTTGCCAGAATTCATAGCTCTATTTGGTTCAAGTGTATCTGAAGAGTACCCACCCTGCTGCTTTAGAGCAGCAACAATAGGAACTGGTTGTGGTTTTGAAATCCATGGTTTGTGCAGATTCCTATGGCTCCACAGGAACAATTTCCACCACAACCTTCTACTCCTGGAAGGAAGAATTTGGCTTGAAGAATGTTTCTTTAACATCACTTTGTCAGCACTCAAATGGCTCTTCATTGAATAAGGACTCCCAGGATCAAAATTCTGCCTCAACTTAGAAGCTAGATCCTGCAATTCATCATAAGACTCAGATTTTGAAGGAGGCAATTGATCTGCCATCTTTCTCAGCACTACCCTTGTTTCCAGATTAGAGCACGAGCGCTTAAGCTTTGGTGAAGCCCAGAACTCAGTCCTCCCAATCCCTGGATCACTAACATGTCCACTCTGGATCATATCAACACCCTTTTCATGACCTTTCTCAGGTTTGTTTTCAAATTGCCCAGTCACAGCTGTGTCAATTGAATCAAAGCAACCGGACTTTCGGTTCCTAGGATCAACCTCTTCTTCGCCTGAATTAGTTACGTGTGCTTGGAGATCAAAGTCAGAGAATTCCCTCTTGATAGATAAGTTTTCTTCATGCTCATCTTCCCCTTCATATGCTATCTCTGCCGGTTCATTCCCAACAGGACTCTCATGACTCATCACCTTGACATTGCAAAAGGAATTATCTTGCATGTCATAAGGTACCGCGACACTAAAGGATGTCAATTTCAGCTCATCAGTTTCAAAAGGTTTCACCGGGTGTTCAAGGTTGATTTGCAGGGCAGCAATCTCTTTTGCAAATTCAGCAGCTCTTGATGTCTTCACGTCCCCCTACAAACAAATAATGATTAGGTGAGCTAGTTAGCAACTCACAAGGTACATAAATTACATAAATTACAAAAATGTAAAATAAGAATCATTCGTGCAAAAATCAACTTGATGCTTACCTTATTCTTTTTCTTCTTCCCAATTCGTACAAAGAAGCAATTGAGTTTCGCCATATCAAGAAATCAGCAACTTGAATTCCTCAAGATACAGTACAGCTGAACTGTCTTCCTTATTCTTTTTGGCTTTTCAAAATTTACCTACCGATGCTCACATCTCAATATACTACAGATTGAGTTCTAACAGCTAAAGAGTCTTGAATAATAGGTTCACATTGGACAATAATTGGATCAAAAGTTAGCCATAATCAACGGGAAGGCACCAAACCAATGAGCTTGGACAATATAAAAAGAGCTGAGGACCGGGAAACAGAGAACTCTCTCCTCCTCCGCCGGCTAGCCAATGTATCACTAGAGTGTCGGCCAGAGTTGTATACGCAATAGCCTCTCTCTGAAGCTTCACCAAACGAATCGTTACTCAGACAAAACCACTACTTCCGTTATTTATAAGTTACAAACTAGACCAAGTTAAGAAAACTCCAGAACCCAGTTTAACTAAACCACGATTTTTAAAGCTAGATTATCAATCGTGTAAAACGGAAACCACATATTACGTTAGTGTCAGATAGCCATTAAAGCAAGTCAGCATATTTAGAGGTTATTCGATAAAACAAGGAAACCCCACATGAAGAAAGATTGAAATTGACATCTGAAACGAGTTGAATCATTAAATTAAACATAATCGTACCTATGGAAGGTGAAACCAGGCAGATTGTGAAATGGCGTTACAGTATTATTGAGTATGAACAGAAATGGAGTGAGAATTAAAGTTGATAAACAAGAGAGACGAAGAAACAGAAGGAAAGGGGGTGTGGTGGAGGAGGTTAGGTGAGTGAGAGGGTGGAATGAGCTTAAGAGGTAGAAACAGGTAGGGTTAATTCAGACAAATACATAATACGCGCATGAAACACGGTATTGATGTGAGCAACTTGTTATAATATCAATTAATTATTGCTGTTAAAAATCTGTCATAATATCCAATATATTAACTATATTACTATTTATTTACACAGCATTATATATTTTCAACTAATTTTAGTAAATCATTGTGATTATATTAACAATCAAATTTAAAAGTTTTTTCTTTAATTAGATGATTTCATATTGTTACCTTTAATCTTCCAGTATAACCCTAATTAATATCCACATGATTATTGGTAATTAAAACTGTAATATTTCAAAATATAATGTCACTATTAAACATAAAAAAAAAAAAGACTGAAAACAATATAATATAAATTTCGACTAAGTTGTAATAAAAAACTGAAGGGTGCATTGTCAGTGTGAGGTGGTGATCCCGGTGGAGAATGGAGAAGGCAGGTATAAGGACACGTATTTCTAGAAAGAGTGGTTACCAATCATCCAGAATAGAGCAGATCGTACAAATTTTGCCTACCGCTTATCATCGGATTCTTCTGGGCTTTTATTCTCTCTCATTGTATGAGCCTAATCATCATCTGTCAACCATTAAACAAACTATTATTAAAAATTCCTTCTTTCTAATTCAATTGATGATGTGGCAATAAGGGATTGGTCAGTATTTTGCAGTCATAATTTAATTGAATAAGATAATAAAACGCCGAATCTCTTGCCGTACGCTCTTCCGTGCATATCATCACACGGAGAAGTTGACACCTTTCTCGTCGTCTTCTCTTCACTGAAGTCACCACTTACGTTACGTGTTCTTTTTCCCTTCTCCTCGCATTTGTTAAGAAACATGAGGTCTAACTCTATGAATCCTTTTGGAGAAAATTTTACCTTCAATTACGTGAGTTTGGGATCTACCAGCAGCGGCCAAAAGGAAATCGATCTAGAATCTGGAATTGCTTTTCTCCTACCGACCCCAGGCGTCTGAATTCTAACAAGGGAATCTAACCAAATCATATCCCATATGCACTATCGCTGTGTAAAACGAAATTGATTTTCATGACGATGTCAATCACATGGACATCCTATATATAATACTGTAAGATGATGTGTGGCTATTTTCATTACTTGATTATAAGGCTAGTGCAGCAAGCATTACAAATCCCCAAATCAAAACTTGTTATTGGTTGGATTGAAAAGCTTTAATTATTTGTGAGTGGAAACATGTGAATATTTGATATCAATCAAAATTAATATAATAATGCATTTGCTGAATGGAAGCCAATCTTATCTTTACCTTATAGCGGAGCCCAGTGAAATTAAAAATTGTTGGCACATGAAAGAGATATAATTCAAGTTTGGTTGTTATATTATCACATCATATGGACCATTAGCTTCAGGGTCAGGGGCAATCACTTGAATCACATGTTCATCCATTCTCAATTATCTGCTCATAAAGTCGACTCTTTAGGAAATGAAAAGCTGTTTTTCTTTAAAACGTCAGGACAATATGATAAGGCATAAGGAGACATCGTGTCTAATACACAACAAATAACCATAACAAAAATCTGCCAAAAATATCTTAAAAATAATAAAAGTAGCAAACTTCCCGCTTTGGAGATTTGTTTCAAGTCCAGTTATAGGTATGGGTATGTTCTTTATTGAACATTGTACAGGCACTATGCTTTTAACTCAACTTTGTATATCTCTAATTTGGGTAATTACGTTTATCATTTTACTGTAAAGTGGGCATACGTTTTCGGTGTAAGTTCAGTAGAAGATATGCACTTACTGTGAAGTAGGCATACGTGCGTTTGGTTCAATACTATTGAACCAAGTTCATAAAAGCCCAAACGTTTGTCAATAGCTGAGGATACGGTCCAATCTCATTTGACGTGAACCTTAATGGGCCGTGGAATTGGGCCTGGTATAAGATGTAAGCTTTGTTCTGATTCACAACTTTACAGTTTATTTATTTTTTTAACTATAATAATTTAATTTAAGTACATATAAGTATAACAACATGAAAATTTAAAATTTCAGACACATCTAATAAAAAGAGACTCGAAGAAGATGTTTTCAATAGAAAGAGACACGTGTCAACAGCATACCTTAATCTCATGGCTACAGCACACGAACTCCCCGGTCACAACACCAAATCGATTATCGATACTCCTAAGTCCTAACCCTTCTATTTTCTTGGCACTATCTCTCCTCAATCTGTAACTGCCACTAACAATTTCGCCCAAATCTCTCTTTGTCATGGCCACAACCACCGTGGATCGCCACCATCTCCACCTCAATTCCCTCCCTCTAATCGATATCCGCCTCCTCTCTCAATCCGAACTCCTTTCTCTTTCTCACTGCTCTTCCCGCACCACCACCGCCACTCAAAACGACGATGAAGACGAGGTTTCAACTCCCAAAATTGACCGCTCCGTCTTTAACGAATCTGCCGGCAGCCGCAAACAGACCTTCTCACGGTTCCGTCTGGCCCCTCGCAATTCCTCTCAAATTCTTACTCAATTTCCTTCCGTAGCTCCGTCCGAAACCCTCGATGATGATAATTCTGAAATTATTTCACTCCTGAAGTCTCTCTTCAAAATTCAATCTCACTCCTCATATACGGTCGGTAACAACGGGCAGTTGATTCCTGTGCAGGTTCACTATGAAGACTACTTGAATGCTACTTGGGATTCGAATGAAAACAAGGGTTTGCATGATGTTCCCGTAGACGTGGTTAGTTTTAGTGTAAAGAAGAGAAAGAGAGGGCGGCCGAGGAAGGATGAGAATCGTGCTAGTGATAGTTGTTGGCTGATTGAGAGTGGAGTTAAGTTCAATGAAAACAAGGTGAGCATTCCTGTCAACGTTGTTGCTTGTGAGAGTACAAAGCGAAGACCAGGGCGGCCAAGGAAGGATGAGGATAGGAGTAGACATGAATTTAGCGTTATTGAGAGTGAGAGTAAGGTGAATGAAAGCAAGGGTGAGACTAATGAAGCTAAGGTGACTATCACTGGTGTTGAGAGCTTACAAAACATTCCTGTAAATGCTTTTGCTTATGAGAGTGGAAAGAGAAGACCAGGGCGGCCAAGGAAGGATGAGAATAGCAATAGACATGAATATGGGGTTATTGAGAGTGAGAGCAGGGTGAATGAAAGCAAGGGTGAGAATAATGAGGCTAAGGTGACTGTCGCTGGTGTCGAGAACTTACAAAACATTCCTGTCAATGTTTTTTCTTGTGAGAGTGGAAAGAGAAGACCAGGGCGACCGAGGAAGGATGAGAATAGGACTAGAACTGAATATAGAGTTATTGAGGCTGAGAGTATGGTGAAGGAGAACAAGGGTGAGAATAACGAGATTAAGGTGACTTTGGGCAATGTTGAGAGCTCAATAAACATTCCTGTTAACGTAGCTTCTTGTGAGACTACAAATAGAAAACGAGGGCGGCCTAGGAAGGATGAGTGTAGGAATCAAAATCAATATCAGGCAGTTGGGAGTGAGAATAAGGTGGTTCAAAGTGTGAGTAAGAATAAGGAGGAGATCACCGTTATTGAGAATAAGGAGGACAAGAAGGAAACAAAAATGGTGATGGAGAATAGGGATGGTGTGGTTGTGGATTTTGTTACATTGGGGACTGTGAAGGATCCATTTGCAGAGGAGTTGAGGAGGAGGACGGCAGGGATTCAGAAGCAGGAAGATTTGTTAGGGTATTTGAGTGGGTTAAAGGGAGATTGGGTCAGTAGGAGGCAGAAAAGGAAGATTGTCGATGCAAGTGACTATGGGGATGCATTGCCAAGGGGGTGGAAGCTTATGCTTTGTATCAAGAAGAAAGTGGGGCATGTGTGGTTAGCTTGCCGACGATATATAAGGTTTTTCCATTATATTTTTTTGCAATAATGTGTTCTATTTTTTATTAATTAAATGCTGCATTCTAGAATTGTATATTTCACTGTTTATGTTTACTTTTCATGTATGGAATTAAATTTGAAAAAAGAAAAATCTGAGAAGTGTTTGTTAAAGCAACTGAAATTCCAATGTCTTATTTGATGGGAAAGAAAAAAGCTATTTGTAGATAACAAACTCTATTCTTTTGTGATGTATATCATACTAAAAAGAAGAAGGAAAAGTTGTTGACATGTATAGTTTTTTTCTAAGTAGATAAGATGTAAGAATACACACTAGGGAAAAAAGGGAGAGAAATATTCGAAATGTGCAGTCTGTACCACAAAAGGGAAAATAATTATGTTTTTAGGCATAAAAAGTTTTCTTGTTTTTCAAATGATGCTTGAATGTAAGGCATGGGTTGTACTAATCAGTTTTATTAAGTTATTGTGCCACATGATATGATTTCAAGGTAAGTGCCACCTCCATCTGACAATGACAAGTTCCAGGCACTATCATTATAACTCCAGAAGTCCAGGAAGTGCAATTTTATTGTAATTTATTTGTTCGGTTTACTCCTTTCTTTTATAGTAAAAAAGATAAAAATGGAAATAGATGGTTTATGTGCCTAGAAAAGGAAGCACAGGTATTTGTATTGACAAGTCACTGGTATATAAACTGACTCCACCTTTTTTGGACTTGCTCTGTGTCTTCAAAAAATATTATAAATCTTGTTTCTTATGATCCTGGTAAGTCAAACCTAATTACCTTAGATATCAAATGCTATCTTGGCAAGACTCTGCAATCTACATCATTTTATCCAAAATCTACTGTAAAGTGTTGTCTCTGTCTGAGTCAAGCCCTAATTACTACAGAAGTGCTGACCTTATAAGATTCCACATCACTTTCTTTAATACATTATGCATCACAACAATTTCTGTACGAGAGTTTGGTATTTGAAATTATTGTTATTAGTACATATCCTAGTCCTTAGACCTTTTAGTGAGTTTCTCATCATTAAAGAGTGTGAAAAGATGAGGTTTTATCATTGACGATGAAACCTTTGGGTGAGAATGTTGTCATTATAAATAATGCTGAGAGACTAGGCATAAATGTTCTGAGCTGTTTCTAACAGCTGTTTGGAACAATGTGCTATCATCTAAAAAGAGTTATTACCATAGCAATCTTCATATGCATAAGAGTTTTTGATATATAATTTTTTTTCCTTTCAAGATTCTGTTCTCTCTGTCTGTCTGTCTGTCTCTCTCTCTTTTAACTTTCAGAAAATGGAGTGTTACAAAGCTGTACAAAGTTCATGAGTAATTTCTTCAGTATGTCAATTATCCTACATTTTGAAATGCAAAAATATATGGTTTTATTAAGTGAGGTTATTGTATTAAGGCATGCCTGTTATGACTTCTAGAAGCCCAATAATTATTTAGGCTATTCCAATAATTCTTTTGAGTTCTTTAAAGTTTTAAATGTGAAAGACACTATGTTATTGTATAACATCTTTTTTGGTAAATTATTACCACAAAGCACTTACGGATTTACGCAACCAAATAACTAGCAACTTTTTGTTTAAAGCTCTTTTTTCATAAGCTTTACTTAAAGAAGTTTTACCAAATGGACCTTTAATTGGAAAAGTTATTATCTGAGTGCTATACAGTTATTTATTATGGTCTAAAATATTATTCTCAGGATATGGTATACCTTTCGCAGCATTTATTCCATGACTTAAGTTGGGATTGTGTTTTTGCTTTTTCAACACTGCTTTATTTATTCAATGTTGAGTGGAGGTTGCAACGTAAAATACTTAACTTTATGGATATTTTCTATTGTCATATTATCAGTTGTGTGGTTCTTACTCACTCTCTTCTCTCATTTGTTACCATCCAGCCCTAATGGGCAGCAGTTTGCATCTTGCAAGGAAGTTTCTTCATATTTGCTCTCCTTTTTTGGACTGAAAGATGCAAGTCAGTCAAATGCTGGTCATACTGGTGATGGTGTCCAGTTGGACGACAAACTGACTTCTGGAAATGTAAGTGAGCGATTCTTATACTTGTTATATGAATTTCAAGTTTATGTTGTAGTTTCTATTTATTATTTATGCTACAGGCTGCAGTTTGTATGCACAAGGATGACAAGAATGGAGCTGACCTTGTGTTGTGTTCGCCGCATCCCTGTACTCCTCAATCTACTGAGTATGAGAAACAAGCCACCTTACTGGAGACAAAGAGTCCTGGGGAAGTCAGAAGACAGGAAACACTAAAATGCCATAAATGCTCCATGGTTTTTCATGAGCAGGATGATTTATTGCACCACCTGTTATCTTCTCACCAGATGACGACGAAGAGGTCTAGATGTAGTACATCAATAAGTGAGGGGGTAATCATTAAAGATGGAAAATATGAATGCCAGCTATGCCACAAAGCATTTGAAGAAAGACATAGTTACAATGGCCATCTCGGGGGCCACATGAAAAACTATGTGAAGCGACTTGGTGGAGTATTAATGACACAGAAAAATAACGAACCTGTAGCTGTTGGAGTTTCTTCTGAATTCTTGGAGAGACAAGAAACAGTTGGAGCTGACTGGGGTTCTTTTGCTGAAAAATCTTCCAAGTGCAGAGGCAACAATGAAACAAGTTCTGCTTTACCTCATAGTAAACCAAAAGCTGATGGTACCCTTGAACCTCATTCTGACAGATACGTTCATAATGATCAGTTCATGATATCCAACAGAAATGTTCAAACTTTAATTGAGAAAAATTGCAATAAACAGCAAACAGCTTTTGGCTTAACTAATGATAAAATGGATAAGGTGAAAGTAGCTACTGATATGAGGGCTGCTAAACCTGATGTTTGTTTGGGTGCTGGTACAGACTTGTCTACTGATCATAGAAAAAAATCATGTGTATTTCCTGGTGAAAGGGATGTTCCCAAGAGCAACATTGGTAGTATTAATCATTATGGTTGGCAGGGTCGAAGTCCTCAGAATTGGTCCCTTGCTCTTGCTGGAAGTAACCAACCACATTTTGTTGACTACAGTGCTAAAGATGTTCCCATCAACTTGATGGAGGAGCAGAGAAAAGAGGTAGGTTCTGAAAGTAGTTTTTTGCCTTTGAATGTTAAGGATAAAATAGGTAGTTGTGAAAATCTTGAGGAAAGGCATTTTACTATCACCATGGAAGGTGGGCAAATGTATAGGAATAAACATGCAAGAAATGAAGCAATATCTAGATCCAATTATCAGGGCATTGGGTTGGAGAATGCTGTGACTAATGTCAAAGAGCAAGGAAGTTTTAAAGACCGTTCACCTGTTCCCATGGAGCAAAGATGTGGTTCTCAAAGTAATATGAATGGTGTTTCTACATCCATGTTAACAGAAGCCCAGCAGGAAAGAGGTCCTGCAAGTGGTTTACCCACTGCTGCTTCAGGAAACAAGCCTACATATGTTGTCAACAATTATTTGAATAGTGTTTCGACTACCATGTTAAATCAGCCCAAATTTGATGATGTCAGTAGATCTGAGAATTTTGGACTATCGTTTGGGTTTGGCAACAAACACACTATTAGTAAACCCCGGCAGGAAGAGGATTCTGAAGTTGGTTTGCTTAATTTATTTGGAAGTGGAAAATTCTTTGGGTTTGATAACAGTTTGACTAAGGCTTCTGCCGGGACAACGGAGTTCCCCAAACTTGACGAAGTCAGGAACACCAATGAACAAGTACATGGTGTTGAAAATAATTATAGGGTTTATACAGACACTGTTCAGCAGGATTCGAGGTTAGAGAATTCAGAAAATGCTAGAAACAATGAATTCATGCCTGCTTTTAGTAATCATGCTCGATCTGGTGTGGATGCCATGGCGGAGTTTTTGTGGAGAACTGATGAAGAAAACATCCTGCTGAGTGGGTTGGGGGATACATCATCTCGATTGTTGCAATCATCAAGCTGTTTTCCTGCATTTGGTACAATGTCAGATAAGGTATGCTGCATCTGCATTCTTTTAAGTTGTAGTGTGTTCACGTGAAAAAGAATGGCACTCTGTGGTGCATTGTGTAGCTATTTTCACTTTAGAAAGTTATTCAAACCGTTCTGATGGGGACTATTGTTTAACAACAATGAACGTCATAGATAACAACGGTTATGCCTTTGTGTTTTTATCTCATTTGTTTTCTTAGACAACTATAACATGGTTTCATCTTCTTTTATGGTAGCTAGTATTGTCTTATGTATGCATTTCCAATATTGCTAGATATATGGCTATTCTAATTATTTGTAGAAAATATTCACTGTTTTCTTAGAGGGAACTAGAAGTCCTTGTTGGTGATGGATTTTGCGAATAAACTCCTTTTAGGTTACCATAATTGCTATGACCCCACCTTAACAGCAAAAAAAAGACATTGCAGTTTTGTGCATCGAATTCATGTTACAACTGAATGTTGAAATTAGTTAACTGAACTTTATTTTGTTGACGGACAGGGTGAAACTGAACTCTTCAGCATTGGTGAGAAGTATGACAGTATATCAGGATTTGAAGGGCTGAGATCAGGTAGTATGGAACATATGGAATATGATTTTCTGACTACTCAAACAAGCTCTCAGCCGCAGGTCCCAAAGGTTTTGTCATATGATGCAGAGATTTCCCGAGGGTTTGATTCCTCTGTTTGGCTTGAGAAGGAAGCATTGCCTTTGTTGCCTAAGATAGGTAGCAGGTATCAGGTTGCTACTGTTTGTGCATGGTGCAGAAATGAGTTTCATCATGAGCCTGTTGAGACAGGAGCAGAAACAGGAGCAGTGGGTTTCATGTGTCCAACCTGCAAGGCCAAATTCTCTGGTTACCATAATTCACTGTAGAATGGTTTATCTACAATAACTCAGGATCTAGTGATGGATTGCTTCATATTTACTCGGTTTCTAATCATTGATTATCTCAGATATGAGGTAGATTTGCTATTATGAACAAAGACCATTTTGGCTAGAAAGCAGTCAAGTTTCTCAGGCTGGCATAAACATTATGTTCCAAATGACAGCTGGGATCCTATAGCATTTCGTATTTTTCAGATGAGATTGCTCTCTCTGCTAATTGTTTTAACGTGGCCAGATTAATGGAAATGCCTCCCATCATAGTATGAGACAAAATAACTAATGTTTAACTATAAATGAAGTTCTTTGATTTTGATTTCTTTTTTCCTCTTTGGATTGTGAATTACTGTCAGATGGACTTTTTTTCCCTCTTTATTACTGTCCTCAAAAAACTTAGTAGATTTTAAACCACAGTTTGTTTGATATATTTTGTAAGCCATCTCGTTCTAGTTTTCTTCCTTGTAGTCTGAGAAAAAAGACCAGTTAAATCTCTTGTAACTTCTGTATAGAAGTTCTTTTATGGCGTTATTTTATTAAGTTGTGTAACGTTTTGTTTTAAAACCCCAATAAACGAATTGGACAGTGTCATGAAAAAAATAGAAGATCCAAAAGCGGGGTACCTTTATTTTTCATCTTATTTATTTTTAAGCTCATTATAGTTTGTGGAAGTAACAAGAGAACTATCGTAACGAACAAAGCCTTAAAAGTTTAATTAGTCTCTGCTTACCCACAGGCCACAACCACAAACACCAATTAATTTTAATTGATACAGCTGAAGCTTGACCTTTCATCTTTTTCACTTCCAGTCCCTGCCCTTGCCAAATACAGATGGGGGGGGGGCCCCCCCCCCCCTTTGGAACAATGTGCTATCATCTAAAAAGAGTTATTACCATAGCAATCTTCATATGCATAAGAGTTTTTGATATATAATTTTTTTTCCTTTCAAGATTCTGTTCTCTCTGTCTGTCTGTCTGTCTCTCTCTCTTTTAACTTTCAGAAAATGGAGTGTTACAAAGCTGTACAAAGTTCATGAGTAATTTCTTCAGTATGTCAATTATCCTACATTTTGAAATGCAAAAATATATGGTTTTATTAAGTGAGGTTATTGTATTAAGGCATGCCTGTTATGACTTCTAGAAGCCCAATAATTATTTAGGCTATTCCAATAATTCTTTTGAGTTCTTTAAAGTTTTAAATGTGAAAGACACTATGTTATTGTATAACATCTTTTTTGGTAAATTATTACCACAAAGCACTTACGGATTTACGCAACCAAATAACTAGCAACTTTTTGTTTAAAGCTCTTTTTTCATAAGCTTTACTTAAAGAAGTTTTACCAAATGGACCTTTAATTGGAAAAGTTATTATCTGAGTGCTATACAGTTATTTATTATGGTCTAAAATATTATTCTCAGGATATGGTATACCTTTCGCAGCATTTATTCCATGACTTAAGTTGGGATTGTGTTTTTGCTTTTTCAACACTGCTTTATTTATTCAATGTTGAGTGGAGGTTGCAACGTAAAATACTTAACTTTATGGATATTTTCTATTGTCATATTATCAGTTGTGTGGTTCTTACTCACTCTCTTCTCTCATTTGTTACCATCCAGCCCTAATGGGCAGCAGTTTGCATCTTGCAAGGAAGTTTCTTCATATTTGCTCTCCTTTTTTGGACTGAAAGATGCAAGTCAGTCAAATGCTGGTCATACTGGTGATGGTGTCCAGTTGGACGACAAACTGACTTCTGGAAATGTAAGTGAGCGATTCTTATACTTGTTATATGAATTTCAAGTTTATGTTGTAGTTTCTATTTATTATTTATGCTACAGGCTGCAGTTTGTATGCACAAGGATGACAAGAATGGAGCTGACCTTGTGTTGTGTTCGCCGCATCCCTGTACTCCTCAATCTACTGAGTATGAGAAACAAGCCACCTTACTGGAGACAAAGAGTCCTGGGGAAGTCAGAAGACAGGAAACACTAAAATGCCATAAATGCTCCATGGTTTTTCATGAGCAGGATGATTTATTGCACCACCTGTTATCTTCTCACCAGATGACGACGAAGAGGTCTAGATGTAGTACATCAATAAGTGAGGGGGTAATCATTAAAGATGGAAAATATGAATGCCAGCTATGCCACAAAGCATTTGAAGAAAGACATAGTTACAATGGCCATCTCGGGGGCCACATGAAAAACTATGTGAAGCGACTTGGTGGAGTATTAATGACACAGAAAAATAACGAACCTGTAGCTGTTGGAGTTTCTTCTGAATTCTTGGAGAGACAAGAAACAGTTGGAGCTGACTGGGGTTCTTTTGCTGAAAAATCTTCCAAGTGCAGAGGCAACAATGAAACAAGTTCTGCTTTACCTCATAGTAAACCAAAAGCTGATGGTACCCTTGAACCTCATTCTGACAGATACGTTCATAATGATCAGTTCATGATATCCAACAGAAATGTTCAAACTTTAATTGAGAAAAATTGCAATAAACAGGAAACAGCTTTTGGCTTAACTGATGATAAAATGGATAAGGTGAAAGTAGCTACTGATATGAGGGCTGCTAAACCTGATGTTTGTTTGGGTGCTGGTACTGATTTGTCTACTGATCATAGAAATAAATCATGTGTATTTTCTGGTGAAAGGGATGTTCCCAAGAGCAACATTGGTGGTATTAATAATTATGGTTGGCAGGGTCGAAGTCCTCAGAATTGGTCCCTTGCTCTTGCTGGAAGTAACCAACCACATTTTGTTGACTACAGTGCGAAAGATGTTCCCATCAACTTGATGGAGGAGCAGAGAAAAGAGGTAGGTTCTGAAAGTAGTTTTTTGCCTTTGAATGTTAAGGATAAAATAGGTAGTTGTGAAAATCTTGAGGAAAGGCATTTTACTATCACCATGGAAGGTGGGCAAATGTATAGGAATAAACATGCAAGAAATGAAGCAATATCTAGATCCAATTATCAGGGCATTGGGTTGGAGAATGCTGTGACTAATGTCAAAGAGCAAGGAAGTTTTAAAGACCGTTCACCTGTTCCCATGGAGCAAAGATGTGGTTCTCAAAGTAATATGAATGGGGTTTCTACATCCATGTTAACAGAAGCCCAGCAGGAAAGAGGTCCTGCAAGTGGTTTACCCACTGCTGCTTCAGGAAACAAGCCTACATATGTTGTCAACAATTATTTGAATAGTGTTTCGACTACCATGTTAAATCAGCCCAAATTTGATGATGTCAGTAGATCTGAGAATTTTGGACTATCGTTTGGGTTTGGCAACAAACACACTATTAGTAAACCCCGGCAGGAAGAGGATTCTGAAGTTGGTTTGCTTAATTTATTTGGAAGTGGAAAATTCTTTGGGTTTGATAACAGTTTGACTAAGGCTTCTGCCGGGACAACGGAGTTCCCCAAACTTGACGAAGTCAGGAACACCAATGAACAAGTACATGGTGTTGAAAATAATTATAGGGTTTATACAGACACTGTTCAGCAGGATTCGAGGTTAGAGAATTCAGAAAATGCTAGAAACAATGAATTCATGCCTGCTTTTAGTAATCATGCTCGATCTGGTGTGGATGCCATGGCGGAGTTTTTGTGGAGAACTGATGAAGAAAACATCCTGCTGAGTGGGTTGGGGGATACATCATCTCGATTGTTGCAATCATCAAGCTGTTTTCCTGCATTTGGTACAATGTCAGATAAGGTATGCTGCATCTGCATTCTTTTAAGTTGTAGTGTGTTCACGTGAAAAAGAATGGCACTCTGTGGTGCATTGTGTAGCTATTTTCACTTTAGAAAGTTATTCAAACCGTTCTGATGGGGACTATTTTTTAACAACAATGAACATCATAGATAACAACGGTTATGCCTTTGTGTTTTTATCTCATTTGTTTTCTTAGACAACTATAACATGGTTTCATCCTCTTTTATGGTAGCTAGCATTGTCTTATGTATGCATTTCCAATATTGCTAGATATATGACTATTCTAATTATTTGTAGAAAATATTCACTGTTTTCTTAGAGGGAACTAGAAGTCCTTGTTGGTGATGGATTTTGCGAATAAACTCCTTTTAGGTTACCATAATTGCTATGACCCCACCTTAACAGCAAAAAAAAGACATTGCAGTTTTGTGCATCGAATTCATGTTACAACTGAATGTTGAAATTAGTTAACTGAACTTTATTTTGTTGACGGACAGGGTGAAACTGAACTCTTCAGCATTGGTGAGAAGTATGACAGTATATCAGGATTTGAAGGGCTGAGATCAGGGAGTATGGAACATATGGAATATGATTTTCTGACTACTCAAACAAGCTCTCAGTCGCAGGTCCCAAAGGTTTTGTCATATGATGCAGAGATTTCCCCAGGGTTTGATTCATCTGTTTGGCTTGAGAAGGAAGCATTGCCTTTGTTGCCTAAGATAGGTAGCAGGTATCAGGTTGCTACTGTTTGTGCATGGTGCAGAAATGAGTTTCATCATGAGCCTGTTGAGACAGGAGCAGAAACAGGAGCAGTGGGTTTCATGTGTCCAACCTGCAAGGCCAAATTCTCTGGTTACCATAATTCACTGTAGAATGGTTTATCTACAATAACTCAGGATCTAGTGATGGATTGCTTCATATTTACTCGGTTTCTAATCATTGATTATCTCAGATATGAGGTAGATTTGCTATTATGAACAAAGACCATTTTGGCTAGAAAGCAGTCAAGTTTCTCAGACTGGCATAAACATTATGTTCCAAATGACAGCTGGGATCCTATAGCATTTCGTATTTTTCAGATGAGATTGCTCTCTCTGCTAATTGTTTTAACGTGGCCAGATTAATGGAAATGCCTCCCATCATAGTATGAGACAAAATAACTAATGTTTAACTACAAATGAAGTTCTTTGATTTTGATTTCTTTTTTCCTCTTTGGATTGTGAATTACTGTTAGATGGACTTTTTTTCCCTCTTTATTACTGTCCTCAAAAAACTTAGTAGATTTTAAACCACAGTTTGTTTGATATATTTTGTAAGCCATCTCGTTCTAGTTTTCTTCCTTGTAGTCTGAGAAAAAAGACCAGTTAAATCTCTTGTAACTTCTGTATAGAAGTTCTTTTATGGCGTTATTTTATTAAGTTGTGTAACGTTTTGTTTTAAAACCCCAATAAACGAATTGGACAGTGTCATGAAAAAAATAGAAGATCCAAAAGCGGGGTACCTTTATTTTTCATCTTATTTATTTTTAAGCTCATTATAGTTTGTGGAAGTAACAAGAGAACTATCGTAACGAACAAAGCCTTAAAAGTTTAATTAGTCTCTGCTTACCCACAGGCCACAACCACAAACACCAATTAATTTTAATTGATACAGCTGAAGCTTGACCTTTCATCTTTTTCACTTCCAGTCCCTGCCCTTGCCAAATACAGATTTAACTTAGGAATAGAATGATCTTTTTCGGTAGTAAATTAGCAGTATTTCTCAAAAAAGAAAATTGGAAAAAAAAAAAAAGAAAAAAAAAAAAGTCAACAGACCACGTGTACCGTCCAGATGATTTTTTTTATTTTTAAGACTTGGGAGTTTTTGAAGTTGTAACTTGTAAGCAGTGACAGATAGCATCCCACCAAACCCAAAAACGACATCGTTGACAGGCCACCCTTGCGCACTGCGCACCCCTTTTCGTTATCTTCACCTTCCTCTCCCCTCCTTTCTCTCATAGTCTCTCATATCAGGTGCGAAAGCCGTTTCTTCGTTAAACAGTTGGACTTGCTTTCAAACATTTAATTCAATCATAATTTCTTTTTCCTAAAATGCGCTGCTTTCCCACTTTTGTCCTCTTATTATTCTTCAATTTTTGATTTTTTTTTTTCGAAATAGAAAATTTTCGTACTACTTTCTCATTTTCTGTTGGGTCTTGATGGGGATGAGAGTCTGGGAGGCTGGGATCTTGATTTTGTTTCTTTTTGCGAGACTTACGTCGGCCGTGGAGACAGTTAGGTATCCGTTATGTCCAACGGAATCCATTACGGATTCGATCTTAGGGTTTCGGAATTTTAACTGTCCGGTTAATACCGCGTTTCAATCTCACGATGTCGTCGCTGTTATCGAGGTACGTACATAATTTCATGTTAATCGAATTGATCCAAATATGAGTGCCAAAATTGTGATGTTTGAAATGTCAACTCGAAAATTATTTTGTGTTTTTATCATGACCAGAATCTGTCTGTAAATCAAACAAGGGGAATTGATTATGTCGTGTGAGAGCCTTTGAAATTTATAGTTTTTAAAGATGCAGGCTTTGTTGGTCTAATTATCTAAATTAACTTTTCTGCTTTTTAGAGAAAATTTTTCCATTTTCTACTAAGCAACCAAACTAAGTTTTCACATGTCACAAGAAGTGATGTATTTTGATTGGACTCCCAGCTAATTTATTACTATTTCCAGAATTTTGATAGGGCCTAGTTAAGGATTTACGTATTGGCAAAGTAATTGAGTGAAGTTTGGGGAAAGCTTCCTTTAATTTATAATTAGGGTGAATGCAGTTTTTAGCTTGTCGGCCTCAGGATTGATAAGATTAATATTTTTCTTCTATTTATAGTTTTGACGCTTTGATTTGATTGTTGTTTTAAGCACATAATTATTTTAATGAAATGTTCATATTGTTTTTGTTTTACTGAAGGGCGATGAGGTTTCATTGCAAAGGGCTCTGAATATGGTTCACAAGAACAGTTATGACTTTGTAGCTGTTCTTTTCTATGCATCTTGGTGTCCTTTTTCTCGTAGTTTTAGACCGAGTTTCTCTATCCTTTCTTCTTTATATCCTTCCATTCCCCATTTTGCAATTGAAGAATCAGCCATCAGACCAAGGTATGTAAAGGAATATTGTTCTGTGTAGATTTTCCCTTTTAGTATGTTTCCATTGGCGGTTGGGGTAACATTTTGGTTGATTTTTCCAGTATACTTTCCAAGTATGGGGTTCATGGGTTTCCCACCCTTTTTCTTCTAAATTCGTCAATGCGTGTTCGTTATCATGGCTCCAGGACTCTCGGTTCACTTGTTGCGTTTTACAGTGATGTCGCAGGTACATCCTTTTGTTATTAGTGTTATTTTTTAGGGGATCCTATAATCTGTAAAGTTCTTTTTTATGATTGCTGATTAGTTGTGAAGAGATTTCCTCATTCGCAAATGAATGTCTTACTCATTTTTTACTCAAAGTGAACTACCTGTCAACTATGTATATACAAATGGATATGCCTTATTTTGTTTTAAATGCTGTCTCAACTTTCAATTTTTATTCTGTTTATAGTCCCATAATTTAGTATTCTCTCTTGAGTGAGTGTGTACCCCACTTTACACAAAGACAATGTGCACACATGTATAGCAGTGGAGAGAAAAACTTTAAAGGGCCTTTTTGTCTGTTTTGTAGAGTGTAAATGTTAATATCTTCTTGTATCATTTTACTTCCACAAAATGCATCCTTAACTTAATTACTGCCAGCATATGCTCTTCTATCTTAAAGAATGTTTGTTGCTTTCTCCATTTTATATACGATTTTATTGAAGAGAGTTTCTCTTATGGTATCTAATGAACTTCACATATATGTATAGGCATTAAGTCTGCGTCATTTGATAAAATATCCCTGGACAAAGTTGGGCACTTATCAAATCACGAGAAGCACGATAATGTGGACGATGAAAGCTGCCCATTCTCATGGGCAAGATCACCGGAGAATTTGCTTCGGCAGGAGACATGTTTGGCCCTGGCCACCGCATTTGTTCTTTTGAGATTGCTTTACTTATTCTTTCCAACTCTGCTTGTATTTGCTCAATTTAGTTGGATAAGGCTGATCCGAAATGTTAAATTGGGGAGCTTGTTTGAGCATCCTCGGGCCTATTTGAATCGGGCAATACAGATATTCAATTCCCTAAAGGAGCCTTGCAAGAGAAGTAATTTGCAGGAAGGAGCATTGAATGCCAGGGCATGGGCTTCCAAGTCCCTTGCCACAGTTTCAATCGGTGATGCAAGCACCAGCCGGGGTGCATGTGGGAGTGAATGCCACTGACCTTTCACTAGCCATGTGGGATAGATATTTGGGTATCCTAATGGAAGGTTTGGCTGCCTCATCTGTTATGCTAGAATTTTTTCTTTTTTGGCTTCAAGATCATTTGGTAATTGGATTAGGGTCTAATGTTGTATGACAAAAGTGAAATATGACTTTGTATCTTGACATCATCGTAGTCCATCTATCAATTTGTCTATATGATTTAGAATTCAATTTATTTGACATTTTTGGTCAATTGTTATTTGGCATTCCAAAAGCATAATTAACACTGCAGTTTGTGAATAGATTACAATAAATTTACTCTCTATCATATGTGCACGAGCTATTTGTTTTTATGTCCAAGTTGAGTGACTAGAAACTTTTTCCGATGTTGGAGAATAAAGTTTGGGTCTTTTCATTTGATAATTGCACATTATATCAGATCAATTGTTCAATGCTGCAATGATTACCTGTGACTTGTTTTTGTATCTGTCTCACAATTGCTATTGACAAGGTTTTTCAATTCACTTCCTGGCACGCAGTCTGGCTATTTACAAACACAGTATAAAAAGCAATCTTTGAGATATACAGATTGTAACCACGCTGTTCATGTCATTTACAGTTGGCAAGAAAAGAAATGCATTTTCTTCGTCATCTTTAAAATGAATATATATTGCAGTCGTAAGGCTTTTTGTCTATTGCAAATTTTGGTTCATCATAATCCAAATCAATAAATTTGGAAAATAACGTTCTGACGTAGTTAAATTCCCTAACTGTGACCTAGTTTAAAGAGTCGTGGTCATCCTAATTTTCTCTGGAACCACAGATTCATCTGGCCAATGCATTTGGTATCGAAATCCATTCACCTCTAAAAGCATCACAGTAGTACAGAATATCACATTGTCCATTAAAACATTCTTTACTGAACTATCTAAATACAATTAATAAACTACCAAGTCCAATGCGGCAATCTTTCATAATATTCAAGCTTTGAAGTGGGGCTGGCAATTCAGCTGCCGCCTCCCCCAGTCGGCTCAGAACTGTCATCAACCACAAACTCCTATATACTATTTACCAGCCTTTTCAAGAGTCCAAAAACTTCAAAATCCCCGGTCTGCAAAATGAAGAGTAAACATCTTAATCTGAACTTCCCTCAGAAATAAAATCAAACATCATTTAACAACCATTGAACTTTCAAAACATACCTCCATTAAGAAAAATTGGCAGTAGGACACTAGTCGGCATCATCAAGGACAACATTGTTGTTTACATTTACAATCTGTAAAATAGAAACTTCCTTCATATAAGTCACGCAAAAATTAATCTCATTATCATATATTGAAAATAAAATTTTGGTCATCGTCAAGTTGCTTTTTCTCTGTGACATTACCAAGGGGCTTCTGGGGCAATCATAAAAGATGACCTCAAATCCAACCTAATATTGTATCATGAAGATTATGTAACTTTGTATCTCAATGCATCTTTGAGAAAGCAATCCAACATTAATGTTCAAGTGAATGAAATGTTTAGGGTTGTTATAGTGGTTCTATGAAATATCCAAGAATGTCCCCCACCAATTTCTTTTACCATGAGAAAACTATTGATTTAATAATGCAAGCTGAAAAATGTTTTTGGTGTTATGATGCAAAAAGGTAAGTGCAGCCCTAAACCTAGGCATTTGAAATTACACAGCCACATCCTTCATAAGTTCATCTATCAAGATTTATATTGATAAAAAGGAAGTTGTCACCAAATAGAGTAACATCTTGAAAGAAACTGAGAACTGAATATGTAGATTATGATAATAGAAGCCATAAGCATGACACAAAAAAGCTACTGAAATTCTCATCTCTAGCCTACCTGTGATATGTATTCTTTTATTTTCTCTCTAACTGGTCCATCTAGAGCTCTCACGCAAGCTCGTAAAACATGGTATTACCTTCAGGGCCATTAACCTTGTCCTTCTGTAATATCTACAAAAATAAGGGAGTATGGATAACTGCTTAGACTCTGTACAGAGCGAAATTATTGCAGATAAAGACACTGCAAATACATGGTCAATCCCATCAGGCAATGCTAACCTTTGCTGGACCAGTGTCTCCAATGCTTGCTTGATATTTCCAAACACCGGATGGTTTACATCATTTTCACACAATCCCATGCGCTTTAAATGGCGCCAAAGATTTTCTGCATAACAAGAATAATATGAATTATCTTACAGAAGTACAAAAGCATTACACGACACAGGCTCACAATTTCTGCTATAAGTAAAAAATCTCCTCTCCTGGTGACAATAACCTGTGATATGTTGCTCCTTGATTGATAACTTTGCCAAAATAGTGTGAAGGGAAGAACTCCAACTAAACGAATGGTTAACAACTACATGAAGCCATACGGATCTTAACCAGGGATTGTCTCAACAAAAGGTTACTTTTACCATTCATCTTGACCCTTGGCCTTCACTACACTTTACCAATGAAATTATGGTTACTGAAAAACTATACCAAAAAATTACCTTCTGGGATTTTGCCTCCAGCAAGATGCACAATACTAACTATAACAAACGTAAAACCAGTTAGATGTGCTGTATTTACATCTTCAACATATTTCTTTACAACTCTGGCGGTAGCTGACTTACAAGAATATAGATTTTGGGTCGCAACACCTGGACAGTACATCATCAGAGCTACAGTTATAACCAAAATTAAAGAATAAACCAATAGAAGATAGATGCCAGAGAACTGCAGATAGCCTCATAAATATAAACTATAACATCCAGATAACTTGATTCTAACTTTTCCTAATTGGAATATATGAAAAGAACTCTCATCAGGGAGAGTGTACCCAAGATAGAACTTTCCCTTTTACCTTACCCGCTAATTTTAACAAAAAAATAAAGAAAAAGGAACGAAAGACCATTTATGCACGTATATTGCAAGGATTACATTTGGAAATGGCAGCCAAGTGTCTTCATTGAATGCCATATACCCACCAGCCACAAGGTGGCGATGAGGCCAGCTCGGCTTGTTTAAAGTAAAACTGCAGGCTGCTAGTGTAACGAGTGGAGAGAATCAGCCTTTTATCACCACGTTTGCAGCAACTAACTGGTGGAACCAATGATCCACTAACTCACTACCCAATCAATGAATTACCCAGCACTCTGTCTCTTTGAAGGATGAAAGTAATTACTGATCAGTAATAGGTCTAGCATCACTCATAAATGAAATTTCAAAGACAAGATATATCATATAAAAAGAAAAATACCCAACCATACAGTAATATATCCCAGAATCAAAGTAGAATAAGTAATCTTCAATTTAAAAGAAAAGAAAAAGAAAAGAATTTAACAAATTCTTGAAAATCCAACAGAACGTAATCTACTTCGAGCAGCAGGGTGTATGTATGATAATGATATTAAAAGGCAATAAATTCTCACTGTTTTGAGAAGGTCGACCGAGATTTGCTGAGGCAGGACGGGACCTTTGAAGCTCTCTCAATTCATAGCCAAAAACGCTTGAGAGCTTCTCGCTGGCCGCATTAATCACAAAAGCAGGAAGATTACGCTGAGAATAGTTTTCGTAACCAAGTGAACAAGTTCCTCTCTCTTAATCGGACATCCCGAGTTCTGATGAGTTTTGAAAATGACATAGCGTACCACTTCCGCCACGAGCTTCTCTATTTCCTACACCATGGTTTTTAATTCGTATCATAACAATGTACACTAACAAACTTCTCTTAATTTTTGTTTGGTATTAAAAATTAAAAAAAAAAAAAATTCATGGTCTGTAATCACCTCTTTTGATATATCAACTGAGAGAAATCTTCGCCGCCGTTGGCCATCCTTTGCCGAAATTAAAAAAACCAATTGATCGGCTTGTCACAGTTGCAATGGGAGTGAGGAGGAGTTGATTGCTGGTGTGTTATAGTTTCTTAGAACTAACTTTACAAACCCTAATCAATATTCTGTTTGGGTACAGAGAATTTTGAAGAAAAAGGAGGGAAGATGTGATAATATGCCCTCGGAAAATTCTGCCCTCAGCAAATAAATCACAGACAAAACCATTACATTTCGTTTTCGCTTTTCTAGTATGATTTCATCACATATCTGACTTGTGTATGTTATTACAGCTCACTATGTGAAATGTTTTGTATTAAAAACTTCACTCCAGTCTCATCTCAACCCTTGCGCGTTTGTTAACATAGACAACTAAAATCAAAGATCTCAATCACATTACACACCAATTAATTGCTATTTGGAGTCGTTTCCGTACGAGTCCGTCGCAGGACGAAACCAGTAGATATTAGGCCATGAATGACGTACATGTAAGCTTACTCTCCAGGGTGCCGCATGGACCGTTCTCCTGCATTGAACTTTAGGCCGTGACACTTACTATTATTATTATTTTCTTCATGTTATTTAAATTATTAAAAAAAAAGTGATGCTGCCCATATTTTATCTCTTTAACCTTGATTAATATTAATTTTTTATTAATCATTTTATCTCTTATATATTTACAAACTTAATTTCCTTTTTCATCATGAGCTCTAATTTTATTTTCAAATATGAAGACGAAATTAAATAATTGAACTAGTGGTTCAAGATCATGTAAGTACAATAAAATGAAATTTAGGCTTGTGTAAGTTTAAGTTGCTTTGTTAATTTTTCTTTATTTTTTTCTATTCTTCCTCTAAAATTCATAACACAGTTTGATACTTTCAAAATTAATTATTATTTTGTACAATATTGAAGTGTGAATGGATTTTATCTATGAACATTACATTCAAACAGAAGCATAAATAATTTAAAAATATAAATAAATGGTGATAACATCATTCAAACAATATATATATATATAAAAAAACTAATTAAATAAAAAAAATCGATATTATTTCCGTGATTCAATAGGTAAACCACTTTCTATAAAAGATAACTAATGTATTTTGATAATTTCTTGTGTAAAATGTGAATCTGTTTTGTATATAATAAATAGTTGTTATATAAGACTATGATTAAAATTACACCATATAATAAAGTTAAAAGAGAAATCAATGATAAGCATAATAACTTAGCATTGTATATTCTTCAACTAATGTTCTTTTAAGCACCAATAATAAAAAATATGGACAACATCATATTAATAATTTAATATAGACAAATTATGTTTATAATCCAAATAAAATATGTTAAAAAGTAAAAAAATAAAAAAAATAATTGATAAATGATAATAATAAGATTAAAACGAAGAAGAAGTAATTCGTAACAAAATCGAATAGAAGTTGATTAGTAACATAATTGTACAGAAAGTACCATGGAACCGGACAAAAGCTTCTAATGCAGTGGAACTACTGTATGATCCGTATCGCTAGCAGTTCTTATCAAAACAACCGTCAGTTTGTCTGCCTTTCCGTCAGCATTACCACCAGTTGACCAATCCATCCAACGGTCACATATTTCTCAAACCCATATAAACACGGCTCAGATATCACCTTCAATTAAAGCACCAAAAAGTCTTCCCGGACCCCAAAACTCATTTTTAAACGTCCATCTCTCTGTGTTACCCTCAAAAACACCAATCTAACGGTCCATCCCAATCTTCACCATATCTACAACAGCAGTTACTACGCAAAAGCAAACAAAAATCACCAGAGCTTAGAGAGAAGAGAGAGAGAGAGAGAGAGATGGAGAAGGGAGAGAGAACCTTGTTTACTTGCTAGACTAGCTGAGCAAGCCGAGGTATGATGGGGTGGTTTCAATTTTTAATAAGTTTAAATTATCTCTTGAGCATGATATTTTATTATTATTTTATTTTTTAAAGTTTCTGATCCGTGGATATATGTGGTAATTATTTATTAATTAGTCAATTAATTTTTATCCATCAATTGATCTGTTTCACAGTGCCAGTATTAGTATTTTTCAGTTTTTTAGCTGTATTTTTTATTTTTTTTATTTTAAGCTCCTTTGTTATTCGCTGCTTAGAGTGACCAAAATGAGAGCTCCTGGTCTTCAATTTGGTTGCTGATTCAAAATATCTATCATTTATCTTAACTTTAAAGTAAGATTGAACTAGTTCACTTGCTTAACACTGTGAATTTTAAATTGGTAGTTCCATTTATAACTGTATTTATTTTTGTGCTGTTTTGGTGTGTAATGTGATTGAGATCTTTGATTCAGTGTACCAAATAGCCATTTTAAGCTTGATTTGAGTTGATCTATGTTAACAAACGCCAAGGGCCTGAGCGAAGTTTTTAATACAAAACATTTCACATAGTGAGCTGTAAAAACATATAAGTTAGATTATGTGATGAAATCATTCTAGTAAAGCAAAAGTGAAATGTAATGATTTTGTCGGTGATTTATTTGCAATCTGATTAATGAGGCAGAATTTTTCCGAGTGCATATTGATGGCTAAAGATTAGTAGTTTTGATTTTGGTGTATTTGAGTTTTTTGTGAGTTTATCTCATTCGACATTCATACTTTAGAGATGGTCGAAGCCATGAAGAAAGTCGCCAGGTTAGATGTGGAACTGACTGTGGAGGAGAGGAATCTGGTATCTGTGGGATATAAGAATGTGATTGGGGCTAGGAGGGCCTCGTGGCGGATTTTGTCTTCCATCGAACAGAAGGAGGAGGCCAAGGGGAATGAACAAAATGTGAAGAGGATTAAGGAGTACAGGCAGAGGGTTGAAGATGAGCTTGCAAAGATATGCAACGACATATTGTCAGTCATTGACAAGCACCTCGTTCCGTCATCTACCACTGGAGAATCAACTGTTTTTTACTATAAGATGTGAGTATTGTAACATTGCCTTCATTTCCATATAGTTTGAGTGTTGCTTTTAAAAGAAATACCTGATGCTGATACGGAAGAGCAAAATAATCCATTTATAGACACTGAAACTTTCGAGAATAAATTTCAATTAACTTGACTTTAAATGAAATTGGATGACCATTCTTTGAAAGTTATTTTTTATCAATATAGTGCTTAAATAATGGGGATTTTAATTTTCTACCATGCTTGGATTCTCATTTGGTTGTATCTAATTGAGTTTTCTTGTCTTACTCTTATTTATATTGGTGTACGATACTTGAGAATTTTCTTTTTTGTGTTTTTTTATGCAGTATGGTGCCTTTTAGATCCTTATTTTTACTTTTTATGTGACAGGAAAGGAGATTATTACCGTTACTTAGCTGAGTTCACATCTAGTGAGGACCGTAAGGAAGCTGCAGATCAGTCACTTAAGGCTTATGAGGTATGTTCAATTCTTCTCCTCCCCCTCTCCATCTTTTCATTTAATTATTTTGTTATAGAATATAAAAGTGGAGTGTTGTTTTTGTTTTTTACATAGGCTGCTACATCTACAGCAAGTTCAGAATTGCCCCCTACTCATCCAATCAGACTTGGCCTGGCTCTGAACTTTTCTGTTTTCTACTATGAGATTTTGAATTCACCCGAGAGGTTAACATGCGTCTCTCTCTCCCTCTAGACACACCAATCCTAGTTGAGGAGTTTGTTTATAAGGATGAATATGCTAAGTTTCTTTTTCATTTTGATTATGCTTTCAAATATGGTGACCCTTGCTTACATATTCTTAGACAAACCTAAGCATTATAGATGTCATTCTTGCTGTGGCTGCTGCTAATTTATGTCAACTATGTTCATGTTTTATAGGGCTTGCCACCTGGCTAAACAAGCATTTGATGAGGCTATTGCAGAACTTGATAGCCTCAATGAAGAATCCTACAAGGACAGCACACTTATTATGCAGCTTCTCAGGGACAATCTCACTTTATGGACCTCAGATCTGCCTGATGATGGAGGTAAATAGTTTGATCTCTTTCTTTTTCCCTCCTCCGCTCACTATCCTCTCTCGGTCTTGAGTAAACAAGCCTTGTGTCAACTTCAAAATCATATTTTTTCTGGTTTTTGAGTGCATTTTTTTACTTTTAGTTTACTGCTTTAATTTATAAAGATCTTTGATTGCAGTCTTCTGTAGAAGAATCAAGTATAAAGGAAAGGAAAAACATGAGCAGATAAAAATATAAATTTTTGGTGGAATTAAATTTGCATTACAAACTAATTTTGTGCTAGAATTTTTTTTTTAATTGATCACTTGCAGTGCAGATGGTCTTGACTTGATCTTGCCATCTGTCACCAGTATATCTTGTTGGTTCCTTTTCCTATTTGTGATTTTAGATTTCAGAATTTTTTTCCCCTCAGTTTACTTTAAGAAGCTTTTCACAGTTTCTTATTTATTTTCTTTTTCAATTTCTTTTGCCTCAAAATTATATATAGATTGCGGAAGTTTTTTTAGAGTTCTTCCTCAGTAATGACTTGTGTATATAAAAACCAATGATGCATTCTTTTGATTTTGTTAGGGGAGCAAGCTAAGGGGGATGAAGTTCAAGCAGAGGTGAGAAGATTAAACCTGAAGTATATTTCATAGAGTAATTGATAAGCTAGACTTATCACGTGGTTGGCATTGAGTTATGAAAAGTTGAAAATATCCATCCTGTACATGGAAGAAAAAGACAATTATTTTTGCTACTACTTTCTTGGGGTTATTGCCTTTGTGTTATATTGTGTGTCAAGAGCTAATGTCATTGATAAGTTAAAGAAAATGCCAACTGTGTTTATCATGAACCTTCAATTTTAACTGCGTATTATTTAATAATATTTATACCGGGTACTTTTAGCAAATATATTGGCGATAAATTTTAAAGATAAACTTCCATATTGTGAGGTACTTATCAAAAAAGATAACTTTCAGATTGAGTTTGACAGTTATCTAGATGGCTTGGGTTGGGTAATTTTGTGTTTGTAAATTTTATTCGCTGACAAACTACTATTGGATATGAAATTTGCAGAGTATGCAGAGTTAGTCGGAATGGAAAGAGCAGGAGCTTCAGGAGGGGAAATGGAGCTGGAGTGACCAGACATCCTTTTCTAGTAGTAGTGGTACTGGTATAGGGATTTTAAGACCATTTGCTTGTAACTATCTGTTGTGTTCAAAGATGTTTTAAGACTACTGTAATTTGTTATTTTCTTTTCAAACATAATTGAAGTTGCTACTTCCATGCTATTCAAATTTTAGCTTCCTAAATTTGTGGGCATTTGCTTCCTTCATACTACTATTCGTATGGCACATGCTAGAATTCCAGCTATTAATCTCGGTAGATTCTTGAATTTACCAATAGTAGATTTCTAAAGCTGATATCTGTTCTCTTTTTATAAATCTATTAACGGTGAAAACAATTATAAATTAACGTTAAACTTGTTCTGGAAGTCATTAAAGCGCAGGAAGCCTCAAATCAAAATTATGCCCGTTGAACTCATTAACACTGGAACCCTCACACAGTTCAAGTTCGACATTCAAACACATGAAGAAACAAAAAGCTAAATAAATACAGGAGTTATCATTCCTTATAACAGAAATTACTTGCATATTATCCACTGTAGACCATATGTAGTACAGTTCTCTATTCTAATTAACATAAGTTGAACTTCAGAAGTTTATAATGACCTTGCTGCTTTTTCTCTTAAAGAATGTGTTGCAGATAGCTAAAGCAACATCCTTTGCGCATCCCATCAATGTTACTTTCACCTCGTTCTGTTTATGGTTGGACGGATGGCAAGGGCGAAAGCCTCTTATAGACATGTCTAACTCTTTGCAGAAATTTTGATATTGTTCTTCTTCACTTCTTCCGTTAATCAACAAATATGAAGGCACGTCATGGATTGACGTTCGGCTCCACTCCTCAAATATGATACCACATTCACGATGGTCTAATCCCGCCATCGCAAGAGCTTCAATGGACATTGTTGGATGTTGAATACCCGAAAGAGGCACCTAGCAATTTCTCAAGCACTATACTAAGTGTAAGTGGTACAACACTTTAGGTCAATAATAAAACCTACAATTAAAAGGAGTATAAATACTAAACGTACTAAGTGTTTGTTATGTATACAATTAAACCTAATTTTAAGCTCACAAGGTATTATAATGTGACTGTGACTGAAAAACGAATTGGATTTTAAGATAACGTGGAATTTTAAAATTTAACTCAAGAGGTCAACTCTAATTCAAAAACCAAAGCCTAATTCCAAGTTTAACAGGACTCTATTTCAACTTTCAAATTTTTAGTTCTCTTACTTATCACTATTCCATAAACAGCTGTTCTATCTCACCTCTTCTAACTTGAAACCAAAAAGAAATGTCGGTCTCGCTTGAAGCTTTGGCAATGGCCGGTGCTGATTATCTAGAGTGCAACATTGATTTTGAAGAATGGGAGCGGATGATGATGGAGCCTCCATTGCATTTACTGGCAGAAAACTTTGTCACGGGAGACAATATTTGCAACCGATGCAAATTGTGCTACATCCATTCAAAAATATATAGAGAAAATTTTGATGATGATGATGACGACGATAGAATCCCCAGAAGAAGTAAAATAAAAGTTGGTTGTTATGGGAGAGTTGTTGGAAAAGATGTATTTAAAGGAGGGTTAAGGTGGATAGAAATGGCGGTGACAAGAGTATCACGAATGTTTATTAAAGCATTCAAGCCTAAGCCTCGCACAAACAAAAGGTAAAAGTATTACGCAACATAAACTAACATCAATTTGCTAATGCTAATGATGTGCAGTGCAGGAAGTTGAATAGAGAACTTCGCGTTAGTGTCTGTCTTTTGCTTTTCTAATAATGTTTCGTGATAATTCACTGTACATACTATTATGTTTTGTTCTTCAGTCATTAATTTGTGTTGTGTAATGTAAACGTTTGTATGTTTTTCTCTTTTTCTCTTTCTGTGTTCACTATGTTTGAGAACCTATCAATTTTTTTTTAGCTATAGTTCAATGTTTCACAGAATGATGATTTGAAGATATAAGTTTATTTGGAATTAATAAATTACGAAGGGTTGGATTAAGGAATGTACTTATGATTATTGTCCATTAAGGATAGAGTCCAAATTACATAAATTCAACATTATTCATTGATGGTAGTTAATATACATGAATATTAGTGCAGAATCAAATCAGTGCGTTTTTTTGTTATTTTCTATCCAAAATGCAAATTTGTTTTGCTATTATGAAAATCTAATTTTATTTTATTCAACTATTTTTAAACTTTGATAATTTATAAAATAATAAAAATACCCCTACCTACTCATATTTACCAGATTTCGACCACCACCATAGAAAGATGACCGAAATCTATCATAATGGTGCACTATCGACTAGATCTGGTTAGTAATGCACCGATCTATCATTTTTCGATCAGATTTACGACAAAAGATTTGGCTGTTGATGGCCAGATCTTTGGCTGTAGATGGCCAAAGATGTGGCCGTCGTTGACGATCAAATTTGGCCAGAAAATGCTATATCGGTCAGGTCGTGCACCATTACAACAACTTCCGGCCACCCTTCGGCGGTGGTGACCGACTGCCGACATTTAATGGGCAGGTGGAGATATTTTTGTTAATTTTCAATGTTTTATCGGGGTGTTTGACTAAATTAACAAACTTAGAGAGTGTTTTTGTTAATTTTCAAATCTTACCTCGTAATAACCACCCAACTCAACTTTTTCAAAAATCTACCAAAATAATAAAACAAATATTGCTTGTATCATATCAGGGGTTTGGGTTAGGATAGTTATCTAAAGCTAATAATTCGGGATATATATTCTCTATCCTATAGATACAATGTTTATAATACAATCTTACAAACTTTCTTTCACAATTCTAATGTGATAACTCATAATTAGATGGAGGGATCCATAGTGAACAAATATAACCCATTGATAAGTTAATCAATTACAAATTATCACGTTAAAATTATGATATTAAGTTATAAGTGCAATATTGCATAGTTTATATATCTTCATCTTGTTACTGGAAGAGGAAGTCATTACAAGAAACTTAATATAATTAACATCACATATTTACTACTATCTATCAATCAATTGGGATTTTTTTCCTAAAATCATAAACGACAAAGCACTATCATTGAATGGTTAAAAAAGTGGAGATCTAATCAAAAGAATAAACTGCCAGCAGCATGATAAATAAGACTGGAGGCCTATTACCACATATATTTTTCATGCCTTTTTGCTAAATCAAACCATCCGTTCCAATCTACCATATTCTCACCTACCAATCCGAAAACGGCTAAATTTATCTGCCCTGTCCATTCTACTCTCTTACCCAATACACACAAATACATACATATATGTATGTATGTTTTCCTATTAGCTATTGTGATGATCAAGCTTTGCTTGATTTTGGCTTGCAAATATAATAAATACGATGCAAAATCTTTGTCCAACATTAGTTTGAGCAGTGTTGGGTAAAATAGTTGGCATTAGCTATTCGTTCTGAGTTGATTATTGGTAGTCTATTAGTAGCGGGACCAATGTGTTTTGGGTGGAGCTATTGTCTAGCCAGCCTGCCCATTGCTGTCCATCCCTATGGGTTATGGACCTGATCTCACCGGCGGACTCCTCGATAATTCCTTCTACCTAATCCTGGAAACCTCCATCAATAACCAGAATAATTGTGCAAATACAAACCACTCATCTAAACTTGCAGAGCTTAAATTACGTCAAACAAATTGAAACAATCATTCATCATCGTCACCATGTCAGGACCCCACACTCCCTTTCATCAATTAAATTTTTTTTATCGTTCATACCGTCACTTGTGGTTGTCTATATACTTGTATTACCCTTCTATGTATCTCTTTATTATTTGATGTTTTCTTTTTTTCTTCTTGGTTTAAATTCTGCAGTGCTTAACATGTCCTTCAACGGAAGCACTTACTAGAGCTTCTACTTCATTGTCTTCCTGATTGGTTCTCTTACATCCTGCTGTCAGCTTACAAACCCTGCAATGCAGTGCTTAACATGTGCTTCAATGGAAGCACTTACTAGAGCTTCTACTTCATTGTCTTCCTGATTGGTTCTCTTACATCCTGCTGTCAGCTTACAAACCCTGCAATTATTATTATCTTCGTCACTTTTTGTCCACAAACTCACACACCATATCCAGATCCACCCACTATTAACCGCACGAGTCTGTACTAGTACAACTACAAGCATAACCACATGAACAGAACAAAGCCATCACATCACTCACTGCTAACTCACCAAAAACATGTCTAATACCTTCGTTTAACTAACTTTAACCCACAATATTATCCACTCACCAGAAAATTCTGAAAATGACCAAGTGCTTTAGCTTCACTGAAGCCAAGAACTGGTGCTTGAGGTCAACTTTCACCAGGTCCGGCCTTCGATCCACACTCACTGACCTCAGTGACGGCACTGTCATGCACTGTTGGGTCCCCAATACCCGGAATGACTCAAAACCGGATCTTCTCTTGATCCATGGACTGGGTGCCAACGCATTATGGCAGTGGGCTGACGTCATCCCTCAATTGATCCACTACTTCAATGTGTATGTCCCAGACTTGGTGTTTTTTGGTGAGTCCTACACCAGTCGGCCTGAACGTACGGACTCGTTCCAAGCTGAGTGTATTATGAAAGTGATGGAGGCGAACACGGTGAAGAAACTGAGTCTGGTGGGGCTTAGTTATGGTGGGTTTGTTGGATACAGTATGGCTGTACAGTTTAAGGAAAATATAGAGAGGGTGGTGATATGTAGCTCTGGGGTGTGTTTAGAAGAGAAAGACTTGAGAGAGGGGATGTTTAAGGTCTCAGATTTGGAGGAGGCTTCAAGTATTTTAGTCCCACAATCGCGTGAAAAGCTTAAAAAGTTGCTGGGCTTTAGTCTTTATAAGCCGCCACCAACGTGGTTGATACCTTCTTGCCTGCTTGACGATTTCATTGATGTAAGACCTCTGAAATGTTGGAATGGTAAACTTCCATTTCACTATGTTTTAATATGTCATAGTTATTATTTACCTGATGCGAAGATACATTTTTGGCCAAGATCAGTGCATCATTGATTGTGTATACTTCTCATATGTTCATGGCATATTTGGTCAAATGGGCAGGCAATGTGTAGAGAGTATGTAGAAGAGAAGAGGGACTTGATCCGAGCCATACCCAAAGACCGAAAAATCTCCAATATTTCCAAGATTACTCAGGTAGATTCTCCCTCATCTGATTCACTGGCATTAAGTTTTTCTAGTTAGTAGTCTAAGCTAATACTTTCACTTGTAATGCAGCCCACTTTGATTCTCTGGGGAGAATGTGATCAAATATTTCCATTAGAACTGGGGTACAGACTAAAAAGGTTATTTATCTCTTAAAATATTACCAGAATGCATTCGTTTCAGTTATGCACTTTCACTGAACTTAATACTGTTGAAATGCAGGCATTTGGGTGACAATGCTGAGCTAGTAGTAATCCCGAATGCTGGGCATGCCTTAAATATTGAGAAGCCCAAAGAGTACTACAGGCACTTAAAGTCTTTCTTGGTTGATTTGCAGCCTACTTCAATATCCCTTCCTTCTCAGCACCAAAAGCACAAATGATCTACTTCAAACTCAGCTATTGAGACAATGGCGAATACTTTTTGTGTGTTTGCACGTCTCAAGCTTAATCTAAGGGGCAGGGGAAGTCAAAACCAGCAATTAGACACGTCAATGATGCTTCTACTGACTGCTGCAATTTTTTAAGCCAAACATTTGGTTCTCCACACCATGAATTGTAAGTTAGGACCACCAAGGCACTAATTTTCACTTCATTGTCACTGATCCTATCCTCCCAACAGATCCAACAAATGAATTTAAGCCATTTCTTGTTACACTTACGTGCAAGTTATGTGAGCATGTTATTTCTAAGGTTCAAATCAAATCAATATTCTGTAAGACTGGGCAACTGTCCACAGTGCCCAAAAGATGAAGACCTGCTTGCCAGTCGTGATATATCAAATACAAAGTTTTCATGAACTAATACCCACAAAAATCTTCGGGCTATATATTACGTCAGCATATTAATCTCAATTCTCAAAGCAATGCGATGTTGTTTAACAGGTTTTGCATATAAAAATTGTGAAGCGCTGCAACAGAAACAGTGCACGTAGTTAAGCATATAATTAGAAAAGAACAAAAAATAAAAATGTTCCAAAGAAAGGGGAACCAGAGAAGCAAAAGTGCAAATAATCTGGTTAAAATGATCCCTTAAACCCTCTGGATTTAATATATGCCTCCAGAACAAAGCCATCAAGAAATAGATCAACAGATCTCAGCCCTTGCAGCCGAAAGGAGAGGCAATAATAATACTTAAAACAGAGTTAGCTCTCTAAATCTAATACAGAGCATGCGATAAACAGAGATGGAAAGCTACCGACGATAAACCAAGCTCTTGTGCTTGTAAACAACTGGTGGTATATATAGATAAAAACTAGTCCTAAACCCTAAAACCTAATTGCAAGTTGGGCTGGGCCTGAGCCTGGGCCTGAACAAGAGAACAGTTAAATAAAAACTAGAGGTTTTAATTTCTTAAATTTAAACACAATTTACTTTCTAAAATTATAAATTGGGAAATAGTTTATCTATATGTAGCAAAATTCTTTTGAATATTTTAATGTAAACTTACCCCTTATTTATATTGGTGGACCATCTGTAAACTTATGAGTTTGTTAAGAAGAAATTCATTAGCTCCACCATTTTTTGGTTCTAAAAGTTTATATCAAGTCCACCCTTTTATTGCTAGACCAGTTTAAAGCCAATTCAACAATGAAGCATGAAAAACAAGCCGAAAAGGAACCGTCTTCCTAATAGATTCAAACTAGGGATGAGATTGTAAAGATAAATAGACAGTTGGGATGTTTCATACGTAAACCAGATACAGCTAATCTGCTTCATCATAATGAATTGAGTCAGACTTTTCGAAACATTCAAGTCTAGCTCTCGACAATGGGGTTAGTTTTCAAATACTAATTTCAATTTTGATGGCTCAAGAAGTCAGAGTTTCGCTCATCAGACCTTGGTTAGCTGTTGTCTTTTCAAGGTCAAATTATCAATCATAATAGACTAGAAGAGCTTTGAATGAATCGTTTCATAAATAAGATGTGAAAGTGAAAGGCATCATGCAGTTCTACGAAACAAAGCCTACAACATGTTGTACAAATCTTATTTGCTAAATTGTTAAATCAGTCAAAATTAGGCTTTATCGTAATTAGAATCACCGGTCCGAAATGAGAATGTCTCCGCAGCCTCCCAAAAATATGTGAATCTGAAGGAACTGATCAATCTTCAGACTTCAAACAGAAAATAAAAAGAGGGCAGTCCATCCCTAAATGGGGTTAAAATGACTACACCATCAAAAGTTGCTCCAATTACAATCAAAACCACATTCTTCCACCTACTCACAGACGCATGAATTCAAAGATAATATACATCGGATTCCTAATTCACTTTCACAAAGAAATCAAACAATATCAAACACCAGAACCTAATCAATAAAATGACTTTACAGAGGGGAACCCTTTTCGTTTTTTTTTCTTTTCTGTTTTTTTTTCCTCATTCCTCTGGCAAATTCCACCTTCTGCAGATATCTAAGGATTACCCCAAGCGGTTATGGGTATTTTTTTTTTTTTTCTTCTGGTTGGTCTACTCACAGACTGGCATCCTCTGTCAAGAAACTCTTATTTCAGGTATATACTGCATCTGGCAGGAATATGGTTTTAAAGATTTTATCCCCTAAATCTAACGACGACGCAAGATATGTCATCTTTACTGTCTCTTTTCAATGCTTCAGCTGTTAATTGTTTGGCTGCCTTCTGGGGGTCTCTGATCTTTCTAGCAATATCAACAGCCTCTTGATTACTCATCACCTGGATTATCATGTAACAACAGGAAAAGTAATGTGGAATTGTTACTTACAAGGCAAGCATCATCTACACTATAGTTGCATTGATGGAAGAAAAGAAAAGAAAGTTGACATAAAATGGTTTACCTTCCAAAGACCATCGCTTGCAAGGATAAGAATGTCAGTATGGACGTCTATAGTGATGTCTTGTATGTCAGGATCTGATCGTAAATGTGATTTAAGGCTCTTGTCCCCAAAGGCACGAGAAACTGCAAGCTGCCCATTAACTCTAGGGACATCTCCTGATAATGAGATGACAATAACAGTAGATTTAATACTTAGTTTTAGCTCAATTGTGTACCTTATTTGATCAATTCAAAAACACCAAGAAAAGAATTCAGTTTCCCAAATTCAACACAGACAGAGAAGCAATTCTAGCTACAGAGCTCCCTTAAATTTTGAGTTGTACTTATCAAGCAGTAAATTGCCTAGGCATAACATGTGCACTTAATCACCAAATAACAAAAAACAGAAATCCTGAAATATCACAAAAAGGATTGATATATTCTGAAGTTTCATGTAAAGTTTAGGTTATGTACAGATATCATACAGAACTTGAGGAACGCGATGTCAAAAATCAAACATCATATAGATTGGGTCACAATAAATATTTAGTATTTTACCAAATTATGATCACAATCGCTCTAGTAAAAGGAAACATCAAATTCCTATTTCCTAATAAAAAAATGGAAATTCTGACAAGCAAGATTCTCAATAAATCCAAAAACACAGCCTGGAAAAAAAAAAATTAAACGAGGACAAAGGCCCAGCAGAAATTACTTGATCTTTTGAGTACACTCTATCCATAAATAGTCTAAGTACCAACTCTACTTGTTAGATCATGGGACTGCTACAATTGCAACAAATTTTTGGCTTCATCATCCATGTAATAGACATAATCACAGACTTCCAAAACAAAGTCCAGAAGACAGCACTGACATGATTGGGTAGGGAAAGAAAGGTGCACATTACAACATTCAGATAACATTCTTGGTAGAAGAAAAATAATGCACCCATGATGTAGACAGAAAACCTATAATAGCTATCAGAAATAGGTACCTGTCAGGCCTGAAAAATTAAAGACAGTTGAAAAACTTAAAAGTGAAGCGGAAAAGCAATACATACATATTAATTCGGAAAAAAAAAAAAAAAAAAAAAAAAAATCAGTAAAGCAAGATCCTACAATTAATACTTGCTAGAATGCGGAGGAGGAAATGGATAACATTCGTTTCTACTATAAGCTATTCAAATGCCTTTTGAAAATATGCAAGGGTCAGTTATTAAATGGGGTTATGTTGAATATTTCATCAGCAACTTCTACCACACCTAGTAATCTTAAATGTTCACCAAGTTATTCCTTGATATACTGCACTGGCTAAACTTGGGACCTTTATATAGATAGGTCATAGGTCTAAAAAAGAAAAAGAGGCAGAAGAAGCATTGATTTTCATCCAATCTCTCAAAATGTCATTTACACTCTTTAATACTTTAGTTATTAAAGCCCAAACATTATCAAATGAATAAAATCCACATGTGAACGTTTCTCATACTTATACGTGACCAGAAAAAAATTGTTATATGTATGAACACATTTACTCTTAAAGTCAGTAACTTCAGCAGCTTGAAGTTAAAGACGGAACACATAAATCTATTTTTGATAAGCTGATATTATGCTCATTAAAACCGCAGATTACTGCTAGAAATTTCAACCTGTTAGAGGAGGTTAGATGTCTTTCGTGAGCTCTCCTGCTGAAAGGCAGATCCAGTGATAGCTTCCTATCAGGAAAACTTTATAGCACAGTAATGTCCTCAAAACTTTCAGACAATGAGGATCAAATGTGAATTTTTCCCTCATATTTATTTAAATTTCCACACTATACAGAGTCGTGACTTATAAATTAAACAAGCCAGTTTCTTTCTTAGGCTGTTCTACTAAAATTCATAAAGCAACAACTTTCCTTCAGTCTCTTAACACTCCAGGAGACTTTCAAGGATTTGAGTTCTCAAACTCCAAAATTTACGCCAACATAAGCAGAAAAGAGTCGGAAATTGAAGGTAAAACAGCAGCAAAATAATGCTCAATGTAGGGAGTTGCAAATCAATAAAGTTATATCTCAAGACACAGAAGTTATCACTCCATAACCCAAAATATTAACCAAAAAGCCCAAAAGTTTCACACTAGCCATTCTGTGAAACACAGTGCATATATTATCTTTTCTTCTTTGGAATTTAATGTTGAAGTATTTATCAAGTGAATGGACTGCCACAAATCTCTTATCAACTAATCCAATCTCTGAATGCCACATCAAATCTTGGTAAGCAGATAACTCATTGAAGGTAAGAAAGACTTTCAGGAAGACATAAATGGGAATATAAAAAATTCGGAATTATTCTCCGTCCAGATAGACTTGACCAATACAAAAAGTTTCATAAACTGGAAACGGAGTCACTAAAAAGAGGCTATAAGCAAACAGACGATTAACGATAAATGACCAATCAATTCTATTTGTTAAAGAACATCAGTTTTGTATATATTAGATCATAAGTATAATTTATTTTATTTTCTTCTACAAAGATGAACAGATTATCAAACAATGAACTTTCTAAAAGATGGCTGCAGTTCAAAACCTGGCATGTTTGAGACAAAGCCACCCTTATTCTCAATGCTGCCTCGTTCAGTGTTGGGCTCATGGTCTATAGTCATCTGTACTGCCTGGCCACCACTTGATAGAACAGCTCGAGAATCTCCAACGTTGGCTACCCATAACCTTTGACCATTTATCAAAATTGCAGTTACAGCAGTGGATCCACCTCGCCCCAAGTCAGAACTGTGTGAAAGAATTGCTTGGTCTGTCTTCTCATAGGCTTTAGAGATAGATCTGCGGGGGTCAGCCCAAAACTCTTCCTAGAATTTTCATTAGTGAAGACTTAGAATAAACCATTCCAAAATTAAGGTACAACTAAAATTAAACTTTGTAGTTATTCTTTATAATTAAAAGCAAGATCCCACCTCCTTTAGGATATTGGAAAACAGATGCTTCTGTAGGTAGGAAGGTACACTTTCACCCAAATGGCCATCATAAATTGCAAACAGCCCCAATTCGTGTCCTTGACTCTGCATGAACTTTGCAACATGATAATCCTCCATTGGATGATTAGCTTTTCCTTTTACTAAACTGAAACCAAACTTGATTAAACCCTCATGGCTTCTTCCCTTACCCGTAGACGACGAGCGTCCTCCCACAAGCTGCTATACAGAAAACATACGAATAAGAAGATCTAACAGAGTTTAGAGGCATATATACAAACAGAAGACAGCAGCAATAGTTGGATTTTACTTAAAGGCAGGACTTTGCTGCCACTATTCTGGGAGTACTGGAGAAAGGTTGGGCAGAAAAAAAATAGAAGATTGTGGACACCTCTCCGAAAGATTGTTCACTTAACTCACTACTATCAGATGGATTTTGCTGGTTGGAAACGTGCTGTAGGTTCACCTAAATTAACTCAGGGATTCTGTTAAATTAACATAATGATTATAACACAGATACTTCATGCGCTGAACATCAAAAAGCTGAAAGTCATTAAATCATCATAACATCAAATAAAGGTTCACCCTTTCCTATCCAACACCGTCCACACTTCATATGAATGATCGAATTCCCTCGACAAACAAAAGAGGTAATTATTTAATCTCAATTAAATCCAATAACGGAAATTGTAGCCAACCCGAAGTTTTCAGAACCCTACTAAATTCAGCAACAGACGCACAATATCCCTCCAAAAAAAGTCACAAAAACAGCCCCACAATCAATTAAACACCGTTTTCGTCACACTATTTTTTACGCAAGCTAATAAAACATAACATATGAATAAAATTAAAAAAGTACACGAAATATAAGTAATTAATTAAAAAAAATGTACGAGGAAACATATTCACCTTGGAGTAGGAAGAATTGAAACAGCATAATCTATCCATAAAATAAAAATTCAGCGCACGTTCAACTCGTTCAACTAAAATTTCAACATCCAAACCCAGCTCCCAAAATTCACAATCTGCAACATCAAAACCAGAACCAGATCATTAAGTTAAACCCCCAAAACCCCATAAGCAAGCCGAAAACTTGGTATGGGAAAATTACCTCGTTGATCAAATAAAAGTTCAAAATGAAATTTAACTTATTCTTCTTCTATCAGTTGCTTGGTGGGGTTTTGGCGTTCGTTCTTCTTCTTTTTATTGTGTTGATTTGTTTGTGCAAGCAATTGAATAAAGAAATGATGATAAAGATGGAAGAAAGGAAAGGAGTGAGGAGGAGAACATTTAAAACCTTTTCTAAAAGAGAGAAAATATATTTATATATTCATAAAGAGAAAACGATTGTGTGTTGTTGAGAGAGAGAGAGAGAGAGAAGGAATAGAGAGATTTGAGTTGCTATGATGATTTGTATAACCGTTTTCTGAGTCTTCCCAGTAAGAACAATTTTATACTAAAACAAAAAAGGGCTGCCACAATAGTAGACTCTCATTCTTCTTTCATGTTGACTTTGCTGTGTTTTACTTTCTAAAATTAAGTCTCTTCCTTTTTCTTTGCTTCCTACTATTTACATTACTTTTATCACTTTCTTTTCTGCAATTTCTAGCTAATGAAACCAGATTTAAATTCAAACATCTTCAATTTAAACAGTACAAAACAATGCATTTGATTTCCCACTGTAATTTGTTTATTAACCAACTGGGTTGAAACAGGTTAAAATTGTTGTCCATGGTCCACCTAACCTTGGCTTGAAAATTTTGAGTTAGAAAATTAAAAGTTGCATAAAGGGATATTTTTGAAGGGGACCATATCTTGCTTATGAAAAGGGGAAACTTGCTTTGCCAACCGCAAATATATGACAGAATAACTTCATTAGAGAATGACCTGCAGTATATATGTTCTCTTTTGCTTCCATAATTTATTTGACCATTACCCAACAACCAAATACAAAATTCAGGAAGCAAATATAAAATGTCTCTTCGATTTATTTATAATTTGATACGTCATGTCTAATTTGACTACGACCCAACAAACTTCATTGACTCTTCGACTCAGCCTTCGTTTTTGCATAGTTAGACGGCAATCAGAATGCTTTCAATATGTGAATTGTGATTGCAGTATTATAATGACAAGTTCTGATTTCTTAAAGCTCTTTTTAGGGGGTTTGATTTTATAATTTTAATTCATTTCTCTTATAATTTGCCGTATTCACCACTTGACTTTCAGATTGTATACTGTTCTAGTAAAAAAGGGAGGGAGGAAAAATGTAATGAAATCTCATTTCTCTTATTTAAATCGAAAGAAGAATTTATTTATTTATTATATTTTTCCTTTAAAACTAAGCAAATAGATAACCCAACAAATCAAAACAATTTCTTAATCTTTCATACTTGACTTCCTTTTAATTCTCTCATACAAAGGACAATCACTGAAGCAAAGGAATCGCTCTTCCTAGGGTTCCAACTACCAATATTTTATCTCAATTTGAAGTCAAAGAATTTATTCATTTGGGTGGGCATATGATATAACAACTCTAAGCATTTGCAATTCATGTCGACAGAAGAAGATATAGAAAAGTTTTACCATGTTATAAGTTTGCTAATGCACATGTCATATTGTTGAAGGAACACCAGTGGTTGACGCAATTTGAATTGGTCCAATATTGAGAATGGTATTGGTAGGATGATCCTAGCCGTTTTTGTTTTAGAAAGTTGAGCACGCATCTTACGACTAGTCATTATTTTACTGAAGTGTATAACAAGACAAAGATTTTTTATGATCTGCATTTATATATTATCACCATCCAATCACACGCTTAACCAAATTTCCCCTTGGTAACTTTCAACTACATTTCCAGATTTCAAGAAACCTTTCTTTCTGATTCTGATTGAAACCAGTCCACCATTGTTTTACATAATATTTAACTCTGTTTGGCTTGTAGTTGAGCAGGTATAAATTTGAAATGAAAAGTAATAATTTTTAATGTTTGCTCCGCTAACAGTCACAGGCTAACCATTCAATAATGCTTCTCCACTTGAATTGGTCTTTTTTGCATAAAAATGACAACCGTTTGCTATTATCTCTTTATCTTTAAAGTCAAAAAAACATAAAAATGGGCTCCCCTTCCCACATGGGTTGTTCTGTATCTGTAAGTTTGCTTCTTTGAGGTGCTACCTCTTGCATGAACTGCTTTTACATTTAAACGTGTCATTTGCACTCACTTTTATGACTACTGACCTTTAATTTAAGTTTGTTCTGTTTCTGCCTGTTCTAATATTCATTTTTAAACCCAGAAGAAGACAAAAGTTAATGTTGCACTATTCATACATTGATTCACTTGTTGATGTTAGATTAAATTTTTTTATTTTTTTCAGGTTTTCTGTCATTCTATAATGGTCAATGAGTAATTCCGATCTCATCATGTTGTGAGAATGAATGGTTAGTGGCACACATCATCTGATTCATTTATTAGATTATCTTGTATTTTACCGGCAAAAGTAACACAGGAATCCTTTTCCTATAGTGTTCATCAAATCATTTGAGCGATTAATTGAGTGTAATGTTAATCTCTTTAATTTGCAGGAATAAAATAAAGTGTTGACTTTCAAAGTGGTCCCGAATCGAATCCAATGCTTTTTCCCTATAATAAAAATTGCAGTAACTTTGATGCTTTTGTGGATACAAGAAAACACTATATAGCCAATAACTCCATGAATTATGATCTTAGGCTTTATGCCCTATAATAAGAGACCCTAGGTACGATTTCTAGTCTTAGAATTCCACGATTCCTCATTCTCATGCTTCTCAGTAAGGCACCAAAGATATCACTATAAGATTTTCATATTTTAGATAAAAGATATCAAATTAGCCATTGTCTCCTTTCCCCCACTAAAAACTACTTTGTTTTGCATCAAGTGTTAATGTGATCTTACATAGAGTCAAGAAAATTAATGGTTTTTTGACAAATAGGACAATACTTTCTGAGAAAGCAGAAGCATATTGTATGTATATATATATAATATATTTTCAGTAAAAATAAAGTTATAAAACTTTTAAAAGGTTTAAACAAGTTGGTACGTGAAGAATCCTGATTTCTCGGAAAATGTAGGGAGAGTGAGCACTTTTTTGTGAGTCAAAGGCTTAAAAAGATTATTCTTGATGACAATTTAGAGCATTACACAAGTACTTAAAAATTTTAAAACAATGCTGATCACAGGACTTCAAATTAATTAATGCAATCTCTTACAAGACTTTAATGATTATTCTCTCTTAAAGAAATTAGCACTAACTAGGCTACAACTTGAATAACTCAAGATTACTCACAAACCTGAAATTGATCAAAATTAATTTGGTACTTTGTGTTTTCTTGATTTTATATGTTGGATGGATCTTGCAGAAAATACTGAGTTTCAACATACATCAAATGTCCATCCTTCAATGCTAAATGTGTACAATTTCTTGTATTGACTATATTCCCTTCAGCTTAAGACTTTTGGTAGATTGGTTCATATCTCTTGTCGTTCATGCAGGCCTGCATTCGAGTGTGTACCAAAACAATCTAAAATGTTGTTCTGTGAACTCTAATAGAAATCAGCTTCAGATTTTGGTAGACTGGTCATGAACTATCTGTTATAGGTGTCCTTATCCTTCATTTTCTACATAGACAAGGCCATAAACTATTTGTTATCCCAAGCAATGGACCGAATGATTTGATTTTAGTTCTTAATCGCCTATTTGCTGATCAAGAATGTGATATAAGAATTTCATAAGCTATTTTATATAAGATTTTTGTGATTTAGTTAACAACTATTACTTAGAAAACAACAAATGAAGACTAGGTTAAGCATGAAGCCGCTTTATACCATCAGATAATGCCGAATGCTTCCAGATTTGCAAGCTTGATAGAATCAGTCCGGCCTTCGATATATTATACTAATTTTGACAATTACAGGCGCAATAAAGTTAGACATTTGATTTCAGTGACAAGGTTATAGAATATCCCTGTGACAGATGGCGGTAGCTGAAATGCTTATGAAGTAAATAATTAAATACATATAAGAATACTTGTAAGGTAGCCAGTCAGTAGCCATTGCAGTTTAGTTTCTAACTGCAGCAATGACTAGCACACCTTCAATTACTGCAGAGGTCTCCCCCAAACATTCATTGCCAATTAAACACTCAAGCATGGAAGAGGATAAAGCTACTCCCTTTCGTGAACGGCTTCTTGGTGGTGGTAACACTTACCCATCTCATTTCCAAAAGGTAACCTCAGATTCTCAGTACATTAACGTAACATGCAACCAGCATTAAAAGTAGCTCTAACCAAGAATTATAATATTGTTGTTCCTCTATTCTACTACAGGTTGTTGCAGAGTTAATGGGCACATATATTCTTATATTTGCCGGTTGCGGGTCTGCTTTAGTTAACAAAATTCAAAGCCTTACCATTGTAGGAATAGCATTGGTCTGGGGTCTAGTATTGATGGCCATGATATATACACTTGGGCATGTGTCCGGTGCCCATTTTAATCCTGCTGTTACCATTGCCTTTGCTGCTTCTCGGAAACTTTCATGGAAACAAGTGAGCCATTATTTAGATATCAATCTTGACTTATAAATATTATTCATGTGAAAAGAAATTGTTTTCATTGAAAATTGTTTGGGGATTACTATATAGGTGCCTTTGTATGTATTGTCTCAAGTTCTGGGAGCAACACTTGCCAGTCTGACCCTGAGAGTGTTGTTTACTGACCAAGACAACATTCACGCAACAACGACTCAATACACAGACGCAACCTCTGACCTTGAAGCTATCACGTGGGAATTCATAATCACTTTCATTTTGATGTTCACCATTTGTGGCGTTGCTACTGATCATCGAGCTGTATGTTAATATAATGCATATCATTTGCTGTTACTGGCCATATTCAGGCTTTGCTGTTACTGGCCATATTCAGGCTTTGCTGTTTTGAGTTTTTATATTCTTTAGAAAGATGACATGTATTGACACTCGACTATGAATGACTCAACAGAGTAGAGACTTTGCTGGAGTCGCAATAGGTGTGACGTTGTTGTTTAATGTCATGATTGCTGGGTAATTTTACTCTTTTCCTGTAGCGTTGGATTTACTACCTTAATGCATGATTAGTGCACTGACCCTCGGTTCTGTGCACCCCAACAGACCTCATAAGGGTGGTTGACATGTTGAATTTTGCAGGCCGATCACTGGGGCTTCCATGAATCCTGCAAGGAGTTTAGGTCCTGCCGTGGCTTCTGGTGTTTATAAAAATCTTTGGGTGTACATTGTCGCCCCCATTATTGGAGCAATGGCTGCAGCCTTGGTATATAGTTTACTCACAGTACCTACGCCTGCAAAAGAAAAGCCACTGGAGACTAAAAGCATGTACAATCAACTTTATCTACATGGTGATCCATAGATATACTAGCTCATCACGACCCTCCTCTGGACAATAACTACTCATGCCGGAGGCTGCCAATCTAAAGATGTCAAGTTGCCTTTCTGTTCAAATTATCTGGGGAAGTTATCCCATGGTTTTCCACCAGAGACCTTGTTACTCACATGTAATTGAGATTTAATTTTCTTTCTCTTATTGAAAAGATTGACAATAAAACTAATCAGAAAATAGAAGTCCATATACCATGTGGCAGCAATTTCCAAATAAAAACCGGTTTGTAAACTTTTGAAACCTTTTGTACTGCAGTAAAATTTTACTTCTTTAAACTACGGGAAGAAAATGAAGATGGCATAATCATAAACTACATTAAAATACCAGCCTAATTAACTGAAAAAGCACAAACTACGGGAAGAAAAAGAAGATGGCATAATCATAAACTACATTAAAATACCAGCCTAATTAACTGAAAAAGCACAAACCTGGGTTTATTAGAGGACTACACATCCCTACCACGACTCTTCTCTCCCTTATGAGAACAATAAATACTATACAGCAGAGCTACGTATATGGTACAAGAAGGAAAAGGATGGCAAATCAGATGCCTGTACTAATTTGGAGTTTCATGCACACAGGACGGAACTGCCTAACAATTTAGTGAGAAGAAAAGTGGGTAGATAAGATGAATGTATGATACTGATTTATCATCTCTTTGGCCCACAGGATTGGGCATCATTTCATACTCCACCTTCCTAGATTCCAGTGCAAGTCATGTATAATGTTTTACCTGTTAAGAGAAGAAAGATTCAAGGTCAAGAATAATAAAATCCATCACCCAATGGAGATAAACATGATTGTGTGCACTCTGAATGGCAATTGTTCCACTTAATAATGTGGCATACTGGAATGCCGTAAGGAATTCTGTATTAGTAACATAATACAGCTTCAGATCAGGCATTTTCAATCCCAAGAAAAAGAAAAGCTGTTAATTGAAGTTGCTAATTATTATAGACTTGCCAAATGCTTCAAAGAGTTCTTACCCAGTTTGAGAAAGCCGCCTGCAATTCATTATTTGGTGAGACTGTGGATGCCTCTGCAAGTACGACGAACTTGTTCCAATGCCATTTTCATCACCTACTAACTGCTCCGAGTAACTAGAAGTTGAAGGAGACCAAACGGGAACCACCCCTCCATCCCTCTCTCTTCTACTGGTACTAGAAGATTCAGCCGTGGAGTCTTCAGCATTTCCCAGACCTCCTGTAATATTAAATTGTGGCAAAGGGTGGTTGTTGCGAACTGTAGGTAGAACCCCTTGATTCAATGTATCTCTTCTAGGTTCTTGATTTACATTTACATTCACATTTCTTGGAACTTCTGCTCTGCTATTTTCTGCTGAATTTCGAAGATCTGAGGAAGACTCTTCCTCTTCAACTCTCACCAAAGAAGTAGTCATGCTTGGGACCATCTGATCCTCATAACACCGAATTGTGGTAGGAGGATTATTCCTAGCAGGTTCATGGTTTTCCTCCATTTGTATATCTTCAGGAAATGCAATTGGGGCAGCTTCAGATGAGTCTCCAAGACCTTCCTCAGTTCCATTCTCAATTGCAGCTCTTGAAGCTGCTTCTTGCTGCCACATATCAGTAAGTGCTTCTTGCAACCTAGCTTTTGCTGCATCTATACTCACAATGGGGAGAGGATAATTGGATCCAAGCTCAATGCCAGCAGCTTGGAGTACAGACTCCGGTGCATTCCAAGGGTGGTGTATCCATTCAGTTGGCAGTCGAGCAAGTTCAGGAAGCCACCTTCGTACATATTCTCCATTCGGGTCAAACTTGTAACCCTCAAACTGTTGAATAGTAACGAGTGAGAACATTTTTATCACATAAGTTAAGTAGCTGATAATGCATGAATTAAATTTTGAATATAAATAACTCCATTCCAGAATTTTGCCTACTTTTTTCCTATGCTTCTAAGAACCAAAGACATGCTTTAAGAAGGGTAGAAGGACAGAGGGAAAAATAGATTCCCAGATGCCTCAGCAAACTTATGACACAAAAATATGTTTAGAAAACTCAGCAACACTAGCTCCAGAGCTGCTTCTATATATAGTTTTAGATTCATCTGGTTATGACCAAGAATAGGAACAGGTGCTGACCTTCAATTGTCAGAAAACTGCAGAGAACCAGGGATGTTTAAGAAAAAAGGCAATGCAAAAATTAACAGAAGTTGTCTATGTTAAAAATAGTCAGAATCTATGAGGGGAAAATACAACTCGAACAAAAAAAAAAAAATAACTTGAGTAATATAAGCTTCAGAAAGAAGGATTAAATTTGCTGCCAAAAATCCTTAAGATCAGGCATTGGGATGTCTACTATATTCTGTATCTAAGCACTAAAAAGGCCAAAAAAGAAAGAAAAAGGTGTGGAATATGAGTTTATTCATGTAATTGTCTATCCGGTCAAACTCACAGACATCAGGGAGATATATGCTCATGTTATTACATGTTTGATAGTCCAATTAACAGAACAAAGCTGGACTAGATTTATTAAAATTATCATTAACACCTGTGGATTGTCTATCCGGTCAATTTCACGGCCATCAGGAAGAGTGCCAGATATGTACTGCCAACCAAGAGCATCACTCTCTAAATCTGCATCCAAAAGGGTATCCCAGAAATACTTCATTCCCCATCTCCATGGAAGCTGAAGAACCTTTACAAAGAAACTAGAAACTACAACTCGTATCCGATCATGAAGCCAGCCAGTGGCCCACAACTCTCTCATGCCAGCATCCACCAGTGGATAGCCAGTTCTACCTTGTCTCCATGCCTTAAAATAGCCTTCATCAACAACCCAAGGAAAGAACTTAAGGTGCCCAAGGAGAGGCCTTTCATGACTGTAAGGATGGTTAAAACTCATATATCTTGAATATTCCCGAAGACCAATTGACTTGAGAAACAAGTTCACACTCTCATCACCAGCCTTGTTCCCTTCATTGGCCCAGGAAACCTGCTTGATGCGGACAAGATGGAAGACTTTTCTCACACTCACCTCCCCAAAATGCAGGTGCGGTGAAAGAAGTGAGGTTGTGGCACTATCAGCCTTTCTCCGATTCTTAGAGTATTCAATTAAAGGCCCATTAATAAATGTGGTGAGAGCCTTATCAGCATTGCTCCACCCAGGCGACCATGCTCGTGCAAGAAGAGCATTGCTCCCTTTCTCTGATTCATCTTCAAACACTAATGTATCTGAAGGGCACCTACATATATCACCTGAATGAGAGCAAACAATGTTGGTAGCAATATTAGCCACACTGGAGGTTGAATCAGAGAATATATAAGAGGGGTGAACTCAAAAATGTACAAACAGATATCAAACATAGTATCCATAAGACAAGGTTAAGAAACGAGAAGAAATAAAAAAACTAAACCCTACAAAAGCTTCACAATAAATTAGCTCCCAGTGGGCATCATTGCTAATCTTAGCAAAAGAAGTTAGGTTGCCATTGTATCCTTCCCACATGCACGCAGCAAAGGAATGTTTCAAGCACCTGGTCATTGAAAATGTATGTGCTATCAGCCTATCATATATGGAACAACATAAATCCATATAGGATTGGCAAACGGCATATCTGCTTTTCCTTGAGATAAGGGGAGAGAGCTCAAGTTTAATAATAACACAAGCTCTAACCTATATATATGTTAAGCAGAGAGTGAAGTTTCACACAAGTATAAATTGAGCCAACAGATCAAATCTCCATTACATAATTCTTAGTAATATATTAATGAGCTTAATCAGATACTCAAAGAAACAAGGTGCATGCCTAAATGTGTTCTAATGACAGAAACAGTGTCGTGACTGAAAATACTTAAATGTTTCTGAATGTAATACATGTTTGTTGCTGGGGGAGTGAGTATCTATGGGACCCCAACAAAAAGAAAAAAGGTATTTAACTAATAAAATAGTTTATAGCTCAAGCTTTAAGGTTTTCTATAGAATCAATTGGAAAAGTCTCCTTTTATTAGGTCTCTTAACATGATATTGGACAAAACTTCATGGCCCCACATGGTTAGCACTATCAATTGTAATATTATAAATTCTGTATGCACAAGTTTTCTTGATGTTCTCATAACATGTCACTGTATGCAAATGTTCCTGACAATTTTTCAAGTATTTTCCACATTGGAGTTCTAGTGCAGATATGAAATCTCATTTCTGTTGAAGCTCAAGATATTGAGTTAAAAAATATCAAATACCTTTATAATCTCGGAAAGAGATTTTAATGCACCAAAGACAAAATGGATCACTGGGGTCACACTCCATACAAACCTGAAATTATCCTCTTAGGTGGGAGAAGTGGAGAATCAGGGTCGTAAGGCATACTAAGGCATCTCTCCCAGAATGCAGCAAATGTCATGAAAGGGCGGCCTTGTGCATCATTTATCTCCCATGGTTCATAGAGCAGATCCGCATTAAACGTGCGCACAGCTATGCCTTGTGCAGTTAAGAGCTCCTTTGCACGGTGATCCCTTACCAGCGACAAGGGGTCTGAAAAACAGTAAATTAACACAAATGTCGGATGCAAATTGTTGTTATTGCTACTCTAAACTGATGACAAAGAATTTACAAGCAGATGGAAAGAAATTGCGCAAATAACAACATATTTAACTAAGCAAATTCCCTCAATATTCAATCAACTATCAAAAAGTACCTACTCAAATTTAACCGTACAAATACTAACAGATCACTACTGAAATTAAACAATTATTCAATAGAATTATCTAGATGATTATCTATCAGACAACCTGAAGAGAACAAAATGAGTATACAGGAACTGCAAAATTACGGATGGCCCATTTCAAAAGAAATTATCCTTAATTGAAAGCAGTTCAGAAAATCCAACATCATTGACATCAGTGAGAGAATAAACTATTACATAATCATCCAATTCAAAACACTAACTCAGATAAATATATAAAAAATATATCAAAGTGGGTACGCACGATCTAGCATAGGCATGCAAAAGCAGAATAAAAAAACAATAAATACAGAAAGACAAGAAAAGGTAAAAAAGTTGAGGCACAGAGAAGAAGATAAAACAGACCATATAAATGGTTGAAGAAGAGCTGAGTAGCACCAGTTGCTTTAACAACCTCAAGAAGAGAAGAAACACTGTCAGTGGATCTCTTGGTGATGAGACAAGTACCAAGGCTCCTCAAAGAAGAATCAAGATGAGCCAAACTGTGCTTGAGCCACCACCTAGACACCCTCCCTGGATAATAAGGACCCTCTTCCTCAGGAGCCCATAGAAAAACTGCAACAACAGCACCAGCCCTCACACCGGCTGCGAGTGCTGGATTATCTTCAACTCTTAGATCTCTCCTAAACCAAACTATACTACAACCACCACCTGACATCTCCACCAATAAAAAATCTCAACTCACCACCAACTTTATTATCTCCCCGTTAGATATCTACCATTTCTTTCTTTTTTCTGTCCTGGAACCAAAAAAACCAGGCAACTTGTGTAACTAATTTTATGGTTTTTTAATGGGAAGAAGGAGATTTTCAACCATAAGCAAGAATCTCTTTAACTTCTCACTTTCTTAATCATTTACTTATGTTTATTTAATAAATGTATTTATTTATTTTTAGTCTTTATGGTTCAGGTGCAACCAGAAGGCCAAGCCCTTAGAGAGAGAAGTGAGTGAATAGAATTGGTTAATGGATTGGGGATGCAACAAATTGATAGGCAATTTGCAGCCACAACTTTTATTTTCTTGAATTTTTATTTTCCATTATCCTGTACAAGAAAACAAAACACTACCCACCTCTCTAGTTTCTTCTCTAATCCTCTTTCTTTGACAGGGTGGAAAAATATTATATATATTTTATTTTGATTTTCAGTAAGTTTTCAAGAATTTCTTACATCACTGAAAAGACAAATTAGTGATAGCAAAACATGGTTTTTGTGCTTGAATAGGAAGGGCATGCTGGGGTTTTAACATTATGGGTCTTGATTTATTGTTTGTTTTTTTGTTTGAATCTGATTCTCGAGTATTTCTCTTTAGCTAGTTGAGGGGTTATCTCAAGTTGGGATTGCATTGGAAGATTGGATATTGGAGGGGGACAGGGAGCCATGGGAGAGATAGGCATTGCTGACTACTTGGGATTTGGCTCTTTTCTCTTCAAGTGGACCTTTAGCTTCAACATTTGGGGCTCTTCTCTTCATAAAGCTCAGATTCCATTTATGCATCACTGTTAAAAGTGATTTATGATGTCTTGTTTTTTCTCTCTCTCTCTCTCTCTCTTTCTCTTTGTAAAATAAACATGCTTTTCTGGTTGGATTATACCAAGTATGTGTATTATCGTAATTTATTATTCTTCTTATGTGCATTTAAGAGAAAAAGGAGCTTACTTTTTGTAATCAGAGACAAACCTGCCTTCACTTCATATTTTAAAACAGATTTTCCTATTGTTAAATTAAACCACCTTTTGGATGAGTAGCGGTTGAATAGAGATTCTTGAGTAATACCTAAGAGATTCTGAGTTTGATTCACCTCGGTTATTAATAGAGTTGACCACTGAAGATTTATCCAACCATATTAACTTTAAGGCTCTAAAGATTAGTTAAAATGCGCGTAAACTGATCTGAACACTCCGGTAAAAAAAAAAAAAAAGACGGTAAAATTTAAGTTAAAAAATGACTTAATTAGGGGACTATGTATGTAGTGTTTAAGTATGACTTTTTCTGTAAATCTTTTCCATCAATGACTTCAGTTTTAGCCAAAAATAGAAGAAAAAACGGTGGGTGGATATTGGGTAAAGTCAAGTTTTTAAAATTTGCCTGAAAACTGGAAAACATTGAGTAGACAAGGAAGAATGGGTAAGATACTGCACATGCCATGTGGGTGTTTTTTTCTTATTTGTTTGTACTTAACTTCTATTGCCAACGGACCACTACTGTATATCAATCACACCAACATTCAATTCAATCATCTCTCTTTCTATCAACTCCACCCTCTAATGGAACCCCATCAAAACCCGCTTTCCCAATTCATCCTCTTCCTATGCTTAAACACTTGTGTTTACTTCCTGAACCAACATGTTGATAAATGGGTTTTTAAAACTGTAATTGGGTAAAGTGTGGCCGCAGAAGAAGACTTTTTGAGTTGAAAATGGCATAAATGCAGTAGTTACTTTGGGTGATTTTCTTTGGGACTAATCATTTGGTGGTATGGGCCACCTACATAAACAAAGACAAATTTCATTTATTAAATGTTTCCCATCTGTTGACTTTCACTTGTTTAATCACATTTAATTAAGATATTAAACTTTATGCTTTTCGTTTTATCTTATCCCATACAGGTATTAAGAAATTCAAGACTGTTGATACATTTATCTGACTTGTGACTGAAAAATATTAGTTTAATCACGATTCACGAACGGTATCTGGATTTCAGGCCAGTATATACAGAATCTTTTCGGTTCGTCCAGCCCAAGCCTAGCCCATGAATTATTCAAGGGAGAAAAGCAAGAGTACCACCTCAACAATACCACAAACAAATAAAAAATTAACACCTGTAAAATTACATAAAATCATAAAATAAATTGGCTGATAAAAGTAGAAATGAATGGAATTGTATATGGCTCATTTGAAGTTATAAGATGCCAGAGAAACCCTATATCGGCAGGATGGGAGTTCAAAGATGCTAGAGTTGTTTCATCCACTCACTGGATTGGATTTCACGGTGACAAAATCCGGCAAGATTAACTGAATTTTTAGTGTTTCTTTCCTAAGATTATGCAATGTTTACAAGATTTAGCTGTGGGGTTTTATGCACTTAATGATCTAACTACGGTGGTGTGGACTCCGTTAAATAATGTGATTAGCAATAATGATGGTTGGTGAACAAACGTCTATTTTATTCTACAAATTACTAATTTTTTTAAAAGGCAGAACGATTTACACCCACCCAAAGTTTGTTGTAGAGACAATTTGATACCCAAAAGGTTTGGAAATGACAAACAGCTACATTCCGTCCAGATCTGTTAGTAAATTTCATCTACCATAACAAAAAAGACTAAAACGCCCTTATTATTTTCTTCTTTCTCCTTCCCTTTTCTTCTCCATCGCTTTATCTCCTTCTCCAAGATTTTAGATGATGTTCATGATGGCAAGTAATGTGAGAAGAAATCAGATGAGGGTAGTGAAACAAAAGATTACAGAGGCTGAAGAAAATGTGAAGAAACTGAAAGAGGCGTATGAAATGACAGAAACTGAAAGAGCCGTATGAAATGATAGAAACTGAAAGGAGACAGAAAGAGGGTCGTGAATGCATAGGATCTAGACCAATGCAAGCAGGGATTGATCAGAAAGTAGAAGATGAGAAGATCAAAGCAACTCAAGAGGCTCTTGAGCATTGTAAGAACAATCTTGAGGCAGTTATTAATATATTTAAGCAAGAAAAAACTGGGATTCTAAGTGATACCTTGGGACCATCTTGTCATGAAGAAAACGATGTATCTCTGGAGATACCTACACATGGAGAGAATGGGGAGGTAATGGAAGTAACTCGAGCTTCTTCTGAGTTAGAGATGGAAATAGAATTAAATTCAATTGAAGTGGCGAATGAACTAGCGACAAAAGAGGTTTTTGAAGTTGAAATAGTTGGTTTGCCTCAAGTGGTCCTTGAGCACAAAGAGACTAAGAAGTAAGTCAACCATACAACTGATGATATTGCTTCCAATTACAATAGGGTAAATTTAGGAAACACTNTTGGATGAGTAGCGGTTGAATAGAGATTCTTGAGTAATACCTAAGAGATTCTGAGTTTGATTCACCTCGGTTATTAATAGAGTTGACCACTGAAGATTTATCCAACCATATTAACTTTAAGGCTCTAAAGATTAGTTAAAATGCGCGTAAACTGATCTGAACACTCCGGTAAAAAAAAAAAAAAAAGACGGTAAAATTTAAGTTAAAAAATGACTTAATTAGGGGACTATGTATGTAGTGTTTAAGTATGACTTTTTCTGTAAATCTTGTCCATCAATGACTTCAGTTTTAGCCAAAAATAGAAGAAAAAACGGTGGGTGGATATTGGGTAAAGTCAAGTTTTTAAAATTTGCCTGAAAACTGGAAAACATTGAGTAGACAAGGAAGAATGGGTAAGATACTGCACATGCCATGTGGGTGTTTTTTTCTTATTTGTTTGTACTTAACTTCTATTGCCAACGGACCACTACTGTATATCAATCACACCAACATTCAATTCAATCATCTCTCTTTCTATCAACTCCACCCTCTAATGGAACCCCATCAAAACCCGCTTTCCCAATTCATCCTCTTCCTATGCTTAAACACTTGTGTTTACTTCCTGAACCAACATGTTGATAAATGGGTTTTTAAAACTGTAATTGGGTAAAGTGTGGCCGCAGAAGAAGACTTTTTGAGTTGAAAATGGCATAAATGCAGTAGTTACTTTGGGTGATTTTCTTTGGGACTAATCATTTGGTGGTATGGGCCACCTACATAAACAAAGACAAATTTCATTTATTAAATGTTTCCCATCTGTTGACTTTCACTTGTTTAATCACATTTAATTAAGATATTAAACTTTATGCTTTTCGTTTTATCTTATCCCATACAGGTATTAAGAAATTCAAGACTGTTGATACATTTATCTGACTTGTGACTGAAAAATATTAGTTTAATCACGATTCACGAACGGTATCTGGATTTCAGGCCAGTATATACAGAATCTTTTCGGTTCGTCCAGCCCAAGCCTAGCCCATGAATTATTCAAAGGAGAAAAGCAAGAGTACCACCTCAACAATACCACAAACAAATAAAAAATTAACACCTGTAAATATTACATAAAATCATAAAATAAATTGGCTGATAAAAGTAGAAATGAATGGAATTGTATATGGCTCATTTGAAGTTATAAGATGCCAGAGAAACCCTATATCGGCAGGATGGGAGTTCAAAGATGCTAGAGTTGTTTGATCCACTCACTGGATTGAATTTCACGGTGACAAAATCCGGCAAGATTAACTGAATTTTTAATGTTTCTTTCCTAAGATTATGCAGTGTTTACAAGATTTACCTATGGGGTTTTATGCACTTAATGATCTAACTACGGTGGTGCAGACTTCGTTAAATAATGTGATCTGCAATACTGATGGTCGATGAACAAACATCTGTTTTATTCCACAGATTGCTAATTTTTTTAAAAGCAAAACGACTTACACCCACCCAAAGTTTGCTATAGAGATAATTTCGCACCCAAATGGTTTGGAAATGACAGCCACTTTCCGTCCAGATCTGTTAGTAAATTCCATCTACCATAACAGAAAAGACTAAAACGCCCTTATTATTTTCTTCTTTCTCCTTCCCTTTTCTTCTCCATCACTTTATCTCCTTCTCCAAGATTTTAGATGATGTTCATGATGGCAAATAATGTGAGAAGAAATCAGATGAGGGTAGTGAAACAAAAGATCACAGAGGCTGAAGAAAATGTGAAGAAACTGAAAGAGGCGTATGAAATGACAAGAGGAGACAGAAAGAGGGTCGTGAATGCAAAGCATCTAGACAAATGCAAGTAGGGATTGATCAAAAAGCAGAAGATGAGAAGATCAAAGCAACTCAAGAGGCTCTTGAGCACTGTAAGAACAATCTTGAGGCAGTTATTAATGTATTTAAGCAAGAAAAAATTGGGATTCTAAGTGTTACCCTGAGACTATCTTGTCATGAAGAAAACGATGTAACTCTGGAGATACCCACACATGGAGAGAATGGGGAGGTAATGGAAGTAACTCAAGCTTCTTCTGAGTGCAAAGAGATGGAAATAGAATTAAATTCAATTGAAGTGGTGAATGAACTGGCGACAAAAGAGGTTTTTGAAGTTGAAATAGTTGGTTTGGCTCAAGTGGTCCTTGAGCACAAAGAGACTAAAAAGTAAGTCAACCATACAACTGAGGCTATTGCTTCCAATTACAATAGGGTAAATTTAGGAAACACTGATATGGGTGTACCACAAAAGCAAAATGATCCACATGGAGAGGCATTCGAGACTGTCTGTAATGGTGGAAAACATTTTGAAGAATTGGCTTGTGAATCAGAAAAAATCTTTAAGGATGTTGAGGAAGTTGACGCTGCAATTGAACAGGAAGAAGACAAGAGTAACTTTGAATTTTCCAGTGAGAGTTGGGCTAACAGTGGGAAGAATATGGAGGGAACTAGGCTGATAACATTCACCATTCGATCAATAATATTCCTGATATGGAAACAGTTGATATGGAGAGAAGCATGACAGATATGGATACCAAGAGTGTGGCAGGTTGACTTATCTCCATCTCGTTGACAACCATAGGACTTATTCTAGTGCAGATTTTACTCCTTGTAATTTGCTAAGTCTTACCTTGTATAGAATACACATTTGTCTATTACCATGTTTAACTAGCCTATACAATTTCTGTATACAGTTCTTGATATAAATACAATACTACTCCCACGGTTGAAGGTGTGGTGAGATTTCTCAATCATCGACTTGTGTTAGTTTTCTTCTTGGTATCAGAGCAATAATACTGTGAGGAAGGCTATTTTTTTTCCGCAAACATGTCCTTAGTATCATTGAACGTTGGCAATTTTGTCACACTCAGACTCAAGTTTGAAAATTATCCTCTTTGGCGTGAGCAAGTCCTTGCTCTAGCAGAAAGTCAAGAGCTGGTAGCCTATCTTACGGGCGAAGTCACTATCCCTGAAGCTATACTTCCACCTCCAGAAGGTTCAAACTATCAAGTTGTTCCTAACCCCGACTTTATGAAATGGAAAATTGTTGATCGACTACTTAGAGGCTAGATCATTGGCACCTTATCTGAAAAGGCTCTTGGGATTGTCACTGGACTGGACACCTTGGCACAAGTATGTAGGGCTCTCAAAGAAGCCTATGCTCAAGCTTCTCAAGAGCGACAGTTTCAACTTACACAGCAACTCAATCACACGAAGAAAGACCCTGATATGCCCTTGAATGACTACCTACGTAAATTCAAAGGTGTGTGTGATAATCTATCTGTTATTGGTTTTCCTGTTGATGACAAAACCAAAGTATTCTCTCTGTTAAATGGCTTGGGAGCAAGGTATGAACCTTTTACCACCTCTATGCTCAAACCTCCTATGCCAAGTTATCCAGAAGTAGTGCCTTTATTGCAAAGCTATGAAACACGAATTAGCTTGCACTCCCCTGACTCAATAGCCTACACTGCCTTTTATGGTCAGAAAAATAACTCAAAGTTCACCAACAAGGGAGCTCGGCAATCAGGTAATTTCTCATCAAAAGGGAAAGGTTTTTCTCTTGCTAATCAAGCAACTGTGAAGCCAACTAATCAAGGTTCTCTAAATGTGTCAACCAATTCTATCCGTGAGTCTAATTGTGATATTCTATGCCAAATCTGTGACAAATAAGGCCACACTGCAATTCGTTGTTGGCATAGGTTTAATCACTCAATTCAGCCTGACAACTTGCCAAAAGCATTTGTAGCTTTCAACATTGACTTATAATCCAACAATGATGAATGGATTTCCGATACAGGAGCTTCTGCTCACATGACTTCTCATGAAGGTATTTTACACAACTTAAAACCTTATGTTGGTTCAGATCATGTATTAATTGGAAATGGAGATTTTCTAAGAATTACACATATTGGAAATGCTACCATTAGGACAAGATCTTCAAAGATCACTTTAAAAAATGTTCTTTTGGTCCCTGATTTAGAGAAAAACTTGTTATCTATTGGACAATTGACTACTAATTATCCAGTAAACTGTGAGTTTTCTAATGAGCATTTTGTGATCAAGGATCGAGTGACACAAAGGGTTCTAATGAAAGGACTCAAGCAGGATAATCTCTACACCATTCGATCTTCTCCAGCTGCTTTCTTTTCAACAAGGTTTTGAGCAGTAACAAGGGACCTATGGCATCAAAGGCTCGGGCATCCACAAGTAGTTGTTGTTGCCAAACTCCAAAGTAATGGTTTTATTAAAGTATTGTCCAATAAGTTAGAGAATAAAGTTTGTGAGAGTTGTCAGCTAGGGAAGATGTCTAAGCTTCCTTTTCCTGCTTCAGTGTCTAGTACATTTGCTCCTTTTGATAAGCTTCATATTGATTTGTGGGGGCCTGCTCCTATTCCTTCCATGAATAAATTTCTTTATTATGCTGCCATTGGGGATGATTTTACCAAATTCATTTGGCTTATTCCCTTAACGTAGAAATCAGATTTCTTTACTCAATTCTTACTATTTGAAAAGTATGTCTTGAGGCAATTTGAGAAAACCATAAAAGTGGTACAAACAGATGGAGGGGGAGAATTTATGAACCATGCATTTGTTAGTCATTTGCAAAATTCTAGTATTTTACATCAGGTATTAGGGCTATGCAAAAAAACCCGTTAACCGAACCGAACCGAATCCGAAAAATCGGATACCTGAAAATTCGGGTGGGTTTCGGGTAGTTATAATGTGATACCCGAATTTCCGGTTCGGGTATCGGTTATTTGCTTTAAGGTAACCGAGTACCTGGTAACCGGTTTTATTAAAAAATAAAAAAACAAAAAAAAACACAGATTTTGATTTTCAAAGGCAAAAGCCCCAAATCCCTTATGCCCAAAAAGTTTAGCCCGTCACTATGTCAAGTACTCAAGTCCCGGCTCCCGCACACAGGCGCACAGTCGCACTCAAACTCGTCTCTCTCACTCTCAAATTCTCCAGTCTGCATCTGCACCGCACAGCCGCACTCAGCCACTCATCTCTCTCACTCTCAACAGTCGCACTGCCACTCATCTCTGTCACTCTTAAATTCTCCAGTCTGCAATCTGCATCTGCATCGCACAACCGCACTCAGCTACTCATCTCTCTCACTCTCAATAACCGCACTGCCACTCATCTCTCTCATAGCACAGCCGCACTCATCTCTCTCACTCTCAACAGTATTGGATGGTCTCTTTGGAACTTTGACCGGTTCTTCAGTCTCCGTGTAAGTGTTCTCCCTTTCCTTCAAAATTTTTGCTTTTAATGCAGATGAAATTAATTTTGAGAAAAACAACAGAGAAAATGTGGGGCTGCTTGGAAGCACTCGTGTTGGAAGCCGCAGGGTCATTCAAATCTCAGCTGGCTTTATGATATTCTTCTCAATATTGGGTTTGTGACCGATTATTGCAAATTCTGTTTAAGAATCTAACTCTTTGATGTTCTTTTTTTTTATAGTCAAGTTGAATTCTTTTTCCTACAGGGAAATTTGGAGCTTTGTTTGCATCAATCCCCTTCCCAATATTTGCTGTTGTGTACTGTGTTTTGTTTGGTCTTGTTGGTGGGTTTGCTTGGTTTCTTTTTCATTTTACTATTTAGTTGTCTTTTTTTTCTTTCTGTATCTGACGGTTACTTTCTTCTTGTTTAAAGCATCTGTGGGGCTGTCATTTTTGCAATTCACAAACATGAACTCAATGAGGAACCTCTTCATTGTTGGTGTTGCCCTCTTCTAATCAACAGCCGCACTCATCTCTCTCACCCTCAAATTCTCCAGTCTGCTAATCTGCTGTGTAATTTTAATGAAATTCGGGTAACAAAATCGGATACCCGGTTTGTGACCCAAATTTTCGGGTACCCGCAAACCGGGTATTCTAAAATCGGTTCGGTTTGCGGGTACATTTTTAAAGGTACCCGAATATTCGGGTACCCGGTTTTTGGTCAAAATCGGAGCGGGTACCCGGTTTTGCACAGCCCTATCAGGTATCATGTCCATACACACCTGAGCAGAATGGATTTGTTGAGAGGAGACATCGAAATATTAGAGTGTTGGGTCTTACAATGATGCTGCATGCAAATGTTCCTAAGTACTTTTGGGTAAAAGCATTTACCACAACTGTTTTCTTAATCAACAGACTCCTTACTATCACCTCAAAATGGGAGTCTCCATATTATATGCTTTATCACAAAACACCAGATTATAGATCTCTTCGTGTCTTTGATTCAAGATGTTATCCATATGTTTGGGACCAAAAGACAAGTAAATTCGACACAAAGTCCCTACCTTGTGTATTCTTGGGCTATAGTGATCGACATAAAGGATATAGGTGTTATTATCCACCTACAAGAAGAACATTTATTTCAAGACATGTAGCATTTGATGAGGACTCTCTTCACTTCAAAACTCAAGTCTCCAATAACAAGTCTGCCTCAGATTTTTTGGTGACTACTTTCAAAGAATGAGACTTTTCAAAATCTCCTATGTGTTCCCATTCTCTTCCATCAGCAAATACAGAACATCCAACTCCTAATGCACCTTTGAATAAACAACTAATTCTATCTTATTTAGTTTCTGATGCATAACTTCAGTCCAATACTGTCCCCGCTATGCTGCCTGAATTCTCATCTCTACTGGATCAATCAGAAGGTCAAACAGTGGCTAACCAACCCATGCCAATTCATGCAGAGTCTTCGAACTCTATACTGCCTGCACCTTCACACACCATGCAGAATTGTGCAAAATCAGGTATTCATAAGCCTAATCCTAAGTATGCTTTAATTCATCATTATGGTGGCATACCAAAGCCATCAAGAACAATTCAATCAGCTGTTAAGCATCCTGGCTAGAAGCAAGCTATGGAAGAAGAATTGGAAGCATTGAGGCAAAATGAGACCTGGTCTCTTGTTCCAAGAAATTCCACAATGAATGTGGTTGGATCACGTTCAGGGGCGGACCCAGGCCCCTTGAGGGTAGGCCCAGGCATGCCCTCAACTTTAAAAAAAAAGTTTGAAAAGTTTTTTTAAAAGGTAAAAAAAAGAAGTAAAAGTTAGGTTTTGTCTTTTTATATTCTAAGTTTTTCTTCCCCAATTCCCAACTTCCCTTTTACATGCGGATCTGGATTTGGAGTGATTGTAATCCATATTTTTATAAATCTTTGTGTATTTTATTTTTGTTAGAGTTGTGATTGGGCTCTAAATTTGTTTAGAATATTTTTGGTGGATTTGTGGTTGTTGTAAACGATAATCCTATTTTTCTCTATGATTTTGCATTGAATTTTGATAGGATTTAGGATACTTCTCATACAATTTGGGCCATAATTGCTACCTAATTCTATTAATTTGTCTTTGCAGACCTAAACGATGATTTTGAGCATAAATGACAGTTTTGAGCGTAAATTGTGTAACTTGAGTTTGGAAACTCAGAATGACCTGATTTTAGAAGTTTCGGAAAGCTAAGAAGCAGAGCTACAACTTTCATGTTTGAGTTTTTCCTAATTCTGACTGGACAAGGGTGAAAACTTGGCTTGAAGTCGTGAACAGTATGTTGGAAACTGAAGAAAAATGTCTTTGGACGTGCTTCAGTATTTCTACCATAACTTGAGCTGTAGACCTCGGATTGTGCTGATTCTTGAACAAGTAGAAATATAATTTAAAGGGATACAATTCATATGTTTAACACTTTTCCATATTCAAACTCTTTCATGCTCAAGTTTGGCCCGAAATATTCTCGCTGTGGTAAGGAAAAAGCTTCCCCGCGGCGAAACTGCGTCAGATGTGAAAAATAAAACGATGCGTTTTGGCTTGCTAGGGCTTGGCCCTTAAGTGAAAGAGGTATACAATTTTCTTGTGTTTTCTTGTGAATTGGATGTTATTTTCTTATGTTTTCACTAGTTGATTGGCAAACATTGGCGGTGTGAGGGGGCCCCCTTATGCAAAAATCCTGGGTCCGCCACTGATCACGTTGGGTACTAACACCCAAAATCAATCCTGATGGATCATTGCAACGCCTAAAGGCAAGGCTAGTAGCTAAAGGTTTTCATCAAGTGGATGGCATAGACTTCATAGAGACTTACTCTCCTGTAGTGAAACCAGCTACTATTCGAATAATTATTTCACTAGCCGTTGTTCGAAACTGGAGTATTCGATAGCTAGATGTGAAAAATGCATTCCTTCATGGACTCTTGTCAGAAAAGATATTCATGGCATAGCCTCCTGGCTTTGTGAACCATGACAAATTCGATCATGTGTGCTTACTTCACAAGGCTATTTATGGATTAAAGCAAGCACCAAGAGCTTGGTTTGATAGATTTAGCTCCTTTCTACTTGAATATGGTTTTTTCTGCAGTACAGCGGATCCAAGTCTCTTTATCAATCATTTAGCTCATGGCACTTTGGTGCTACTTTTATATGTGGATGATATCATTCTCACGGGTTCTTCAGATAAGTTAATTAATCAGTTCATAGTTGTGTTGCACACTGAATTTGCAATAAAGGACCTTGGTGCACTTCATTATTTTTTGGGGATTGAAGTTAGTCATGTTTCAAATGGCCTTGTACTACACCAATCTAAGTATGCTATTGATCTGCTTAATCATGCCTTGATGAGAGATTGCAAACCAGTTCATACTCCAATGACTCAAAAGTTCAAAACAATCACGGATTCAACAACCCTTTGTGATACTCACAACTATCGATCACTAGTTGGTGCATTACAGTATTTAACACTAACACGTCCTGATATTTCATTTAGTGTTAATTATGTTTCTCAGTTCACGCATGCTCCAACACAAGACCATTTCACAATGGTAAGAAGGATTCTGAGATATGTCAAAGGGACTGTACACCATGGTTTGCATTTTCAAAACTCAAGTACATTGGATCTTTATGCCTTCTCGGATGTTGATTTGGTTGGCTGTCCACATACACGACGTTCCACAACTGGTTTCTGTACTTACCTTGGCAGTAACATCATTTCTTGGAGTGCAAAGAAACAACCCACAGTCTCTCGTTCAAGCTCAGAAGCTGAATACAGGGCCATGGCCCAAACTGCTGCAGAAATCACTTGGCTTACTTTTATTCTCCGTGATCTTCAAGTTCCATTGATGACACCTCCAGTTTTATTTTGTGATAATCTAAGTTCCTTGTTTATGACCGTAAATCCTATGTTTCATGCTAGAAGTAAACACATTGAGTTAGATTATCATTATATCAGGGAGCGAGTCTCTCTTGGGTTGTTAACCACTCGACATATCTCTACTTCAGCTCAGATTGCAGATGTTTTCACCAAGCCACAAACCAGATATGACCTGGACAAGCTCAAGCACAAACTATGCCTTGTTACCACACCTAGTTTGAGGGCGGATGATAACATTCACCATTTGATCAATAATATTCCAGATATGGAAACAGTTGATATGGAGAGAAGCATGACAGATATGGATGCCGAGAGTATGGCAGGTTGACTTATCTCCATCTTATTGACAGCCATAGGACTTATTCTAATGCAGATTTTACTCCTTGTAATTTGCTAAGTCTTACCTTGTATAGAATACACAGTTGTCTATTACCATGTTTAACTAGCCTATACAATTTCTGTATATAGTTCTTAATATAAATACAATACTACTCCCACGGTTGAAGGTGTGGTGAGATTTCTCAATCATCAACTTGTGTTAGTTTTCTTCTAGTATCTTTCAAGTGGAAAAGGAAACGACAGAGATATATATGATATCAAGACAAGCCAGAACACAAAAAGAAATGAAGAGACCTATTATAAAACCACAGAAGTTGAAGGTTATATGCGAAAAGAAGGGGAAATAAAGAAGGAAAATGTGAGAAAGGTAGATAAAATAAAAGAGAGGGAAAGGGAAAAGGAGACGGAAAATGAGAGAATAGTTGTTGAAAGAGCAGTCTGCAAAGCTCATGAACGGGTCTTTACTGAAGCTTGAGAAAGGGTAAAAAGAGCCGTTGTTGAGAAAGCAATTGCAGAAGCATGTCGAAGGGCAATGGCTGAAGCCCAAGGAAGGTTGGAGAAGGAGATGTGTATAAACCGGTGGAGAAGAAAAGGGAAGAGGCAAAGAGAAGGAGAAAGAAGAAAATAATAAGGGCGTTGTGGTCTTTTCCGTTGCTATAGACGAAATTCACTAACAGATCTGGACAGCAAATGGTTCTTATTATTTCCAAACCTTTTGAGTACTAAATTGTCTTTACAACAAACTTTGGGTGGGCGTAAGTCGTTTTTCCTTTTTTTAAACTTTAAATAGTAAATTTCAATAAACATATGTTATTGTTTTTATTGATTTGTGGTACAACTTCAACTATTCTAGCTTTCATTGATTTGTGATGCAACTTCAACTATTCTAGCTTTTCTTGTTTCAAAGAGGATCAAAAGGAATATAACAATAACCCCTTCTAAGTTCTAAATGCAAAGTAGTAGGTGAACTTTAAATCAATGTTTTAATAATCAAACTAGGGTGACACCTGGCAAAGTGGCTAGGTCTCAAGTTAACCGGTTGAATCGAGTTGACCGACCGATCAAACCAATGATGTCAGCATGTCCAGATGTTTGAAATCCAACAAACACATCCTTGAAAAATTACACATCAATCCTTACAAGTTTGAAATCAAGCAAACACACCCCAAATGTAAATCGGCGGTACACCAATCAAATCTCACTCCTCCTTTGCACCATTACCCAGCAAATTTGCCTAAGGTCTTGCTGAAATCGAACCATTTTGTGGCAAAAAACAACACCGCAGGTGTCTAAGATTTGTTTCCTGTGTCAACAACACTCCCCATCATCACGAAAACACTCTCCTCAATCCACTGACCAAAATCCATCTCACCCCTTGTTCACCCCGCCAATCGCCGGCAATAGCTAGTTGTTGTAGCTGCACGACTTTTGCCTTTTTTGGCCATTTCACTCACTGAAAATCACCTTCGTTGCCACCTTTCAACTCACTGGCACATTCTCTCAAAATCCCCAATAGTCTCGCCACTATCTACTCACCGATCACCGCCCTTCTCTTTAGGATTTGAAATTGAAACTGGTGAACAGTTGAAATTGGTGACCTAGATTGGTGAAGGCCTTAAGTCTCGATTAGACCAGTCAGGTCGGGCTGAGTTTCAAAACAGTGCTTTAAATATATTAAATGAATCTAATATTTTAAAGAGTAAAACTTTTTTATTTTTTATTTTTAGTTTTTAATGATATCAATTATTTTTGTATGTATTTGTTCATAGAATACACAGTAATACTTTTAAAAAAAATTATTGTTTGTTTAACTTCTTAGAATAATATTCTATTTTGAATATGATTTAATCAAATAAGATAGAATTATAAGAATGTATTTGATACATTTTTGGAAAACATTGTATGAAAATATTTAGATTATTTTTTAACCCCCTGCATTTGTTAATTTAGCTAAACACGCCCAAAATAAAAGTTTATAAATTAACAAAAACACCATCACCCACCCAATAATTGTCGGGAGTGGGCCACCACCATCGGACGGTGGCCGGAAGTCATCGGAATGTCGCACGATCGGCTGGATCTAGTGGGTCGTGCATCAATCTAGTCTTTTCCGGCCAAATCTACAAGGATCTGGCCGTCATCAATGACCAAATCTTTGGCTGTAGATCTAGCTATTTCCAACTAGATCCGTGGTGGATATGGTTGGAAAATGCTAGATCTGTGCACGACCGGCCATATCCAGTTAGTTGTGTGCCATTCCGACGACTTCCGCCCACCGTCCGATGATGGTGGCCGACTGTCGGCAATTATTGGACGGGTGGAGGTGTTTTTATTAATTTATAATTTTTTATTGAGAAAAATAATTGTTAAATGTTTTGAGTTGAACAGAATATGATTGGATTTTAAATTGAATAGTCAATATTAAAACAAATATGCATTTCACTTAGATTAGATTGGATAGTAGAAGAGGAAAAGTGTGCCAAACAGGAGGCATAATTTTTCAAATGTTTGTATTAAAAATTTAAGCATGCTCAAATTAATAAAATTAATAGAAATAAAAATAAAAAACTAAATTAACCCTTACGCATTTCTGTACTCTGTACGTTATTTAGATTCTCCATTGGACAACTACCAGTTTCATATAATTATTTAATCGTAACATAATCAGAAATTTGATTATCGTATGATTACAGTAACCAAGTTCGTAGCATAAAATAAAACAAGACATCCTTTTCTTGATGTTGCCACTCGAAGGCATTATTAGGATTTGCTGCAGACTGGATAAAGCCTAATGAATACTTAAACATATGCTTTAATTTAACAAAAATATTATATAACATAGACGCAATGACATAAGAAATGGGGTAGGATTTGGTAGTGAAAATTGCTATTATCTTTTATATAGGATTTGGGAAGAGGGAAAGAAACCTAACCCGATTGTGTGTTTTTATATATTGCTTTGACAAGCACGACCAACTTGACTTTATAAAATCAAACAATTTCTTAAATATCAACCTGAGTACACCTTACTCAAAATTATGCAGATAAAATTATCATCTCCAATGGGTCATTGACATGTGTAAGATAATTTACTTTAGCTTGACTGTAAAGTTTTGGTTAATTAATGGGTTAATTTTAGAAAAATACAACGTCAATACCTTAAAAGAAAAGAAATCAAAGTCTAACCACTCATTGAAATCAGTCCCACTTGCACTTGCAACTTCAATTTTTCTATAATCTAAGTTGTTTTATACAACTTATAATTTGCTTAAACATATCGCTCTCACATTAAGTGTCATTATTGTTCTTGTTAATTTTTTGTTGTATTAATATTATTATATATCACTGTCTCTTACTCACTCTCACTCTCACTTTTTCTTACATGTATTATTAAGTAGTAGAAGTCTTGCCCACCTCCACCACAAGAGAAATTTAATATCTTTTTATAAACTCCCTCACTCAATCATATATACTTCTATATATCTTCTAAGTATGATTTGAACACGTGGCCATACATGAATTAACAAAGTTTAACCTTCTAGCCAAGAAACTCAGACCAGCCCTAGCAGTTAAAACCTAGAAGTAGTGCTTATTATATACTTGCATATATTTTTTAATATTTATGGTAGCTAGTATGTACAGTTTAAATCTGTACTCCAGGCTGATTGCTGTATTGTTGAATGGTCTTTATACCAGTCGTATTCTAGAATTTTCCTTTTTTAATTTGTTAACCGCGGTTGACACCATCAGTTCAGAAAATAAAATAGTTTTATACCTTCAGCTTGTGTAAGGAACTCCAGACCGAAACTCAACTTTTGATTTTTTGGTTTCTCTTCTATTTAAAAGAAGACACTCATAACTCATAATACATCGAAAACCATGCATAAATGCGGTATCAACTATCGAGTTTTTATTTAATTTCCCTATCAAATTAAGACTGGTGAGAAATACTTAAGTTTTCAGTAAGAGGAGCGCAGCCTTCAATTAGCATGGATATGTTTATGTCCCTATAGCATAATTATCCCACAACGTTTTTTTTTTTTTTGTTAATTGAAGAAAGAGTGCAATTAATGTTGTTTTCTAGTGTATATATGTCTTTCATTTCTCCCAGTTCACTAATACAAGCAGCAAAAAATAATTATATTGATGCATGATATTCATTTTTGTCTATAAGGCCATGCATCAATAGCTGAGATATATATGTTTTCCTTTATACGCACAAATTCTGGCTGTTGCCTATTTCCCATACTTAATTTAACGATGACGAATGATGGAATAAAGGAAATATTAATTGTAAATGTTGCTTCGAACCATAAGTTCTTCATATTCTGTATACATTATTCTCTCTACTCTCATGCATTTAATAATCCCAATTTTTAATTTATAAAACTCGATACCTCTTTTCGGGAGGTAATATAGCCATAAGCAACCAATGTAAATGATTCACAGCAAACAGAAAACAAACTACTAACAAAAAATAATAGAAAAAGCAGCATAAATATGACAAATTTAGTTATATTTCTCTATTTCTTGAATGCAAACACAACACCGTCATATATTGGGGGTGAATAAAAAAACTCAAAAAATCACGGATAATTACTCTTACAATGTTTGTTATGTACGTGGTAGGCATGTCTATGTATATCTTCCAAGTCCTGTATCCTGCATAAAATTACTCATCTGTATATGATAGTAAGAGAGCTTATACATTTAAATACCTATAAGATTATGAAATACGACTACACAGAGACAGAAAACTTATATAAGACGCGTGATGCAACTTCAAACTTCTTAAACTGTAATGACTAAGAAATCTCTTGCATAATAGAGTCTTCAAAATAAAGTTCAGGCCAATATGAAGAAGATCCCCCACCATAGCTGGAAGTGCTGCTTGCATCTCCTGGATTGCTAAGCGATGTCTCAGTTACAGATGGATAAGGATGTGGAGAAGGAAACCATGTAGAGTGATCGGGTGGTTTAATACTTTCGTTGACCATTGTTAAGCTATTAGAGCATTGGCCTATCTCACTATTATTCAACGATGTTTGAAAATTGAAAGGGACTTGTGGGTCTGGTAAGTGAGATAATAGATCTGGATAGTGGAGTGGTTGAGAGGTTCCCAGCTGAGAAAATGAGGCCGGATTATCTGTTTGTGGTGAATTTAAAACTGGGGTTTCTTTGATAGGAGGAATCGAATTCAATAAATTAAGAGCCTCCATGTCCGTAATGCCATTTTGGCCATAAGTGTTGGTTGTGACTAAAGCTGTAGATTGGAGAAGATGCTGTAAATATTGAAACTTAGCCACCTGATCAGCTTCTGCTTGTAATCTCAAAGCTTGTTCATCTATTTGATGGCGCTCTATGAGGTTCGCCAGTGCTATCAGTTGAGGCAAGCTGGAAAATAGGTCAGTTCTTGGCTGGTGGGTCATTGGATCGATTCCCATCTGAATCAACTTCTTCTTCAAATGAGTGTTCCAGAAATTTTTTATTTCATTATCAGTCCGGCCTGGTAGGTGTGTTGCAATTGCGGACCATCTGATGAACCGAAAAAAAAAAACAAGAAAGATATATTAGAAAGTTGTAATAATCGAAATCACATAAAGGTTTAGACAGTAATATATATAGAAGGAAATGTTTGAAAAATTACTTGTTCCCGAGGATGGAATGTAGATGAAGAATTGTTTGCTCTTCCTCCGGAGAAAATTTCCCTCTCTTGATATCAGGCCTCAGGTAATTGGTCCATCTTAACCTACAGCTCTTGCCGCATCTGTTAAGACCTGTAAAGAGTAACCAAGAAATTAAGTGAGGAAATCAACAGCCTTCAAAGGATTAAAGGGAAGGTATAGAGAGTATTTCCGGAACTAATTAAGACAGACCTGCAAGCTTGGGGAGAGCTCTCCAGCTTCCATGGCCATGCTTTTCAATATGTTGCACAAGTTTTTGGTCTTCTTCAGGAGTCCAGGGGCCTTTTTTGAGGCCATTTTCATCACAACAAGGAGACCTTCCCATATTTACTTCCAGTTTCTTTAAGCTGAATTAGGTTGCTTCCATGCTTCGCCACCAAAACTATTTATATACAATCTTTGGCGACTCTTCACTTAATTCCTGCCCCACATCCTTGAAATAAAAAATATTTTAAACTTAACTGCATGTTTGGCAGACCAAGACTGGACACTTCATCGCATTGCAGCTAATTGAAATTAACAGAGATACCATCTTCTTTTCCGAAATGACAAACATATCCTCCTACGTTTAACTTCCACACGAAATTACCAAACTATTGATTTAAAAAAAAAAAATTAAAAAAATAAGTTTTCCAAAGTATATAGTTAAGAAAATAATTATACAACATAATAAGTACATAGTTAAAAATAAACNTTTGGCGACTCTTCACTTAATTCCTGCCCCACATCCTTGAAATAAAAAATATTTTAAACTTAACTGCATGTTTGGCAGACCAAGACTGGACACTTAATCGCATTGCAGCTAATTGAAATTAACAGAGATACCATCTTCTTTTCCGAAATGACAAACATATCCTCCTACGTTTAACTTCCACACGAAATTACCAAACTATTGATTTAAAAAAAAAAAATTAAAAAAATAAGTTTTCCAAAGTATATAGTTAAGAAAATAATTATACAACATAATAAGTACATAGTTAAAAATAAACCATTGAATAACATACTCTCGCAATAAGTTTATAGGAACGAATTTTTTATAATATTTTACTCATATTCTCACTTTTGTGCGATAAAACAACTTAATTATCTCTACAATAGATTAAATTTAACTGTTTAATAAACTTATTAAATTAAAGCTAATAATTTTTTTTTTTAATCATTAGAGGTATCTAACCAACTTATATGTACTTCAACTAATTATTTGGAATGTTAAAACTGTCGATTGAGTAAATTATAATAACTACCCTTATTAGTGCCTTAGAAAATTCAGATCCGAGAGTTTATCAAAATTTCTTTTATTTTTTTACCATCAAATGGTTGAATAATGAAATTTCAGTAGCCAATAACACTTTAATTTCACCCCAGGACAATTTTGGGACACACACGGTAATTAAGGAAGACAAAAGTCTGTACCGTCATTGTAGATTTAGTATAAATTAACTTACCGCATCAACTCTGAGGATTAATTGGAAATCACTAAATCAGATTACGTAATACGAGGCAGGTCATTGTTAGTCAAAGAACTCATTCCATGCACGCAAGAAGAGGATCTTTCGTCACCGTTTGCATGGCTTCAAACCACTGACGTTTGGTCTTTGGATTTTATAAGAACTTTGGAATCTACGTACCAGGAATTATATTTTGCAACTTTTACCTTTATAAACAAATAATGGTGGCAGTATTTAGTTAATTGTTTCAGTTAATGATTCTTTTTCCCAATTGATTGGATATCGATATCATCAACTAGAGCTAATAAGAAACTTTGAATGGCAATAATAATCAGAGTTAATTCATTCCATGTTTATGTGAGCACGGTGTCCATAGTTCGATTGAGAGAACCATGTATTTATAACCAGATGAATTCCTTAAATGGAAGAAACTAGAAGATCGATCATTAATCTGTATACTCATAAAATTATATGATTGCTAGCCAAAGAAGGTGTGAAAAACACATCAAAGGGTAATAAAATTGCAATTTTTAATATTAATTTTCATTTGAATGCAGATATATTCATATCACTTATTTTTTTGGGAAAAAAAAACACACACACGAGGGAGAATTCATAACCTATAACTATCTCTAGATTATCAAGTCGTTTGATAGAGACTTTTGAATGTATTATTCAAGAAGTCTTAAGTTTAAACCTCTCATCGGATACTAGTAGGGATAATCATTAGGCTTTTACCAGATCGATAATTTCTGGATCCTAAAAAATGAGTTAACGTGCGCATAAGCTGATCCGAACACTCCCGTTATTATGAAGAAAAAAAAAAAAAAAATACGTGACCTATGAAAAGCCCAAATTGCTAGGATTCCACGGATATAATATCTACATTACTGCAAAAAATAAAATAGAAAATAATGTAAGAACAAACATACGTGTCCAAACCAGCAACAAATTTATGTGTATTTATTTAGACTGGGTACTTGAAGTTTAAAAATAACTGTAGTTAATCACATGTGTTCTGCAATGCAATTAAATGATCAATTAAAAAAATAAGCTAAATAAATTTAGAGCAATAATTGATAAAATACGCAAATTAAAGAATTCAATAAGAGGAATCGGATAAAAAAAAAAAAAAAAAAAAGGATTACAGATGGATATAAATAATTATTATCATTAAAAGGAGACAAAATTGACCTAGAGTCCGGGTTATAGTGCTTAGTTGAGAGGAAGTTGGTGTAGCAAACAGCAAAAAATGGACCAATTATATTGTAACTCATAAGACTTTCTTCACACGTTTAAGAATACTTCAATTGCAATCGTTACGTAATTTCTTGTCCTCATTTTTCTTGTTCTATTACAAAATTTTCTTTCTCTGGGTATCCTTCTGTTCTTAAATCAACCAGTAAAGTAGAAGGTTATCCTGTAGCACAAGACAGCGTTTTTCCAACAACTGTAATTTATGAAATTAATTAAGAACACTGAATTTTATATTGGCATTCTGTCCATTTGTGTTACAAAAAAGTTATACGTGGACAAAAAATTGTTATTAATTAGGTAAAAGTAATTTCCTTTAAAATGGTTTACTCGGTTGAGTGCTTGAGATATATTCTCTTTGCATGGACAGTACTGATTGATGGATTAATTCCCAGTTGTCTATATTAAGACACCATAAATGACATTTGAGAAAGCAATCTCAGCCATTAATTAATCCCGAGGTGTCACCGACTTAATGTGAATGCCGTAAACTCTTGACTCTTATTTGTTGAAGAGTAATGGTGTTTACTTATTTCATAAGCTAAACGGATATCTTTCAAACCTACTTAATTCTTACTTATTTATTTGTCAACTTAATTTAGTGTCAAAATCAATTGCCAACAGCCAGAGGAATGAGAGAGACCATTTTCCTTCTTATTTTATTCATTGCTTTCTATTAATCATATGCTGCAAAACCGCATATTATTTCCTATCTCGTTCCTCACAATATTAGTTAGTAAACGGTTCAAACACAGATGGAGAAAGAGAGAGAGAGTTCAACCGAGGTTCCTTGTTGAGTAGACCAAATATGGTTTTGAAAAAAATGGTGAAGTGATGTCACCTAAAGTTCAGATCATTTCATTTTAATATATATGAACCAAATTTTGTTTCAAGGTTCAGCTAAACTAACTGATTTGCTTGTTTTAATGGGTTACTAACCAATACATCTAAAACCTGACTTCCTGAACATATACTTACTTACTGACCTCAATTGCCACGTAAATATTAATTAATCCTTTTGTTAGATATAGATGTCTCTCTATCTGCATGACATGCAACACATTTTACCCAAAAGATTTGCTCCTGTCAGCTGCCGACCTAAAAGAAATTAATTTTCTCACTACTGTTTGGATTCAACTCAGTAGTAGTTATTTTTCTTTGTTGATCTGTATTTCGTCTTTTACTAAGACAGACATTAGGATATACGACCTTTATGTTGAAGGTTGAGTGATTCACCAAGCAATTGAAAATGGCTTGTGAATGTATGTTGTCGCACAGACAGAGTAATGAAAATGTGGAGACAGTTAGAAAGTGTTTCAGAAGCTGATAACTTGTTTGATTAAGTCTCTCATGGATAACCTAATTAAGACTATGAAGATAAAAGAAATCTCAAGAAAACCTAGTTGACTTTTTTACTTTCGCCTACTTAGGCTCATTGAGGTCTCATCTAATTGATCTTGCTCTTCCAGAAGTGTAGGACCCAATTAGACCTAATCCATCTCTTAATCATGAAACCAGAGGGATTCATATATATTCTACGTCTATGAAAATATGAATATAGTTAAGTACGTATACAAATTGTCGAAATCTTTGTCATTTAAGTTCAAATAATTATAAATTGAGCAAAGTTTAGCTTTGAATTTTCTTCAATTCTTGTAGCTAAAATTTTAGAAGGCATGAAGAAATTAACTCTAATTATCAGGTCAGACTCAGGCAAGCGGATTAAATATTTAAACTCAAACTGACGGACATAGGAGCTGATGTGGGAAATAGAGCCCAGAAGATAACCAAATAAATAATTATGCACATCTAAGACACATGAATCATATCTGAAACAGTAATAAAAAACAGAAGAATAACCAACGTCCATGCATTTTAAACATTGTCAATGCAAAATATCATTAATTATGAGCAGACTAGGAGAGGAAAAAAAACTAAAACAAAATGATAATCTTAAGGCTGTCTTTTCTCTTTTCCTTCACATCGATCTCTGCATTTTCATGAGTTTTTTTATTTGCTCAGTCGGGTTTTACGACATTGCTAAAAACTTTAAATAAAAATAAATAAATAAATTGATGAAACAAGCAACTCTGAGATTGATATCTTGACTTATACTTATCAAATAATTGATTTAATTAGTAAAAATTTCCCTGGGGCTTTTTTCTTCGTCTATTTGAAAGTATTTAATGTCAGTTTACTCAACTAATATGTCCCATCAAATAGGGATTTAAAATGTTTATTGAAAATGCCATTCATGGTGCAGATCATGTGATCAAGTAGACAAATATTATTTATACATAAGTAGAGTCATTAAAATTTGTATTATATTGATAAGTCGAATGCCACTAGCTATACTCTGAAATCCATATCCATACGGCTCGTCGGCTCCACATTTGGTTCCGTTTCCCTTGGCATTGACATCACTGGCATATTTCAGGCTAAACGGGAGAGAATGAAAATGATAGTTAATTAACAATTCCCTAGCAAATACATGTACATAATAATTAGATATTTAACTCCTACAAAATATATATATATATATATACAGGACAAATTAAAGAGATATAAACATATATTCATCTATTCGTTAGTCAAATTTGATTGTATATGATATATATATATATATATACAGGACAAATTAAAGAGATATAAACATATATTCATCTATTCGTTAGTCAAATTTGATTGTATATGATTTCTAGCAGGAAACAAGAATTGAGATGATCACCAAACATGCTACCAAACTTCAATAAAAATAAGTGAGCACACCACAAAATGAAATTTTATATAATCAGCATGCATATTGAATATGAATTTGTAGGAGATAGTTGTTTGATATTAATAATAACTTAATACTGGCCTCATTTTTGGGGTCTGTTGAAAGTATTATACAAAATTTGAGTTTGTGACAAACGAATATATAGTTCATATCCTTCCAGAATTCAACTATACAGTCATCTCAACTCAACACAATATATGAAAATTACATGCTTATATTCAACTTTCGATCTCTATGTCTATATATCAAAGTGTTTATGTCCTACTAATAACTAAAATTATTCACATAATATGAGTTGTTTGTTATATTAGCTCATGTGGAAGCTGTAATTCAATTTTTATAAAATATAATTCAATCATTAAACAGTTCCCTATTATTTTCAAAATGATAAAACACATATTTATTCTATAACATCACCTTTCTCCGTCAAATTATTAAAGCCCTATCACTTACTCATTATGTCATTTTATGGACCAGGTTACATCTAGACAAGTACTGGCATTTTATATAAGTAGGTAAGAGTAGTTTTAGATAATTGTTTGATTTGCAATGCGCAATTATACACATAGTCGTCATAAATAGCCCTAAAAACTATACAAAAGCAACTATTGACTCTTATTGGATATTTGAGTAATAACACCATTTCAAGACAGGGTTGAGGCCCAAATTATTATCCCATTATTCAGTCTTACTTCTATTGTCCAATCTGTACCACCTTAAAACCAGTCCATGAGTTTGTCTTTGCGAACGAAAGAGCACTACTAAATGTACCGTAATATCTTCTAAGAACACCTAAAATAAAGTAAATTATTAATTAACTTAAAAAAAAAAAAAAAAAATTTGGTTAGAGAAAAAGTAACATCAACTATGACCCCTGCCAGCCCCAACGCAGCAGCTGATTAATTTGACATTTACAAAAAAATATACCTCAACAAGTTCCCATTGTGTTTGATTTATTATTTTGAGGAGGATTTTTTAAAAAGTTGAGTTGGATTGTTATTACGAGATAGAATTTAAAAATCAATAAAAATATCTCATGGGTTTGTTCATTTAGCTAAACACCTCCTATAATAAAAAGTTTAAAAATTGATAAAAACATCCTTACCCACCTATATTTGCCAAATTCTGACTACCACTGTCGGAAGGTGACTAAAATCTGACGTAATGACGCACGACTGGCTAAATCTAGTCAGTTGTGAGCCGATATGGCCTTTTTCAATCAGATCTGGTCGTCAACGACGGCCAAAGATCTGGCCGTCGTTGACAACCAGATCTAGTCAAAAATCTAGCTGTCATCTTTGGTTGTAGATTTGACCTTTTTTGGAAAAGACTAGATCGACGCACTATCGATCAGATCTAGTTAGTAGTGCGTCATTACGCCAGATTCTGACTACCTTCCAATGGTGATGATCGGAATCTGGTAAATGTAGGTGGGTGGAGGTGTTTTTATCAATTTCTAAATTTTTTTTTTTTGTTGGAGGTGTTTAGTTAAATTAATAAATTTAAAGATTTAAAAATAGTTGAATGGAATGAAATTTAGATTTTCAAAATAAGAAAATAAATATGCATTTTTGGTAGGCATCTTAATTTACTTCTGTCCTGTCCAGCAACGTAAATTATGTTTGGCAGAATCAGTTGCAAACTTACAAGTCTCATTTGCGTGTCCTAACCTAACCGAAAATGACTTGCCTTTCCAAGTTTTAAATTAACATGATCATCGAATCCATCCTCGCCCTACCGCTGCCCATTCTCACTGATCAAATGGCTGTCATCACTTCAAGTGGATTCCACCCAGTACATACTTGGGGCCCGCCTTCAAATGAAAACACTACACGTTCTACAGTACGTACCTTGAATGTTAAGGAGCAATTAAAGAGGCCGTTGAGCTTGATGGTCGCATTTAAAGCCAAGTACTTCCCTAACAACTTCACCTTTTTTCCATAAACTCTGTAGAAGGGCCATCTCTACCATTACAATTTTATCCTAATTCCTCTCTTGTTTTGACATTGTGATGTTTACTCGTGTTCATATTGTTGTTTTGAAATGATTGAGTCGAAGCATTAATAACCAGAAAATTAAGATATATAACTGATGGCACATGTGGGAAATGATGGTGCTCTAAGATCGTCACTGATTTGGTTGGCGGTGGTTATGGTGATAGTTGGGGTATGTACACAGAGTTTGACGAAGATAATGGTTACTTATGTTGTGGGTATTCTTGGAATTGCTGGAATCTTATTGCCCGACTGGGATTTCTTTGACCGTGATTTTTCTAGATGGTGCTACCCGATTACTGCTGAAGAGAGGGCCTCCGCTGTTGCTCAAAGACAAGTTTCTCTCTTGAGGAGGTCTGGTTCTTTTCTTTTTAGATTTATTTTATTTTTGTGTCAGAGTACGAAGTTTTTTACGTGATGTTTTGTTTAATTACTGAGAAGATGTAGCCATGTAAGCAGAGGAAGTGTAGTCAAATTGTTGGTTGTTACTGTTTGTATTTATATTACATTTAATTTTCCAGAGAAAATGAAGCCAAAGATTTAATAGCCCTTAATGTGGTCAGATGAAAGCTGTTTCATTTGTTCACTAAATGGTACTTTTATCTTTGTTCTGATCTTACAATTTTTCAAATTATTGCTTGACGACTTCTCCTTTCCTTCGTCAATTGGATTATTGTGTAGGCCTAGATAGAGAGCACTCTTGTGGTTCTCCATTAACGATAATATTTTCTTGTCAATGATAAAAAAAAAAAAAAATTAAGCTGATTTGAACATTTTATATATATATAGTTATTTTATAGTTATTTGGCTCCAAAATCGCCTTGAATTTTGCAGGTATAGGATCTATCCTGTCAGACTGGTGGTTTACACCATTATTTATGGGTTTGCATTACACAAGTGGTGGATGTTCGTATCAAATTGAAAGACTTCTGCACTCTGTTGTTGATTTGTGCAATTGTGAACTTGAAGATATGTGTAAAAATTATGTCAAATGTTCATATAAAAAACAATTTATTTTTCTCCGGATGATTATGTATGTCAGCCAAATAAGGACCCGCAAAAATGGGTTCAATTAGAAAGCAGCTTACAATAAGATGTTAGATGCTTCATTTGGCTGCAACCTGTGATGGCAGAAAGCCAGAGACTGATTTTAAGGATTTCATTTGTATTTATATTATGCCATCTAATAGTATTCTTCATTTGTTTGATGCCAAAGTGTTTACCTCGTTGCCTGATTTATGATTGAAAAACCTTTCCTCTTTCCTTTTTTTTTTTTTTTTTTTTGGTAATCGGAGTATCCAAATCAATTTGCGCGTATCTGAATTAATCTTCGAAGTCTATTGTGTTAAACAATCCAAAGAAATAATAAAAAGAGGAGGCTAAGGTTTCATTGATACTGCACAATGCAATTGAATACAAAAAAAAGAGTATGATTTAACCTAAATACAAATATATATATATATAGATAGGCTAAAAAAAGAAAATAATGAAAAGACAGATCTACCCTTAATAAACAATAAAAAAAAATAACCCATATTTCTTAACATCTCCCCTCAAACTCACGATGCGACGGCTACAAGCATCGAGAGTTTGCCAACTAGAAAACGAAAACGGGAAATAGAATCCGACTTGGTAAAAAAATCTGCAATCTGCAAAGAAGAAGAAACAAAGGGCAAGGTAATGGTGCCATGCTTGAGGTGATGACAAGTAAGGTGAAAATCGATCTCAATGTGCTTAGTTTGTTCATGAAAAACTGAGTTGTGAGCAATCTGAATAGAACTCTGGTTGTCACAATACATAGGAGTGGGATGAGAAAGAGAAACTCCCATATCTGCAAGTAACCAACGTAACCAAACAATCTTTTTGGTAGTAGATGTCATAGCACGATATTCTGCTTCGGTTGAAGATTAAGAAACAATGGATTGTTTCTTGCTCTTCCAAGAAATAAGAGAATCACCCAAAAAGAAACAGAAACCAGTAACAGACTTGCGATCCGTGGGATCATTATCATGATCAGCATCAGAGTATGCACGCAGCTCCAAGGAAGAGGTGGATGGAAGTAAAAGACTCTGAAAGACTGTACCCCGAAGATACTGCAAAATACGAAGAATAGCTGCCCAATGATCTGTAGTAGGAGAAGCAACAAACTGACTAGCAACATGAACAACATATGCAATATCTGGACGAGTAATAGTGAGATATACCAAACTCCCAACAACCCTAGTTAGTAAAAATGCGTATTATATGCGAATTATACGGACAGCCGTATAATTCGCGTATAAAACGCACGTATCTGAATTTTGTAAAATCTACTGTATAATTCGCGTATAATAAGGTGTACCGTATAATTCGCGAATTATTTGCAAATTTTTGAAAGAAAAAAAAAAACATAATCTCACACCCCCAAAACGACGTCGTTTTGGTGGGTTTATACAAAAAATTAAAACAGATCTGGTTCACTGGTTCAATCGTTCTTCTTCAATTTTTCAGCAGTTTAGCAGCAGTTCTTCTTCCTCAGTTCAGTTCTTCTTCTTCCTCAGTTCTTCTTCAGTTTTTCTTCCTCACAAATTTCCACAAGCAATCAACTCTCACAATCAATCAACTCCCACAATCAACACACAACAATCAACTCCAGCAAATAATCAATTTCCACAACCTTCGTCTCTTTTGTATAGACATAAGTTTATACTTTATACAAAAGAGACTAAGGTTTAACTTTTAAGAAGGAAGTGAAGAGAAGGTGGAGAAAAGAAAGAGAAAGAAGAGAAGAAAATTACAGAAGAAAGAGAGAAGAAAATTTTGAAAAGAACGAGAAAATGAAAGAGAAGAGAAAGGAGGGAGAAAATTTAATAAAATATATACGTTTAAGTTTTAACTTTTACATGGTACATTTGTAATTTTTGTAAACTGACTGCAGGGTGTATTTGTAATTTTTGTAAACAATTGATTTTGTTATGATTGTGTTTGAGTCTGGAGACTATAATTTGAATGTCAGTTATATTTATATATTGTGTATTTGTGTTATCAGTTAATTGAATACTTTGCATTTGAAATGTTATATTGATTTTAACCAGGTAGTCCATAAAAGTGTTAAAACTAAGATTAATATTGCAGTATTTTTCAAAACGTATTATTGACAATGCATCGTATTAAACCCGTATATACCCATACCGTATTTTTCCCGTATCCGAATTTTATGGCCGAATTTTTATAAACTTATTTTTCACCGTTTGTCGTATTATACCCGTAAAATTCTCGTACCGTTTTTTTGCCGTACCCGTATTTACTAACTAGGCCAACAACAGTACGGTATAAAGTAGGATCTGACATTATAGGGGTGTGCAAATCCGGATATCCGATCCGAATAGGGCTTTTCTTGATCCGATCCAAATTTTTGGATCAGGCTATATCCTGATCCGAATCCGATCCGAATCCGATCCGAATTATGCGGATATCCGGATTTAAGGATATCCGATTATTCGGATCAGATAATCGGATATCCGAAATTGATTCGAATTTTAAAATTTTCTTATTAAAATCAAATAATTCTAGAAATAAAATTGAAATTATAATTCCCTTACAATTACATGATAAAAGTATCTAAAAAAATTAACATGAAGCACAAAACATTTAACTTATGTTGTCCAAACACTGTCACAGCCTAAATGACTATGCTATCTTCAATTCTTCATTGCCAATTCCTACTCGCTTCACATATGGTTTCTTGTTACCAAATTGACCATTGTATCTGCACTCTCTGGTTGACAATGACTGTGATTTTGAGCCACTAACACCAGCAGATTTGGACCAACATGCCATCAAACTGCGCAGCAGGAAGAACATGAAAATATGAAATTGTTGGGCGTAAGGCTCCACTTGATGTGTCAAATTATTAAAACAACTGGCTGAATTGACGAACTACCTAAATTGCTATGCTTATCTTCATATCAAATGACTTTGTCTCCCTTAACTACTCGTCATCATCCTTTTGTACAAAACAAAACAAAACAAAACAAATAAACCATTTCAATAAACAACTTTTAAGATTAACAACAAAATCAATATACTGAAAATGAAAATATGCTCAATAAACCGATTAAAGCAACATGCATTTGGAATGCTCCCTAACTTTGACTTCCAATCATATACTAAACTTGATCACACCACAAGCAAGCAATACCATGACTCCAACCAGAAATACTCTATACTAAAACAATCAGAAAAAGCATTATTTAACTTTATATCCATCCAGAGTTAATATGTCATTGACATCACTTGAAGCAAGTGCTAGAAAGATCAGCCCAACATGCTTAGAGAACATAGAAGACAGAACAGCAACATGAGGCTACAATATCAAAATGCTCCCTAACTTTGACTTCCAATCATATGGATAATAATGTAATACTCCCTAAGTTCTCCTTCACAAGCTTTCAGCACCAGTCTACATCCTGTAGAGCAAATCATAATGTAATTAGCTCTCTGACTACAAAGTAAAAAGAAGCTTCCACAATTAAATCAGATGAGCAGAACTACAGTGTAAACCACGGAGGAAACATGTTGGTATATGCAACCAAAAGTCATTTCCAGCAAACAATGATATTAATGTTATACTTTGATTGGTTCTGGAAAATTACATAAAGGAGAGAATTTAGAAGCACCTGCAGTTCAAGAGATTCAAGTAAATCAATGGCAAGAGCTACAAAAGGGCCTCAGTGGTGTTGATGTAACCCATAGGTAAATTTAGAAGCACCAAAGATGCAGGGATATAGCTTTCTACTTATATACTTTAAGGAAAAAAATTGGATCCCATATTATTATTGCCATTAACAGAATTATTTGAATTGCCAGATATCAGTCAATTTACTGGTTATATGACCAATTCATATTGCAATCCATGAAAGAGAACATATTAACTAGATCATTAAGTGGATATTTTTTTATTCATTTTTGGTTTTTAGCCCCTTCATTGGACAGCTTGACACTGAATATAGTTCTTGAAATTTTTTTTTTTTTTTAGTGCTCGAAAAAGTAGTTAAGGAAACAAAAATTTTGGGCATATAGATAGCTAATTTCAGAGTACAGGAACCACTGGGAAGAAGTAAGAACCATAACAAATACAACTTTTAGAAGAAGATTCACTGCTCAAGCATCTAAACAATTTCCCCCACTCAACTTGCAAAAAATTAAAACACTTCTATTTTTCCAATCAAACAAACCAGCCCCACCAATTGGCTAGATTTTCCCACTTCAACAATCAATATATTACATAATAGAACATCAAATAACTAGAAGGCAATCAACAACAGTCATGATGTGAACAAAATTCAGCAACTCTAAATTCTAAAGAAATTAACTTACGATCGATTTGGGGCTTCAATCGTCAGAGAGACTGAGATCTGACAGAATTGAGTGAGAGAGACTAGCCGCTGTACGTGTTCGAGTGAGAAAGACCGAGAGAGTTGAGCGAGAGAGACTGAGATCTGAGTCTGAGAGAGTTTGAGTGGCTGACTGACTGTGTGTCTGTCTGTATCTGTGCGTGTTAGAGCAAAAGAGATCGAGAGAGTTGAGCGAGAGAGAGTGAGAGACTAAGCTGAGATCTGGTCTGAGAGTTTGAGTGACTATGTGTGAGACTGTGAGGTCTGTGCGACTGTGCGTGACTGCGTGTTCCAGCGAGAGAGATTGAGAGTGAGAGAGACAGAGAGTGTGTGAGGTCAGTGTGCGTGACTGTGTGTTGCCGTGTTCCAACGAGAGAGACTGAGAGTGAGAGAGACAGAGAGTGTGTGAGGTATGTGCGACTGTGCGTGACTGCGTGTTCCAAGCTTCCAGCGAGAGACACTGAGACGAGTGAGAGAGACAGAGAGTTGAGTAATTGAGTTAATTGTGTTAGACTTAGGGTTATTGTTACACTCAAAACGACGTAGTTTAGTAAAATCCAGATCGGATTCAGGTATCCGATTTTTTAACATTCCCGATCCGGTATCCGATCTGAATATTCAGATTTTTTAAAATAACGATTCGTATCCGAGCCGAATTTTTGGATATCCGATTTTTTCGGATCGGATCAGGATCGGATATCGGATTTTTTTGCACAGCCCTATCTGACAAAGGTAAACCATCAGAAGAAGAATACTTTGTGTTAACCTCAATCGGAGTATCTACAGTCTTATTATCAGTAAGTCTAGCCTGCTCAAGTATATCTGTAACATATTTCGACCGA